CGAGTTCGATTCCCCACATGGGTACAATGTGTGAAGCCCATTTATTGTGTCCCCCGCCGTGATATTGCTGGAATATTTCTAAAAGCGGCGTAAAACCGTACTCACTCGCTACATGTGATAAGACCTGGATCTATCACAAGGATCCCAAGAGCAAATTTAACCGAGCATCCATGAGTGGAAACGCTGCGGTTCAAAAAGAAAATTATAAAGGAGCTAGATCCATGAAGAAAGTTATGGTCACCTTATTTTTGGAATCGAATGGTGACCTCATTCTATAAGTAGCTCAATGCTATTTCATCCCTACTATGGACTCATTAAGCAATAACCCCTATCGTCTTTAGATATAATCCAATCTGTGTATCCATAATCTTGTTTAATTGGCTTCCTCATCACGTGTTCTCTGTCCACCACATATAATTCTGTCCAATGCTCAGATAACTCAGTCTTGTTGACAACGGTATTCGGTCTGTACGGTAACGTCGCTATTACAATATACAAAAGACGTTGTTGTTATCCATAAAGTGCCTACTTTGTCATCCGGACATTAGAAATGACGTCATGATGTAACGGGAATGCCGCTCAAAGCGGCGTTAACCCCAACTCACTCACTCACTCACTAACCTGTAAGAAACGCCCATGAAATAAATCCAAATATTATAAACCACGATGCACGCTGTCGGGTCACGCCGACTAACAATCAGCCCGACCTCCAGATCCAGTAAGGAGCTATTTCATCAACGTAACCACATTCTTCTCTCGCCAGGCGGTTCGGGAATTACTGTGACCCGGCTGCCCACGTGACTACTCCAGACAGACGTTATATTACATCAGTACAGGGGTGTCCTTGACCCGGCTGCCCACGTGACTACTCCAGACAGACGTTATATTACATCAGTACAGGGGTGTCCTTGACCCGGCTGCCCTCAGGGATTCCCCAGCTTGACGTTATATTATATCTTTACATGAATGTTTATTCACTTCTGTCAGTAACAGAAGTTTGATGGGGCCCAGAACAATGACGAGGCAATCTAGACTTAACCAATCATTCTAGACTTGAGTAGGCTTCCTTTTGTAATTCATTCTTTAGGGTCTGGGAGACAGACCGGTATCTGACCCGTGAAGATCCCGGGGTAGAATAAGTCTTCAGCAACCCATACTTGCCGTAAAAGGCGACTTTGTTGCTTCATGTCATCGTTCCCAATTGCGTGGATCGAGGTTCATGATATCAATCACTGGATTGTCTGGTCCAGACTCGATTATTAACACAGACCGCCGTCATATAGCTGTGATATTGCTGAGTGCGGCGTTAAACAACAAACAAGCAAACACACATACCATCACACATACCATCACACATGCCATCACACATACCATCACACATACCATCACACATGCCATCACACATACCATCACACATACCATCACACATGCCAACACACATACCATCACACATGCCAACACACATACCATCACACCTACCATCACACATACCATCACACATACCATCACACATACCATCACACATACCATCACACATACCATCACACCTACCATCACACCTACCATCACACCTACCATCACACCTTCCATCACACCTACCATCACACATGCCATCACACATACCATCACACATGCCATCACACATACCATCACACCTACCATCACACCTACCATCACACATACCATCACACATACCATCACACATACCATCACACATGTCATCACACATACCATCACACATACCATCACACATACCATCACACATACCATCACACATTCCATCACACATGCCATCACACATGCCATCACACATACCATCACACATACCATCACACCTACCATCACACATACCATCACACATACCATCACACATACCATCACATATACCATCACACATGCCATCACACATGCCATCACACATGCCATCACACATGCCATCACACATTCCATCACACATGTCATCACACATGCCATCACACATACCATCACACATACCATCACACATACCATCACACACATACCATCACACATACCATCACACATGCCATCACACATGCCATCACACCTTCCATCACACATGCCATCACACATACCATCACACATGCCATCACACATGCCATCACACATACCATCACACATACCATCACACATACCATCACACATACCATCACACATGCCATCACACATGCCATCACACATGCCATCACACATACCATCACACATGCCATCACACATGCCATCACACATACCATCACACATACCATCACACATACCATCACACATGCCATCACACATGCCATCACACATACCATCACACATGCGAACACACATACCATCACACATACCATCACACATACCATCACACATACCATCACACACATACCATCACACATACCATCACACATACCATCACACATACCATCACACATACCATCACACACATACCATCACACATATACCATCACACATACCATCACACATACCAGCACACACATACCATCACACATACCATCACACATACCATCACACATGCCATCACACATACCATCACACATACCATCACACATACCATCACACATACCATCACACATGCCATCACACATACCATCACACATACCATCACACATACCATCACACACATACCATCACACATACCATCACACATACCATCACACATACCATCACACATACCATCACACACATACCATCACACATGCCATCACACATACCATCACACATGCCATCACACATACCATCACACATACCATCACACATACCATCACACATACCATCACACACATACCATCACACATACCATCACACATACCAACATACCATCACACATTCCATCACACATACCATCACACATGCCATCACACATACCATCACACATACCATCACACATACCATCACACATACCATCACACATACCATAACACATGCCATCACACATACCCACACACATACCATCACACATGCCATCACACATACCATCACACATGCCATCACACATACCATCACACATACCATCACACATACCATCACACATGCCATCACACATACCATCACACATACCATCACACATACCATCACACATACCATCACACATTCCATCACACATGCCATCACACATACCATCACACATACCATCACACATACCATCACACATTCCATCACACATGCCATCACACATACCATCACACATACCATCACACATACCATCACACATGCCATCACACATACCATCACACATACCATCACACATACCATCACACATACCATCACACATACCATCACACATGCCATCACACATGCCATCACACATACCATCACACATACCATCACACATACCATCACAAATGCCATCACACATACCATCACACATACCATCACACATACCATCACACCATCACACATACCATCACACATACCATCACACATGCCATCACACATGCCATCACACATGCCATCACACATACCATCACACATGCTATCACACATACCATCACACATACCATCACACATACCATCACACATGCCATCACACATGCTATTGCACATACCATCACACATACCATCACACATACCATCACACATATACCATCACACATACCATCACACATACCATCACACACATACCATCACACATACCATCACACATACCATCACACATACCATCACACATACCATCACACATACCATCACACATGCCATCACACATACCATCACACATGCTATCACACATACCATCACACATACCATCACACATACCATCACACATACCATCACACATGCTATTGCACATACCATCATGCATACCATCACACATACCATCACACATATACCATCACACATACCATCACACATACCATCACACACATACCATCACACATACCATCACACATACCATCACACATACCATCACACATACCATCACACATACCATCACACATACCATCACACATGCTATTGCACATACCATCATACATGCCATCACACATACCATCACACATACCATCACACATACCGAGTGATGTATTACCCCTGCAGTGTTTTATTGTACGACAAACAACGACCACGAGTCGTTTATCAACATTATGTTCAGCCTCTTTAAGGATGACGATAAATTGTACCAGCATTGACAATATTTAACCGTATTTAAATAATGATGACTCCCTCAATAGAATCCGTCCTCGGCAATGACGGACAAGTCCATTCTATGCACAGGTGGGTATTTCCAGCATATTCTCACAATCCTCACTTCGATTATCTGTATCATTTCTCCCAATACCGATTGCCATATCTCTCCCGTTGTTACATACGATCGTTTGTCCATCGCTTTTATCTGCGCTGACCAGCTACATCTCACTAAACACTTCCCTCTCAAAAATAACGTCGTCATATATACGACGTCATCAAGTTGTGAGCGCATGTTCGAATCTCCAGAAATGACGTCATGATACAAAAATGTTATATCGTGAAATAAAAACGCTTCGTTCTTCATTGTTCTTTGTGATTTATCGCGCAGCTATCTCATATATTATGATAATGTTCCCTGTCTGGCGCTAGGGGACCAACCATTTGATATTCTGGGGGTAGGGTTTTATCGAAAAATATAATTTGTCCCAGAACAGTCTTGAAAAAATGAATTATGCTTCAGACTGTTAAAACAAGAAATCGTGACATCTTTGTGTCGAGGTCCCTTCAATGATATACCACTTACAACTCGACAAACCTGTACACATACGGCCCCTAACTGATCAAGGCTCATGGTTACCCCCCGCAGCGACTGGTCCGACTGCAGAAACAGACGGATGTCGCATTCAACACACCACATCCCATGCTGAGTAAGATGTTCCAGCAGGGAGAGGCCACAGGTGATATATTATTCTTGCTGCGTCATGGAGTGACCTATATGTAATAGCGACATGCCGGCTATGCGAGCAGTGCCTGTCATATTCGAATCACGTTCTGATAATAAACTCGTCCTTTCTTTTCAGAATGGGGAGTCACAATCACGACTTCGAGAAAGGAGAAGAACACAAGAAGTGAGTGGATACATTTATGTTTTTTGTTACACATATAATTTTTTATAATATTCTCCATGGTGCATGTTTTTTTTGTCTAAATAATGTCTCGAAGGGATTGTTAAGGGTGTGTTCCTCATCTCGATTGCATACGTGATTGGGGGTTCCCCTACAGGCGGACACATTTCGGCTTCTGTGTGCACGTGCCACACGTGCTGTTCATGCATAATGTGACATTGTGATTAGACGTTGCGTTCAGATACAAAGCCACGGTATTTTTAATGTACATCTCAACGAATGGTCTGGTATTGAGATCTTGCAGTGTAAACTTTTGGCGATAATTCTAGCTAATGGAATAACATATCGCTGGCCAGTCAAATTTCCATTCTCGATAACCTAACCAGGGTGCCGTTGTACAAAGCGATCTTAGCTCTAAGGTGATCGTAACTCCCATACCTTCACATAGATTTATGACAGTCGTAGCGCTAAGGTTGTTTTGAACATATTTGTTTTGTCATATGTCATACCGCCCCACACCATGACACTACCACCCCCATTCCGGTCAGTTGTTGTCCTGGCACAACGCTCGCCGCTACGTCGCCAACAACGTTTTCTGCCATCTGTGAATCGGAGGTAAAACCTTGATTCGTCCACAGGGGCTTGTAACGCAAAAATAGCAGCTACAAGACTTGGTTACACCCAATGTCAGTGTACTATATAAAAGAATAGTATATGTAGAACACTGACGCTGGGTGTGACCTTTATCTTGTAGCTGCTATATTTTGGGTCACAAGCCCCTGTGGATTCGCATGTGAACTTGGTGTAACTCTACTAGCGCATAGCTTGTCCCTGGTGTTGCCTTGCCCACCCAATTCTTTGCCGCCTATGGTAGGCTGTTCGGGTCACACTCTTCACAGAACGCCTTGCTTTCCGGCGGAGGGCATTTAGCCGGGTTTTAACGGTAGATGTTGAAATTCGCCTTCCTGTTATTGTACGGAATTCACTATTGATAACGGGAGCTGGTGTGAATCTATTGCGTCGTGCAATTAATGTGATGAGACGGTCTCGGTGTCGTTTTCTATGGCCCAGGTCTCATTACAACCCCACCCGTTTGAGGGTACTTGTCCCATAGTCGCGAAATTACACTTTTTGATTTGCCAAACATTCGGGCGACTTTGGATATTGACGATAACACGAGTCGAGAAAGCGATTACACGAGTCGAGAAAGCGATTACACGAGACGAGAAAGCGATTACACGAGATGAGAAAGCGATTACACGAGACGAGAAAGCGATTACACGAGACGAGAAAGCGATTACACGAATCGAGAAAGCGATTACACGAGACGAGAAAGCGATTACACGAGTCGAGAAAGCGATTACACGAGACGAGAAAGCGATTACACGAGACGAGAAAGCGATTACACGAGTCGAGAAAGTGATTACACGAGACGAGAAAGCGATTACACGAGACGAGAAAGCGATTACACGAGTCGAGGAAACGATTACACGAGACGAGAAAGCGATTACACGAGTCGAGAAAGCGATTACACGAGACGAGAAAGCGATTACACGAGACGAGAAAGCGATTACACGAGTCGAGAAAGCGATTACACGAGTCGAGAAAGCGATTACACGAGACTTGAAAGCGATATGTATATAAGCAATATCTCCTCTTGGCTACTATAGGGGTCGCATGTGTCATGTGTTTCTATACGATAAAAAGTACATACATAAAACAACAGTAATGAATTGTTAAACAACACCTTAGTATCAATAAGGGGCTAATCATTTTAATATAAGGATATAGGCGGAGTGGGTTGGGTTTGGGTTCGATTTGGGTTGGGGGGGGGGGGGGGGGGGGTGTGTGTGTGTTATGGTTTTTTTCCCTTTTTTTTGGGGGGGGGGGGGGTGTTATGGTTTTTTCGGGGGTTGGGGGGGTTGTATTTCTCTTCAAATGTGAGCGCTGAGATTTTTTCTTATTATTCCTGTGTAAGGTATGTTGAAATCTTCTCACTAATCACTTTAACATAATAACTGTACAGACGCAGGGATTCTACAACAATCCACGGATTTTTGCGAATACTAATTGATTGATTTATGGCCCAAATAAGGTGTTTTATGGCACCCTCAGATCATGGCAATACTCTCTAAACTAAATCAGGTTAAAATCTGAATATATACTATTTAACAGAAGTTAAAGAACACCCGATTCTTTCATATGACTATGGTTAATCAGTCACGGCTGATTGTATTGCAATACACAGTCTTATCACTGTGGGTGTTCATTTACTTGTTTTAAGTAGTATATGTTGTTACAGTGTGAATGACATAATGCCGTTTTCTGTGAATATTCTTTTTTTTTGTCAATTGATTTATGATCAACTTGTATTTTATCCCTTCTCTTATGCAAATCTACAAGTATATATACTTGCATCTAGTAATTTGATAAACACCGCTGTGAGTGAGTGGACGTGTTTTTACGTCGCTTTTAGCAATATTCCAGCAATATCACAGCTTGGGGCACCAGAAATGTATGTATTGTATGGATATTTTAAGTATAGTTTCGTCAAATTCTGTATGTTGGTGGGTAGGGTTGTCTGTCTGCCTCCCTCTGTTAAGCTGTCGTGTGTGTGTGTGTGTGGGGTGTGTGTGTGTGTGTGTGGGGGGGGGGGGGGTGGGGGGGGGGGGATGGGGGGGTGTGTGTGTGTGGGGGGGGGGGATGGGGGGGTGTGTGTGTGTGTGGGGGGGGTTGGTGTGTGTGTGTGTGTGTGTGTGTGGGTGTGGGTGTGGGTGTGTGGGTGTGGGTGGGTGGGTGGGTGGGTGTGGGTGTGTGGGTGTGTGGGTGTGTGTGTGTTGGTGTGTGGGTGTGGGTGTGGGTGGGTGTGGGTGGGTGTGTGTGGGTGTGGGTGTGTGTGTGTGTGTGTGGGTGTGGGTGTGGGGTGGATGGATGGGTGGATGGATGGATGGATGGATGGATGGGTGTGTGTAAGCGTGTCGGTGTGTCTGTCTGTCTCTGTATATAGGTGGTAGATATTCACATAACTCACATCAGAATACACGCTTGATAACAACCAAACAATTTAATAGAAAGACAATTGTAACATAACTATGAATAGTCCTGCTTGAACAAAGAGCCTATACTATAATCAGATATCTAGTCTCACCTTGCGGAAAAGCCGACGTAATGTCAGTTTAACTCTATTTTACAAGCACATAAGCATTGAATTTTATACCCGAAGACAGTTTGAGTGAAAGGAATAATATAATGACATTTTAAAATAATACTTATAACGCATTCCCTTCTATAATGTCCAAGGTTACAAGTTAATGACGCTCCCAAAAGTCGTATGTGTGACTTAAGGTAAAGATATACATCTAATCGAAATGTATATATATATTGCAATGAAGAAAAAACACATCAGCCCCCAATAATGAAGAAAACAACAAAACAACCCTCAACCCAATGCCACATGTCCGACATCGTATGCGTGAGCGTCGCCAGTCAGTGTCACACTACTGACGGTCAGGTATAAGTGTACTTGATCAAAATACGAACTGTTTATTCACGGGGTAGATAAACTAGCTGTGTCAACACTACATCATATGATGAGCCCGACACACCCGGGTGTTGTAGGTGAAGTGGTAGCCGAGACGACGGGAAGAGGTATATCTGACCCAGGTCAAACATGTCCTCTTTGACACAGACATATTTGACCCACATAAGTCTGAGGGGGGACTTGTCGTGTTTGCATATTGTATGAATGTATTTGTCCCGTGTTGGTTTACCTAGGCAATGACGCACTGTCTGGTTGTCAGTATTAGCTTTGATCTGGTGTGACACGTATCGTGTTCACAATGTCTTCTTGAATGCTTTCCGATGCTGTTTAGAATGAATGAGTGAGTAAATACTGTACCCTTGTCAGGAATCGAACCCGACCATACGGCATGACGAGAGAACACTTCAGCCACTGGGCTACCCTACCGAACTACTGTTGAGATAGTTGAATCTGCTATAACACATCATATATGCTGGAAACGGCTGTCACCCTAATAAGCAGGGTTGATGTGAAAATAATGAGTTGTTTGTGTCGAAGACTTGTTTGTGGCATCATTTCAGAGAATATGGGTTGCAAGGGTTAGTCACAAGGGGTGTTCGCAGTGGTTGGTTGCAAGGATGGGTCAAAAGGGTTGGTTACAAGGGTTGGTCACAAGGGGTGTTCGCAGTGGTTGGTTGCAAGGATGGGTCAAAAGGGTTGGTTGCAAGGGTTGGTTGCAAGGGTTGGTCACAAGGGGTGTTCGCAGTGGTTGGTTGCAAGGATGGGTCAAAAGGGTTGGTTGCAAAGGTTGGTCGCAAGGTTGGTTACAAGGGTTGGTCACAAGGGTTGGTCGCAAGGGCTGGTTACAAGGGTTGGTCACAAGGGGTGTTCGCAATGGTTGGTCTCAATGATGGGTCTAAAGGGTTGGTTGCAAGGGTTGGTCGCAAGGTTGGTTACAAGGGTTGGTCACAAGGGTTGGTCGCAAGGGCTGGTTACAAGGGTTGGTCACAAGGGGTGTTCGCAATGGTTGGTTGCAAAGATGGGTCTAAAGGGTTGGTTGCAAGGGTTGGTCGCAAGGTTGGTTCCAAGGGTTGGTCACAAGGGTTGGTCGCAAGGGTTGGTCGCGAGGGCTGGTTACAAGGGTTGGTCACAAGGGTTGGTCCCAAGGGTGGGTCACAAGGGTTGGTCCCAAGGGCTGGTTGCAATGGTTGGTCCCAAGGGTCGGTCCCAAGGGTTGGTCCCAAGGTTGGGTCCCAAGGGTGGGTCCCAAGGGTGGGTCCCAAGGTTGGGTCCCAAGGGTGGGTCCCAAGGCTTGGTCCCAAGGGTTGGTCCCAAGGATGGGTCCCAAGGGTGGGTCACAAGGGTTGGTCCCAAGGTTGGGTCCCAAGGGTGGGTCCCAAGGGTTGGTCACAAGGGTGGGTCCCAAGGGTTGGTCCCAAGGGTTGGTCCCAAGGGTGGGTCCCAAGGGTTGGTCCCAAGGGTTGTCCGAAAGGGCTGGTTGCAATTGTTTGTCACAAGGGTCGGTCCCAAGGGTCGGTCCCAAATGTAGGCTGAGAGGATGAGTGCCGAGTAGCGAGGTTGCCTTTCAAGGAACATGACATAATTATTATTTTTTCTTCCAGGGCTGCATCGAGGCCCTTGATATACGCCATCCTAGCTGGCGCGGTGCTGGTGGCGCTTGGCCTCGCCCTTGGTCTGGGTTTGGGCTTGAGATCGCTGAACACCGAACAGGAAGAAGTGACGGTGACAGCAACTACCTCGACACCGTCAGTGGAGGAGGCACATTCAGCAACTGGGACATACAGATACGCTTCAGTTGCATCGGACTCCAAAATATGTTCAGAGATAGGAATGTAAGTAGCACTCGTCACAAACACAGTTGGTAGATAATCTATTTAGCAACTCAGTTGCGATTCTCAAATAATGCAACAAAATGAACCCTAAGTACCAAATACAAAGAGTGGCATAACAGCTCCGTTTGCAAGGACGAGGAGCGGCCTAAGATCTGTTGCTTAAGTTGTGGCGGTCTTCCAACCACGGTGGGGCAGTGAAGCTGTCGTTCGGTTTCGGGTTCTATTCTTCACATGGGTTCAATGTATAAAATCCATTCTTGATGTGTCAAGCCGGGATATATTGCTGGAATGTGTCTGAATGGGACGCAAACTGATCCAGTCTCCAGCTTATATTTATGAACAGAGTTGATATTCCATGCCTATCTATTTTTCCTGCATTACCTTTCTCCAAGTCAGACGGGGGGCGGTCGGGTAGCCTGGTGGTTCGCTCGTCACGCCGAAGACCCGGGTTCGATTCCCGACATGGGTACAATGTGTGAAGCCCATTTCTGGTGTCCCCCGCCGTGATATTGCTGGAATATTGCTAAAAGCGGCGTAAAATCAAACTCACTCACTCACTCCAAGTCAGACGATTCACTTATGTATCTCCTTTACGTTGTTACAGGGCATTTTCACTTAAGAACTGACCTTCACTTTGTGTCAGTTCACTGGCGTATAAACCTTCATAGAGTGAGGGCCAAAACTGTATGAACGTCGGAGCTTGCGGCAATGTTTGGCCCTCACTCTATGAAGGTTCATACTCAAATGAACTCACACAAAGTGAAGGTCAATTCTTATAATTCTTTTATAACAATTTCTTACCTCAAAGGATGTAGGCCAAGATCTAAACACAATTTTATTTAGTACGTGTGACTTCATGTTTACACTGACAGCCATACAACAACCAGCTATACCGCGGAATAAAATAGTTCCTTAAAAAGAAAGGTGACATGAACGTATGGATACATAACTTGCTCTTCAGAAACATCTTGCGCAACACATGTGTTCAAATCATTTCAGCATTAGATGAGAAAGGTCTGAGAAGAACTACCTCAGTAAGTCATAATGACAGCGCGTCGTAATACATTTACTTCAAGTACAAGACGTCAAAATGGCCGACACGATAAACGTGACGCAAGAGATATCCGAAGCTGTTTATGAACCTGTGGCAGTTACATGTGTTAGTCATTAAAGATCAACTGGCCGATCATTGAAAGGTGACACTAAGGTAAACAGACACTAAGGTAAATTCATAGATTGCTGGAGACGGTCACTGTCAGCCTAGACACGGATCGAGTCGATACTACGATGGTTTGGATGTGCCTTTCGTCGTTAGTTCATTAGGATGGGCTGTAGCAAGGAAATTCGTGACCAATCATGCAGTCAAGCTCTCTGACATTTCTCAATGTATACTGAAACGCTGAGACCAAGATTAAAGGTTCTAAATGATCAGAAAGAACGCTTATGTATGTTTACGTGCTAGGGAATTCCCAAGGGTTTCCCCAGGAATGTGGAAGTAGTCCGTCAGTGTTTTCGTCATTTCAAGAACAAGGTCTCGTGAAAAACGTTTGAACGTCAAATTGTGACCGACCTCTCCGCCAATGGAAAAACCGTATATCGTGTAAACTTCAAATTACAAAAAAATGTGTATTGTTTTCGGTTCATTGGGGTACGAATCGAAAAACCGATGTGCACACTGTATGAATCATAATGATTCTTACAAAAGTTTGCACATAGGTTTTTCGATTTATACGTCAATGAACCGGAAAAAAACCCAGTCAATGCTTATAATTCAATTCGGCAACCAAAACATACAACAGTTTAACCAAACACAGTTGTTTGCATCAAAGCAGTCAAAATTGACGAAATTGATAAACATTCCAGGTATAGGAATACATACTGTGGCGTGACATGAATCAGGGGATTGTTTAATATATGCACATATATTAACACGCCTACAAAGTCAATAGCCAATCAACGGAGAGTAGAATCAAAACAAAGTTCATTGGACCTGTCAAGATGCGAGAAGAACTGCAGCAGTCAGACTGCAACGAACCGGACCAAATATGTCCGGCAGAAGGCGGTTGTTTCAAATGGCATGGTCAGTTGCCGCCAGATTCGAGCATTTTTTTCCCTGAGAACGGGAAGGCACAGTTGGAAACTATGCTGGTTAGAACATTAAATAAAACCCGAAGACATAATAGTTGTGGAACCGAGGCGAACGGGAAAAAACAGTCGAGCGAGCCTGCATGTTTGCTATTTCTTTCCTTCTCGGCCTTCGGCCCGAAGGGGTTGTATGATAAGGAATATGCATGAATTTCGCTAAATGTCCTGTGCATGACGATACACGTGAGCAGAGAGGGAATTCCCTCGACGGTAATATTGGATTCTCCGACATTCAGTTGTAATAAAAGTAGTCCGCTTCGGTGGGCGTGACTTAATTTTGTTACATTCATTGGGAAATGAATGCAATAACACGTGACCAATTCAAGTAATTTGAATGCAGGAATTTCAATGAACCCAAGGAAAATTTACTTATATCTCATTGAATTCCCAAATATCACAGCTGATCTGGAAAATGCAAAGGAGGAATTTGTTTGTGACGTCACCTTTTGCATATGACGTTATTCACTCAATTATTTAGAGACCGCCGTCATATAACTGGAATATTGCAGAGTGCGACGCTTTACAACAACCAAACAAACAAATAAATAAACAAAATACGTGCTTGAACTACTTGAAGGGCTCAGAACCAGTTTTGTCCTTCCTGCCTATATCCTCCACACCTGGGGCGTGGTGGGCTTGTGTTTCGCTCAGCGCGCCGAAGGTCCGGGTTCGATTCCCCACATGAGTACAATGTGTGCAGCCCATTCATGGTATCCCCCGCCGTGATATTGCTGGAATATTGCTAAAAGCGGCCTAAAGCCATACTCATTCACTCACTCTTCCACACCTCATACTTGATAGAGGCGAAACCTGATTCAATGTGTCTCCCGTTTCCTTCCAGAGACATCATGGCGCGCAAGGGCGGGTCGGCTGTAGACGCCGCTATCGCCTCCATGCTGTGTACAGGACTGGTACACCGCCACAGCGCCGGGATAGGAGGGGGGTTCTTCATGACGATCTACAACAGGTGGGTGTCTGTGATTATGCGTGTTCTTCGTGACGATCTACAACAGGTGGGTGTCAGTAAGGGTGGGTGTTCTTCATGACGATCTACAACAGGTGGGTGTCTGTGAGGGTGGATGTTCTTCTTGACGATCTACAACAGGTGGGTGTCTGTGAGGGTGGGTGTTCTTCTTGACGATCTACAACAGGTGGGTGTCAGTGAGGGTGGGTGTTCTTCATGACGATCTACAACAGGTGGGTGTCAGCGAGTGTGGGTGTTCTTCATGACGATCTACAACAGGTGGGTGTCAGTGAGGATGGGTGTTCTTCATGACGATCTACAACAGGTGGGTGTCAGTGAGGGTGGGTGTTCTTCATGACGATCTACAACAGGTGGGTGTCAGTGAGGGTGGGTGTTCTTCATGACGATCTACAACAGGTGGGTGTCTGTGATTGTTGGTGTTCTTCATGACGATCTACAACAGGTGGGTGTCTGTGATTGTGGGTGTTCTTCATGACGATCTACAACAGGTGGGTGTCAGTAAGGGTGAGTGTTCTTCATGACGATCTACAACAGGTGGGTGTCTGTGAGGGTGGGTGTTCTTCATGACGATCTACAACAGGTGGGTGTCAGTGAGGGTTGGGGTTCTTCATGACGATCTACAACAGGTGGGTGTCAGTGAGGGTGGGTGTTCTTCATGACGATCTACAACAGGTGGGTGTCTGTAAGGGTGGATGTTCTTCATGACGATCTACAACAGGTGGGTGTCAGTAAGGGTGGGTGTTCTTCATGACGATCTACAACAGGTGGGTGTCAGTGAGGGTGGGTGTTCTTCATGACGATCTACAACAGGTGGGTGTCAGTGAGGGTGGGTGTTCTTCATGACGATCTACAACAGGTGGGTGTCAGTGAGGGTGGGTGTTCTTCATGACGATCTACAACAGGTGGGTGTCAGTGAGGGTGGGTGTTCTTCATGACGATCTACAACAGGTGGGTGTCAGTGAGGGTGGGTGTTCTTCATGACGATCTACAACAGGTGGGTGTCTGTGATTGTGGGTGTTCTTCATGACGATCTACAACAGGTGGGTGTCTGTGATTGTGGGTGTTCTTCATGACGATCTACAACAGGTGGTTGTCAGTAAGGGTGAGTGTTCTTCATGACGATCTACAACAGGTGGGTGTCTGTGATTGTGGGTGTTCTTCATGACGATCTACAACAGGTGGTTGTCAGTAAGGGTGAGTGTTCTTCATGACGATCTACAACAGGTGGGTGTCTGTGAGGGTGGGTGTTCTTCATGACGATCTACAACAGGTGGGTATCAGTGAGGGTGGGTGTTCTTCATGACGATCTACAACAGGTGGGTGTCAGTGAGGGTGGGTGTTCTTCATGACGATCTACAACAGGTGGGTGTCTGTAAGGGTGGGTGTTCTTCATGACGATCTACAACAGGTGGGTGTCAGTAAGGGTGGGTGTTCTTCATGACGATCTACAACAGGTGGGTGTCAGTGAGGGTGGGTGTTCTTCATGACGATCTACAACAGGTGGGTGTCAGTGAGGGTGGGTGTTCTTCATGACGATCTACAACAGGTGGGTGTCAGTGAGGGTGGGTGTGCATCATGACGATCTACAATAGGTGGGTGTCAGTAAGGGTGGGTGTTCTTCATGACGATCTACAACAGGTGGGTGTCAGTGAGGGTGGGTGTTCTTCATGACGATCTACAACAGGTGGGTGTCTGTGATTCAGGGTGTTCTTCATGACGATCTACAACAGGTGGGTGTCAGTGAGGGTGGGTGTTCTTCATGACGATCTACAACAGGTGGGTGTCAGTGATTGTGGGTGTTCTTCATGACGATCTACAACAGGTGGGTGTCTGTGAGGGTGGGTGTTCTTCATGACGATCTACAACAGGTGGGTGTCAGTGATTGTGGGTGTTCTTCATGACGATCTACAACAGGTGGGTGTCTGTGATTGTGGGTGTTCTTCATGGCGATCTACAACAGGTGGGTGTCTGTGATTGTGGGTGTTCTTCATGACGATCTACAACAGGTGGGTGTCTGTGATTGTGGGTGTTCTTCATGACGATCTACAACAGGTGGGTGTCAGTGAGGGTGGGTGTTCTTCATGACGATCTACAACAGGTGGGTGTCTGTGAGTGTGGGTGTTCTTCATGGCGATCTACAACAGGTGGGTGTCTGTGATTGTGGGTGTTCTTCATGACGATCTACAACAGGTGGGTGTCAGTGAGGATGGGTGTTCTTCATGACGATCTACAACAGGTGGGTGTCAGTGAGGGTGGGTGTTCTTCATGACGATCTACAACAGGTGGGTGTCAGTAAGGATGGGTGTTCTTCATGACGATCTACAACAGGTGGGTGTCAGTGAGGGTGGGTGTTCTTCATGACGATCTACAACAGGTGGGTGTCAGTGAGGATGGGTGTTCTTCATGACGATCTACAACAGGTGGGTGTCTGTGATTGTGGGTGTTCTTCATGACGATCTACAACAGGTGGGTGTCAGTGAGGGTGAGTGTTCTTCATGACGATCTACAACAGGTGGGTGTCAGTGAGGATGGGTGTTCTTCATGACGATCAACAACAGGTGGGTGTCAGTGATTGTGGGTGTTCTTCATGACGATCTACAACAGGTGGGTGTCAGTGAGGATGGGTGTTCTTCATGACGATCAACAACAGGTGGGTGTCAGTGATTGTGGGTGTTCTTCATGACGATCTACAACAGGTGGGTGTCAGTGAGGATGGGTGTTCTTCATGACGATCTACAACAGGTGGGTGTCAGTGAGGGTGGGTGTTCTTCATGACGATCTACAACAGGTGGGTGTCAGTGAGGGTGGGTGTTCTTCATGACGATCTACAACAGGTGGGTGTCTGTGATTGTTGGTGTTCTTCATGACGATCTACAACAGGTGGGTGTCTGTGATTGTGGGTGTTCTTCATGACGATCTACAACAGGTGGGTGTCAGTAAGGGTGAGTGTTCTTCATGACGATCTACAACAGGTGGGTGTCTGTGAGGGTGGGTGTTCTTCATGACGATCTACAACAGGTGGGTGTCAGTGAGGGTTGGTGTTCTTCATGACGATCTACAACAGGTGGGTGTCAGTGAGGGTGGGTGTTCTTCATGACGATCTACAACAGGTGGGTGTCTGTAAGGGTGGATGTTCTTCATGACGATCTACAACAGGTGGGTGTCAGTAAGGGTGGGTGTTCTTCATGACGATCTACAACAGGTGGGTGTCAGTGAGGGTGGGTGTTCTTCATGACGATCTACAACAGGTGGGTGTCAGTGAGGGTGGGTGTTCTTCATGACGATCTACAACAGGTGGGTGTCTGTGATTGTGGGTGTTCTTCATGACGATCTACAACAGGTGGGTGTCAGTGAGGGTGGGTGTTCTTCATGACGATCTACAACAGGTGGGTGTCAGTGAGGGTGGGTGTTCTTCATGACGATCTACAACAGGTGGGTGTCTGTGATTGTGGGTGTTCTTCATGACGATCTACAACAGGTGGGTGTCTGTGATTGTGGGTGTTCTTCATGACGATCTACAACAGGTGGTTGTCAGTAAGGGTGAGTGTTCTTCATGACGATCTACAACAGGTGGGTGTCTGTGATTGTGGGTGTTCTTCATGACGATCTACAACAGGTGGTTGTCAGTAAGGGTGAGTGTTCTTCATGACGATCTACAACAGGTGGGTGTCTGTGATTGTGGGTGTTCTTCATGACGATCTACAACAGGTGGGTATCAGTGAGGGTGGGTGTTCTTCATGACGATCTACAACAGGTGGGTGTCAGTGAGGGTGGGTGTTCTTCATGACGATCTACAACAGGTGGGTGTCTGTAAGGGTGGGTGTTCTTCATGACGATCTACAACAGGTGGGTGTCAGTAAGGGTGGGTGTTCTTCATGACGATCTACAACAGGTGGGTGTCAGTGAGGGTGGGTGTTCTTCATGACGATCTACAACAGGTGGGTGTCAGTGAGGGTGGGTGTTCTTCATGACGATCTACAACAGGTGGGTGTCAGTGAGGGTGGGTGTGCATCATGACGATCTACAACAGGTGGGTGTCAGTAAGGGTGGGTGTTCTTCATGACGATCTACAACAGGTGGGTGTCAGTGAGGGTGGGTGTTCTTCATGACGATCTACAACAGGTGGGTGTCTGTGATTCAGGGTGTTCTTCATGACGATCTACAACAGGTGGGTGTCAGTGAGGGTGGATGTTCTTCATGACGATCTACAACAGGTGGGTGTCAGTGATTGTGGGTGTTCTTCATGACGATCTACAACAGGTGGGTGTCTGTGAGGGTGGGTGTTCTTCATGACGATCTACAACAGGTGGGTGTCAGTGATTGTGGGTGTTCTTCATGACGATCTACAACAGGTGGGTGTCAGTGAGGGTGGGTGTTCTTCATGACGATCTACAACAGGTGGGTGTCAGTGAGGGTGGGTGTTCTTCATGACGATCTACAACAGGTGGGTGTCTGTGAGTGTGGGTGTTCTTCATGGCGATCTACAACAGGTGGGTGTCTGTGATTGTGGGTGTTCTTCATGACGATCTACAACAGGTGGGTGTCTGTGATTGTGGGTGTTCTTCATGACGATCTACAACAGGTGGGTGTCTGTGATTGTGGGTGTTCTTCATGACGATCTACAACAGGTGGGTGTCAGTAAGGGTGGGTGTTCTTCATGACGATCTACAACAGGTGTGTGTCAGTGAGGATGGGTGTTCTTCATGACGATCTACAACAGGTGGGTGTCAGTAAGGATGGGTGTTCTTCATGACGATCTACAACAGGTGGGTGTCAGTGAGGGTGGGTGTTCTTCATGACGATCTACAACAGGTGGGTGTCAGTGAGGATGGGTGTTCTTCATGACGATCTACAACAGGTGGGTGTCTGTGATTGTGGGTGTTCTTCATGACGATCTACAACAGGTGGGTGTCAGTGAGGGTGAGTGTTCTTCATGACGATCTACAACAGGTGGGTGTCAGTGAGGATGGGTGTTCTTCATGACGATCAACAACAGGTGGGTGTCAGTGATTGTGGGTGTTCTTCATGACGATCTACAACAGGTGGGTGTCAGTAAGGGTGGGTGTTCTTCATGACGATCTACAACAGGTGGGTGTCTGTGAGGGTGGGTGTTCTTCATGACGATCTACAACAGGTTGGTGTCAGTGAGGGTGGGTGTTCTTCATGACGATCTACAACAGGTGGGTGTCAGTGAGGGTGGGTGTTCTTCATGACGATCTACAACAGGTGGGTGTCAGTGAGGGTGGGTGTTCTTCATGACGATCTACAACAGGTGGGTGTCTGTGATTGTGGGTGTTCTTCATGACGATCTACAACAGGTGGGTGTCAGTGAGGGTGGGTGTTCTTCATGACGATCTACAACAGGTGGGTGACTGTGATTGTGGGTGTTCTTCATGACGGCCTACAACAGGTGGGTGTCAGTGAGGGTTGGTGTTCTTCATGACGATCTACAACAGGTGGGTGTCAGTGAGGGTGGGTGTTCTTCATGACGGCCTACAACAGGTGGGTGTCAGTGAGGGTGGGTGTTCTTCATGACGATCTACAACAGGTGGGTGTCAGTAAGGGTGGGTGTTCTTCATGACGATCTACAACAGGTGGGTGTCTGTGAGGGTGGTTTGTCTTCATGACGATCTACAACAGGTGGGTGTCAGTAAGGGTGGGTGTTCTTCATGACGATCTACAACAGGTGGGTGTCTGTGAGGGTGGTTTGTCTTCATGACGATCTACAACAGGTGGGTGTTCTTCATGACGATGGATGCTTTGTGTCGAGTTTTTGTTACTACAGCATCAGCTTGGAGCTGGCAAAGAGAACATACTCTCAAATAGATTGCGTAATAAACGAAGGATCTCAAACTTTTGTTTTAGAACTTCGGAAACAGTTAATGTCCTTGATGCCCGCGAGAGGGCGCCACTTCTGGCCAACCAGACCATGTACATCAACAGGACCGACGGCCTGACCTCCACCCTGGGTGAGTTGAGCACCACGCTCGGTTCTACTCGGCTTTCTCCGCCACCTACAGCATCCCGAGACAGCACAGGGGTAGTGTCTTTATTTCACTGCCGCCTCCACGGGTGAATTGCAAACCAACTACACACTCAAGTCTTTGAAAGGCTTGGAAGTGATACACATAAGGGAGGTAATTGATGGATGTCAACTTCTTCATTATGAGGAACACAACGTTTCGGAGTATATGCTTACTCCTTCATCACGCCTTATTGCTTTGATCTTTGTCAGTGCCAATTTCCTAGCTGGCTTCCATTTGCCCATTGCTATTCCTTCACCTATGAGTGCTAATTACCCCCGGCCTCCCGTTTGCCCATTGTCCATATCCATTCACCTATCTGTGATAATTTAGTCCTGGTTTCCAGTTGTCGATACTATCAGAGCCCATTATCTGCTGTCTTCCCTTGTTAAGTTTCCGTCTTTTGTTATCTTATTACTTTTGTTGTTCTAACATGTACATATATATATATATATATATATGCTCTCTGCCTCATAGCATTCATTCACCTAATGAAGGAGTAAGCATAAACTCCGAAACGTTGTGTACCTCATAATAAAGAAGTTGGCATCCATAAATTCTCTCCCCTAACTATACACACAGACCGAATCTCGGAATCGAATCATGGGTTTAAGCACGCCCAAGGGACGCAACTCCGTACATTGAAATACGGCGTGCCCCGTACTTCTATAACGATACCGACATTTAGATTCCACTATCTGCATGGTTAGTGAGTGAGTTGGGTTTAACGCCGTTTAAACAGTATATTTAAATTAAATGACGGCGTGCCCACTTGGTGCTGTTTGTTTGTTGTTTAACGCCGAACTCAGCAATATTCCAGCTATATGACGGCGGTCGGAAAATAATCAAGTCTGGGCCAGACAATCCAGTGATTGACATCATGAGCATCGATTCACGCAATCGGGATACGATGACATGCATCGACCAAGTCAGCGAGCCTGGTCACCCGATCCCGTTAGTCGCTTGGTGTGTGGGGAAAGTCTGTGAGGAATGAAAAGAGTGAGGTCTATGACGTTTACCACTTTGGTGAAACCCACGAGCAGGGGTGTGGTGCTGATAAAAATATAAACCCACCTATTGGGATTCTGGTGTTCGAGCCCAGGATCATAGGTTTCCGGTACGCCTAAGGGACCTTGAACTAACAACTGTACCAGCCGAGCCGTCGCCATCAGAGGTAGTTATACCATTGTTATCTGTGCAGGGGGCCTGGCCATCGCGGTCCCCGGAGAGATCAAAGGGTACTGGGAGGCGCACCAGCGTTACGGGCGGCTTCCATGGAGGGACCTCTTCCAGCCCGCCATCAAACTGTGTCGGGAGGGAGTGCCGGTCTACGAGCCGCTGTCCGTGGCCATCAACCGGTACCCCGACCTGCTGAAGAACTTCTCTCACTCGTAAGTCAAACACCACCCGATACACAATGTTGTCGAGAACTTCTCCAATACTTAAGTCAAACATTAACCGATGCATGACCTTCTCAAGAACCTTGCCCCACATAAGTCAACCACCAACCGATACGCGACCATATCGAGACCTCCCCCCATACGTAAGTCAAACCCCAAGCGATACACGATGTTGTCAAAACCTTCTCTCAAACGCAAGTCAACCATGAACCGACACACGACCTGCTCGAGACCTTCCTCCCACAGGTACATAAGTACTAGATGAGACGGCACGTAAAATAACAGTGAGTGAACGTTCATTTTTTTGCCCCGGTTTAGAATATTGCAGCTTTATTATATACTTCAGTGTGAAAGAAGGAGTTTTCTGAAGTTGAGAACAGTGATGTTTCTGTATAAACTGTATATTTCTCATTTAACTCGTCAATCCAGACTCAGCGTGTTTTTCTTCACTTCCAACACCGGTCTCCTAGTTTTCAAGAAATTTTTTGTTCAAATATGACATTGTATATAATCATATATCAATGTATGATAAAGAATTTTCGTGACCCTAAATATTTTTGGATACTTTTGTTTATATTTTTTAAGATTTTGCAAACACGAAACTACTTTTTTAAGTCGCAAATACAATGGATAGGTAACCGTCTCTGTGTGTCTTGTAGGGAGAATTAAGGTTTCAAGCTTTGGCATTTGTTATGAAATAATTTAATTTTCCGGTAGACAACTGCACAAAAATTAGGGAATAAATAGGATATTCCATGTGTCTGGTGAAATATGATGTTTGTCTCATCTCGTGACGGGGGCAAAGGAGACATCTTGTATATCCTCTATATCCTCTATGTATCACGGCGGCCATTCAATGTTCGAGTCTGGTGCGTCCACACCAGTGTCTGACATGACGTGCAACTTGACATCCGATCCGCATTTAGGGCTCATGGTAACGTTAGGTCATCCATCCTCATGGATTGGCTCACTCTGATTTGAAAGTGAAACGTTGTTTCATTGAAAAGAAAACACATTTTTGTATATTCAGGATGTATTTCGACGCAACCACGGGGGAACCTGTCAAGGTCGGTGAGAAGGTGAAGCTCCCCCTGTTGGCAGACACTCTCAACACCATCGCTGAGGGGGGACAATCTGCGTTCTATAATGGCTCACTTACTGACATCATCGTCAACGAAACTCGGCGATATGGTGAGACTAGTAGCAACATAAACCATACAAAACACACAACAGCAATATAAACATATGAAACGAAATACTAAATAAAGTCAGTGAGTGAGTGAGTTTTACGCCGCTTTTAGTAATATTCCAGCAATATCACGGCGGGGGACACCAGAAATGGGCTTCACACATTGTACCCATGTTGGGAATCGAACCCGGGTCTTCGGCGTGACGAGCGAACGCTTTAACCACTGGGCTTCCCCACCGCCCGTACTATACAAAGACAGGTCACGCCCACTTCATCCACAAACCCAGTTGCTGTAGGAACATCATCAGTGATTCAGCAGTAGTGCTGCCAGTGTTTCGGTCAGGGATGACGATTTACAATAATTCGAATCATCAAAAACCGAACTTCATCACAACAGCTTGACAAGCGTTATTCGTCCAGTACTGGCGGCATGTAAGCTCACAAATGTATCACGAAGCTACACTCTCTTCTCATGAAACACAGAACTGGCACACCATTACAGTCTACAGCCTTTCAACTGCCTCAGTTATCATATCCTGACAAATAATTGAAAGCCGCGATGAAACTCCCACACCTCGTGAAACGCATTATACCGATGTATGGAGCGTAAAAGTAGAACCTGACACGTGACCTTATTTGCATATTTATATATGGTCTGATCTGACACTATCCATAATATCCAACATAAGTGGAACGTTAACGTTATTGGTTGTATTTAGTTTTCATTAATATTGGTGTATGCGGACAGGTGTAAGAAATTGATATGAACGTTGTCAGTATTAAGTGAGTGAGTGAGTATGGTTTTACGCCGCTTTGGGCAATATTCCAGCAATATCACGGCGGGGGACACCAGAAATGGGCTTCACACATTGTACCCATGTCGAGGATCGAACCCGGGTCTTCGGCGTGACGAGCGGACGCTTTAACCACTAGGCTACCCGACCGCCCGTTAGCATTAAGCGGTACAAACCTAATCTATTATGACATGTGATAAGTGAGGCAGCCTGGTGGTTAAAGCGTTCGCTCGTAATGCCGAAGGCCCGGGTTCGATTCCACACATGAAGTGCAATGTGTGAAATTGTGAGGCCCCCCCCCCCCCAATTGATATTGCTGGAATATTGCTAAAAGCGGCGTGAAACCATATTCACTCACTCACTATTATGATATGTTGCATTGACCTGGACTGACCCTCGGCTGATCTCATCACGGGCACAATGGTAGAATGAAGTAGTCTTGATCTGAACTGTCTGAACCACAGGCGGAATAATCTCCCGGGAGGATCTGAACCAGTACAACGCCACCTGGAGGACGCCGTTGTCGGTGACCTTGAGAGACAACCTGACGCTGTACTCTGTCCCGCCCCCCGGCAGTGGCGCTGTGTATGAATACATCATGAATATCCTTGACGGTACGTAGTCCGTGAACTTCATTTCAACGCCACAGGCATTATTATTCTAGAGTTTATATCACGACGACCTGTAAATAGTCGAGTCTGGACCAGGCAAACAAGTGACTAACAGAATGAGCAACGATCTACGCCATCGGGGCACGATGCCATGCAATTGCATAATCTGACCACCTAACCGATTAGTCGGAATCCCCACGGCTGGTTTTAGACTTGTCAGGTTAAACTTCTGAAGAAGATACGTGGATTGTGTCGATTAATGAAGAGTTAAAACGGCTTTTGTTGCTTATCTTATGACTCGCATTCATCATGCATTGTCTTGTTGCTAGGTTACGGCTTCACGCCCGACAGTCTGTCGACCAATGAGAAGAGCGTATTGACGTATCACCGGATCGTGGAAGCCATGAAATTTGCCTACGCCAAGAGGACGGATCTGGGGGACGAGGACTTTGTCGACGTGGCAGAGGTGAGAGGGCATGTCCGACAGATAACCTACACAAAGCAAGACAACAACAACATCGCCTGTTTTAACACTATGATTATCTCCCTACTCAGCTCATACAGAACATGACGTCCCGCGACTACGCCGATTCCATTCGGGCCAAAATAAACGACTTCCGCACGGAGGACACCGACTTCTACGGCCCCACCTTCTACGACAGCGTCAAGACGGGGACGACACACACTTCCATCATTGACGCTCAGGGCAACGCCGTTGCTATAACATCTACCATCAACACCTAGTCAGTATAGTGTCTATATCACATCACCTAGTTTGTATAGTGTCTATATCACATCACCTAGTTAGTATAGTGTCTATATCACATCACCTAGTTAGTATAGTGTCTATATCACATCACCTAGTCAGTATAGTGTCTATATCACTTCATCTAGTCAGTATAGTGTCTATATCACTTGACCTAGTCAGTATAGTGTCTGTCACTTCACCTAGTCAGTTTAGTGTCTATATCACTTCACCTAGTCAGTATAGTGTCTATATCACTTCACCTAGTCAGTATAGTGTCTATATATAGTGTTTAAAATGTTTCAAGAAACGTTATTGGATTTTTTGTTCAAAGATAATTAATCTACTCTGTGGTATATATATATATATTCGGTCAACGCTAATGTTTAACCAGGTATATCAGCCGTAAGCGGAATCTGTGTATACCGGACTCTTTAATTACACAATGGTCAAACGTTCTCATAATTTGATAATCCGGATATGTGTTAATCCGGGCGATTTCACTGAGAGGGATGTCCGGATAAGCGAGGGTGAACTGTGTGTGGTGGCGGCTTTGTGACGTCGTCTGCTGTTTCTGTGTTGTCAGTTTCGGCTCCAAGGTTCGCGGCAACACCACGGGCATCGCCTACAACAACGAGATGGACGACTTCTCCACACCTGGGGAGGTCAACTACTTCGGCGTGCCAGCATCCCCCGCTAATTTTATCGAACCTAGAAAACGCCCCCTGTCGTCGATGTGTCCAAGCATTGTCATCGACAGCAACACCGGAGACGTTGTGCTGGCAGTCGGGGCGGCGGGAGGCACAAAGATCACAACCTCCACTATGCTGGTAAGATGATGAGGGAACGCTCTTAATATATCTGTTACCATGGCAGATAGGAGATGACTGTAGTTACTGAGGTTATTATAAACCCCATTGTTCCACTTCATCTTGTAATATATCTTGTACCGGCGTAAATATTCAAAACAGTCACTGGTAATTATTCGAGCTGCATGTCCATAGCTGAATTCGTCATCTTTAACATTAAGTCATCATAAAAAATTGTTATTATTCATCACCATCTTCATAATTCAAATTCTTTTCATCATCATCATCATCATCATCATCATCATCATCATCATGAAATACGAATCGTTATGGCGATGATCATCACTATTCGTTCATCATCATCATCATCATCATCATCATCATGAAATACACATCGTTGTCCACCAGATATTAGCTCGCAATTAAACCGCGAAAGAGACTACTTCTACGTGTTTCACATGCCGGGTTCCTCCTCCAGGTGAGCCTGTACACCCTCCGCCTTGGGCTGCCTGTCGGGGCCGCCATAGACAGCAAGCGGCTCCACCACCAGCTGCTGCCGAAGACCCTCAGCGTGGAGAAGGGATTTCCCCAGGTACTGTCTGACAGGAGCCCTAACGTGTAGACGTAAGAGGCCTGACTGCCTGATCCAGACCACATCTGTGATATAGCTGGAATATTGCTGACTGTGGAGTAAAAAACAAACAAACAAACAAACACAATGTAGGACACCGGTAGGTAGTATACAACGTCGCAGGTCGTGCCGGTGTCCACGTCACTGATGGTCTAGATACACAAGTCAGTGAGTGAGTATGGTTTTACGCCGCTTTTGGCAATAGTCTAGTAGTATCACGGCGGGGGACACCAAAAATGGGCTTCACACATTGTACCCTTTGGACGAGCGAACGCTTTAACCACTAGGTTACCCGACCGCCCCAAATACACAAGTGAGAATTCGGTGGCCAAAATGGTGAACTGAAAGCCGTCCATTGATAACATGATTGCCTTGGTGCACCTGCACCAGGACAAGGTTCGAACTCGTCGTATATGCGACCTATGTACCTGTTTGTTCACGGTATCACCTCCGTATCGTTCAACCGTAGCGGGTCCAGGATACTCTTTTCAAGTGTTTCAGGTCTTAGTAGGCCAAAGTTAAAATTTCCTTTATTTTAATTGTTTTGTTTGGGTTTTCATTCGCAGGAAATTTTGGATGGATTAAAGGCCAAAGGTCACAACTTGACCCTCGATAATCCGTCGTCAGTTGTCGATGCGATTCACGTGACGGGAGGCATGCTCCACGCCGCCAGCGACATCCGGAAGTTCGGGGCACCAGATGGATATTGATGACGTCATGATTAGCCGTCCTACCGCATTCCAATACATTGTCACAGAATCATTTAACACATCAGAATACCAGAGTTGGTCAAACACATTGCCGGCATTCTAAACAGTCGAACTGTAGTCTGTGTACGCAATAAGTATACACATTGGTGGGTATGTATACTTATCGATCTGTACGTATACTCTTTGATCAGTACATATACACATATGTGTTACATTGATCGGTGCATATACTTATTGATCGGTACGTATACGCGTAGATCGGTACGTATACGCAGTGAATCTTACGTGAACATGGGCGATACAGTTTACATATGTAATCATGAGAATGTGTGTTACACAGTTTACACGTGTTACCATGGGAACATCGGGGATATAGTTTACACCTGTTACCATGGGAATGTCGGGGTTACAGTTTACACGTGTTATCATTCACACGAGGGTCAGTTTACACATGTTACTATGGTAACATGTGTTACAATTGCTTCATTTAAACCAATTCTATTTTTCATCGGATTATTCCATTTTTAGATATTTTAGTAAACGGTGCAAATTTATATTTTACGTTCGCATCGTGTATTCACAGAGTAGGGAGCAGAATTATAGTTCAACGATTGATTACAAGTGTCTCGGGACGAAGATGTAATCTTGTCTAAAAACCGGTTAAGCAAACAGCAATGTAAGGTCTACTGACAGACAAACAGACAGATAGACAGTCAGACTCACTATCTATTCACTATTATACAAAAATATACCTGCAGGAGTGAAAAATATGACAATTCCTTCGTCGCACAACACGGTTTTCCCCGGAAACACACGAGTGGTCACGGGTGTGCGAATAAGTTGCGTCCATTATGAGCGTCCTTTAATGGTGTAGCATGAGACTAGGTCATGTCTCTGTGACCAGAGTCTTCTATCACAGCATTATACTACACAGTAAACCAGTTGTTTTGCTTGGTTTCCGGCCCGCTGGCAGGAAGTGGAATACATCGCCCTGTTATCTCCCTGTTATCTCCCTGTCGCGTGTGAAGTAACCTGTTGACTATATATATTTATACATCCCTTAAACAAAGTGATACAAATAGAGAGGCACTTCATCAGCTGGTGTTTTGTAACACCACTTGAACATCAAGATTTTACATGGTTATCCTTTTATGTCATGGTTCATTTTTAGAATATATCCATGTTTGTTTTCTTTGTACATCTTTTTTACGGATATTAAATAATAAATTGATGAAGTGTCGCGTTGTGTTGTGTGTGCGGGTTTTGGTTGGAGTACGGCCGCACTCCCCGTCAATGTACCGCCGCACTCACCGTCATTGTATGGCCACACGCCCCGTCATTGTACGACCACACGCCCCGTCATTGTACGGCCAGACGCCCCGTCATTGTACGGCCGCACGCCCCGTCATTGTACGACCACACGCCCCGTCATAGTATGGCCACACGCCCCGTCATTGTACGGCCGCACGCCCAGTTATTGTACGGCCGCACGCCCCGTCATTGTATGGCCACACGCCCCGTCATTGTACGGCCGCACGCCCAGTTATTGTACGGCCACACGCCCCGTCATTGTACGGCCGCACGCCCCGTCATTGTATGGCCACACGCCCCGTCATTGTACGGCCACACGCCCCGTCATTGTATGGCCACACGCCGCGTCATTGTACGACCACACGCCCCGTCATAGTATGGCCACACGCCCCGTCATTGTACGGCCGCACGCCCCGTCATTGTATGGCCACACGCCCCGTCATTGTATGGCCACACGCCCCGTTATTGTACGACCACACGCCCAGTCATTGTACGGCCGCACGCCCCGTCATTGTATGGCCACACTCACCGTCCTTGTATGGCCGCACTCACCGTCATTGTACGGCCGCACTCACCGTCCTTGTATGGCCGCACGCCCCGTCATTGTACGACCGCACTCACCGTCCTTGTATGGCCACACGCCCCGTCATTGTACGACCACACGCCCAGTCATTGTACGGCCGCACGCCCCGTCATTGTATGGCCACACGCCCCGTCATTGTACGACCACACGCCCAGTCATTGTACGGCCGCACGCCCCGTCATTGTATGGCCACACGCCCCGTCATTGTACGGCCGCACGCCCCGTCATTGTATGGCCACACGCCCCGTCATTGTACGGCCGCACTCACCGTCCTTGTACGACCACACGCCCAGTCATTGTATGGCCACACGCCCCGTCATTGTGCGGCCGCACTCACCGTCCTTGTATGGCCACACGCCCCGTCATTGTACGGCCGCACGCCCAGTCATTGTGCGGCCGCACTCACCGTCCTTGTATGGCCGCACGCCCAGTCATTGTACGGCCGCACGCCCCGTCATTGTACGGCCGCACGCCCAGTCATTGTACGGCCGCACTCACCGTCCTTGTATGGCCGCACGCCCAGTCATTGTACGGCCGCACTCACCGTCCTTGTATGGCCGCACGCCCAGTCATTGTACGGCCGCACGCCCCGTCATTGTATGGCCACACGCCCCGCCATTGTACGGCCGCACTCACCGTCCTTGTATGGCCACACGCCCCGTCATTGTACGGCCGCACGCCCAGTCATTGTACGGCCGCACTCACCGTCCTTGTATGGCCGCACGCCCAGTCATTGTACGGCCGCACTCACCGTCCTTGTATGGCCGCACGCCCAGTCATTGTACGGCCGCACGCCCCGTCATTGTATGGCCACACGCCGCGTCATTTTACGGCCGCACGCCCAGTCATTGTATGGCCACACACCCCGTCATTGTACGGTTGCACTCACCGTCCTTGTATCGCCGCACGCCCCGTTTGTATGGCCACGCGCCCAGTCATTGTATGGCCACACGCTCCGTCATTGTATGGCAACGTGCCCCGTCATTGTATGGCCACACGCTCCGTCATTGTATGTGGGAACTTGTTTAGTGGATGACGTTAAGGCTGTCATACACACCCTGAAATAAATAGATCCAACACAGCCTATGCAAGTCTATAACAATTGGCAAGTCTAGATAACTGCAGTTTCTTGTCTTTGGCCTACTTTTAATTATATTTTATTAATATAATTTAACAGGTGTTTTTTTCTGAAACGTGTTTTCATTTCAAAGATTAGATACTAATCTTGATAAATATCTACACAGTTTTAGTACGTGGAAATATTGTTTGTATAGAGTTAAGTCCCTTGCTTACTTTTCACTTTAATTTTAGAGCATTCTGCATTTTACAATATGTCTTTCGTCAGGGACAAGGCAGAAGCTAGATAACTTTGATGTGACTATAGATGTGGCGTATGTTTGGGATTCTGTGTCAGCTATATGTTTAAGAGACTGCTTTAGAAATGTTTTTACATTCGCGCACAGGAAGATCTACATTGTTATGTTTATATCAATAGAAACCTTTTATTTACTCCTTGCAAAAGGTTAGTAAGAACAACCGAAGAACATTTCTATGTGTATTTTCTATGTTTAAAGGCCGTACTCGTTTGTTGTTTAACCCCGCACTCAGCAATATTCCAGCTATATGACGGCGGTCTGTAAATAATCGGGTCTAGACCAGACAATCTAGTGATTGACAGCGTGAGCATCGATCTTCGCAATTGGGCTACGATGACATGCATCAACCAAGTCAGCGAACCTGACCACCAAATCCCGTTAGTCGCCTCTTACGACAATCATGGGTTGCTGGAGACCAATTCTAACCCGGATGTTCACGGGTCGACAGGAAGTAGTCTTCGTAATGACCTTTCCTTTACCAGTGGAATGTTTGTCTGCTGAAGGTGTTGTACGGATGTGTATAAGTTTAACACACGAGAGAATAACGTACGGAATAACACTTCGTACGTGAAAATTGTAAATGCTCAGATAGCGTCCTTTACTTTTCGAGATTCGCCCCAATCATTAACAGCATCAGGCATCCATCACGTTACCTATTATCCGGAGTCAGGACAAACGTACTTCTTCGGTTCTCAGACTGACGGCAAACAAAACATTCACCCATAAATAGCGTCAGATAAAGATGAATACTTGAAATATTCGCGTTGCATGTTGTGTACATGGCGGAACAAACAGGCTTCGTGCTATTTCTAACGCCGCTTTACTCATTTTGCGACAGAGTTCTCTCCCTTTAAGCATTATCGTCAAGCCTGTAGCATGTAATCCAGGAGTGTACTGTCGTTGTTTATTTGCTTGGGCATCGACAGCTTACGGATCCTTCTTACCGATCAAATTAATAAACAGTAACGTTTCGCTAGTGTGTAAAGTGCATTGACTTTAATAGAACCTGTCAGTCCCCAATTAACGACCTGAAGCAAGAGTTACGTCCCCTGTTTTACACGTGCCTGTCTGCTTGCGCAGCTTATTTCATTATATTTAACTTGTTGGCCACGTGAAATACATAATTTTGTTTTTATACAAACCTTTAAAAATAAACCCTTGGATTGAATGAGGCATTATTTATATACGGGATACGTTTAAATCAGGTAGTTGACTGAAATATAAAACATTATGCGCACATGACTATGAAGTGAACGTTGCCAGCGACTCACGTCGACACGTTATAAGTAGGTTCGCAAACTTTGGTTCCCCATCGGGCAAAATGTCAAGTCGATGCTCGAAACATTTCCTCATATCAGATTCTAGACATGACAATAAACATAATCTCAGGGAGATACTATTTCTAGCACGCATGAACAATATAGATATCGGGGTGTTTTGAAAAATGTAATGATGGTGCTACGTGCAAATAAAAAAAAAGTTTCGAATAAAAATGGAATATTTTAAAGAGATTAGAACTTGTGACATAGAGCAGAGCAGTACCATGTTGATGACGTCATCGCCCAAATCGATGACGTCATCAACAATGCGTGACCTATGACCTCTCGCTCTATCACCATTGACAGGATCGGGGTGTCGTTTGGATTTCTCTGAGCTCAGAAGCCTCCCGGTAAGTAGAAGATTAAACAGAACACAAAGAAAATATCTTTCATATTAATTACTTACATAGTCAATAGCATTATTGTTGACTTAATACACAAAGAGCTTTTATAATACAGGAAATAGATGTGTTTCATACCACTCATTAAGTGCCAACTTAGCTGATATGTTTTAGCGAACATCTCGACGCGTGAATTATGGCAGAGTTATCCCAGAAAAGTCAAATTGTGGATATTTTGCTTAATGGATGCTAATAGTGATGTTTATAACTTGAGGTAAAATAGTGTTTGTTTGTATTACAGCTGTTGTCACAGACTTTGGGATATACATATTAGCTGCTTTCGCCAAACACAAACGCAAGCGTTTTCTCAAGGTAGCATCGTAGCTGTCTCTCACAAACAGTGAGTATCTAAATAGTGCATGTAACAAATGTTATATTTTGGGATAACATTTTCTTAGTAAAGCACAGATTCTCGTACTTTTTTGGTTTAGTGCCTTTACTCATGGATGTTAGCTGCCTCACTGGCAGTGTGGGTTCGAATCCCGGAAAGTACGAGAATCTGTACTTTACTAAGAAAGTATTATCTTAAATATAACATTTGTTACATTTTACCACTTTCTAGATGGCATTGTGTGTTAAAAGATGTTGCATGTTTTCTTCGAATGTGGGCATTAATGTATTACTCGGTGGTATCCATATAGACAAAAGGGTTATAGAGAAAACGACCACCTCATACGGCCGATACTAAAAACAATAATGCAAACATGTATATGGGAAAAGTATCATTTTATTCACTTCACCTTCACATCTGTAGCATAATCATAATATTATAATAATTTTGTAAAAAAATTCACCTGCGTTAATGCGGTCGTTTTTCAAGAGCGACCAGGCGACACATAGCTCGATTTGCCTAAGACAGGCTCTCTCTCGGATGTGAGCTCGGGGTTTATTTCCTTGTGGCAGGACAATGTTGACTGGCAACAGCTTCGCCTGGCGGTGTAGGACGGCTATCAGCTTGTATGAGTTCGTGGGCTGTTCTCCGCACTTGTAATTGATTCGCCTATGTGCCTAAAACGTAAACGATTTAACTTAATATCGGAACTTTTCTTATTTAAATTCGAAATGATGTATGTACACATATGTACAAGAGACTGACCAGACGCCCAATGTGTTGGTGCAGATCTACTGCTCCCCTACATAGTTGATCAGGGCTCGAAGTTTATCCTAATCCTTGACCGGTGCTGACCTCAGCGATGACGGGAGGGATGTGATTGGAAGAAGGGACAGTGGCATCAGCTGGGGTACAAACTTGTTCCACCGCGGTTGTTGATGTAGGCAGTCATGCGTGTTATTTAAATTATAGACACTAGTAATCAATAATGTCATGCCCGACTGGCTTCTCATAGTATATTTTATGCTTATATAATTAAATCCTAACCCCAGATGGCTTCTGTATTTTATTATCATATTCTTTCATCCCTCAGTAAGCCTATTTTACTCTAACAGCAGTCAGTCAGTCAGTCAAGTTTCTTTGTGTGTCGGGGATCCATAACATCAAGTGAAATTGATTGAATCAAACAATATTTATGTATACAACGTGTGAATGACTTTCCTTAATAACATAATAATTCCGAAAATCAATAACACTGAATTGGCCGTTTTCTCTTACACTTGTGGCCGCTTTCACTAACCCCGTCGGTCTTTTCCTCCATTTTTTTAGTTTTTCCCCGTATCCCTGTGAAAAGACAATGTTGTTATTTTTCAACTTTTAAATATCAGTGATTGCCTTTCGTGGCCATCCATCGGTCCGGCCGCTGGAGTTATCAAAGGGAAGTTACTCTGGTCTGTGGGCCGTCACTTTTGTTTCGAGTCTGTCGGGTCTACTGCACAATGTTTCGTAACGTGATTACGAAATGCAGTCAGATACCCCACACAGCGACAAAATGAAACATTGTACAATTTCGGACATATTTCTGCCAAATCCAACTGTTTTTTAGTTCGGGAAAAGACCCCAAGCAAGCCTCAGAGTTCTGCAATACTCTGCATTGACTACAAGCACAGGTACCCAACAGGCCTAGCCATTAGGCTCTTGGAACACATTCCGGCGCAGTGCAACACCACTGCAACAGGCTAATTTGCATATCACGTGACCGGAACTTTCACAAACGCGATTATTCTGTAACGTAATGCCTAATGCAAGCCATTCGGAGCTCTCTACATACTGTTTTGCATAATTAAATAGATATGCTACTACAACTGCGACAGTGAGTTGCATGAAAATATATCTTTATACATCAAAGTGACCGTAGGGCTTCGATGACAGCACGTGGAACCGTACAGAAAATGTAAACAAGGATAAAGTCCTGCGCAAATGGAAACAGTTTTTTTCACGGGATATTTTCTCAATCAAAGTTTATATTTCTTTTATGTGTAGACTCATATTAAACACATATGCAATATTGTGAATAGACTGTACATGTGTACTTCTCTTTCGAAACGTCACATGGCGCTGGCCTGTGGCAGGACTCTCTCCTACCATGGGCGCCATGCGGCCAGTACAGCACCTCTGCCACAAGCCAGCGCCATGTGACGATTCGCCACATCTTTGACAGTCAATTCAAGAAAGTATACCGAATTTGTTTTATGTGATTGAAAATTGACAGAAATTCCTTCAACGGTTTGTAAAACGTAATCTGTGACAGGGTAAGTTTTAGAAAAATAAATTGGTTCAATGAAGACTGGGGTAAGAAATGATTTTTTTACCATGTGACACCTACCCATTTTTGAAATGTAAACATGTTCCACAAAAAGTAAATCTGATGAATTTCAAAGATAAGATGTCTAAGATGCCAATCAGCAGTTGTGTATTAAATGAAATATTGTTTTCTTGTGGTTTTTTTTAAAATTATTGTAAATCAAATCATATTTTAAATGAGTATTCTTTGAGTGCTGACTAAGCGCCCCGTACAGTTATTTTTCATATGATATCGCTAACTTAAGATATTTTCTATTGAATACCATACAGATGATAAATTCAACTGAGAGTTATACTTTCTTTTGCTCCTCAGTATATGAATAATTAACTTTAATATTAAATATTGTGCTTAGATTAGCAATATATATCGTGCTGAAAACACGATAGAAATCTACAAAGAGAAAGTAAGAGCAGAGAGCTTGGAATTTGACGCTTTTCTATAGATGACTGTGACGTAATATCTTTTGCATCACAATGAGCGATATGACGTCATAATGATGACGCGCGGTGTAGAACGCAAGCGTTGCAAAGCTTGCTTAGGTTCCTTCAGGGGTGCCCACCTCATGTTAGCTTTCCAAGTTGCCGTGCTTATATGCTTTCAATGCCTGTCTTGTTCGAGTGAAGTATTACGGTGTAAACAAACTGCCTGAGCATATACAGCGCCATATTTTGTTTAAAGGCTGCTGTCGGTGAATCCGTAATTCAAATCGACAACCCACTCAAAACATTGGGCTCAACCCATGCCGCTTCACTCAAATTATTTGCAAGCACCAAAGAGTTCGCGTTTCATTTAGTCATTGTAGAATGGAGATAAACATACTGTGTTTTCAATGTAGAGCTTGGTTACCTGTAGATTTAACCCCGCTAAATTGAATTTGGAACCGAACGCTCAGCGTGAGGTTTCAACTGATAAATTTAGTAAATTCACAAAGCGTGTGTCAACTAGCCAGATCTTTTACAAAGTCATTCTGTGAAACTTGAATTCTTCTCTCTAAACTTGACATCTTGAATACATCCCATTTTAAACATCTCGAGTTTTAAGGTTACAAGACAAACTGCTGATATTCCAAGGTCATTGTTTTGGACTATTAATTGTACACTCATAGTTGCTTTGATTTAACAAATAGTTGGAAAATTGTCACATGTTAACCCTTGAGTTATATCTGGTAGTGCTTAAAGTAATATATTAATCTGTTTTGATAATTGTTAGAAATCGAAGCAACATATGCATGAAAGACATAATAAATGATCACCAAAAGTTGTTACAGATATCATGAGATAATAGAAAGATTATACTGTTAATTGATGTTTCATTACCATTGCAGGTAACAATGAAAATGCATATTACCGTTGAATGTTTTAAAACTTAATTAGCCATTCAAAGCAAAACAAAAAATCTCATTTGCGATTCTTAAAAGCCGAGGACATTTGAGGTAGAAAACTAAAAAAGACATACATATTCACTGTAAGCTCTTTTTAAATTTAAAATAATATTTTAGAAATTTACATTTGGAAGTAAAAGATAAAAAGCTGAGAATAATTAAGTTAGATTATTTTTGGAACAAGATAAATGTTTTTTAGTTTATCAAAGATATTTTAGTAATTTATAAACAGCAATATGCGAGTGCTACGGAAAAGACAATTTCTGTTGGACTGAAACAGAGATAGAGTTATCGTTCTTGTTTGAAGTAGCTCTACGAGTACGGGTCGCCATTCGGCTTGTTCCGGAATGACACAAGTCAGTCACGCATGACGCCGATAAATAAAGGGACATTACTCTGTATTACCCTTGATTCGTTATTCCGCAGTCCACATTAGCAGGGTTTTAGTGTGTACACACATTAAACTTATTTCCCCCTTCTTTGTTGATAATCATATTTTTTGTGTGTAGTTCACCAAGAGCCATCCAGCCATGCAGGGCCCTATTTTAGTAATACCCCCTGTAACACGTGGTGGTACGAACCGGAAGTTGACCGGACCTAGCGCTCGCAGAGGTATATGGGTAAAGAAGCCGGAAGAAGTGTACCCCGGCATGGCCGTCTTGAGGGAACGTCAAGCCAAGACCGTCAGCATGACGTATACAACCGTCGTCAACGTGCCCATCTTGAGATATGCAACAGCCACACCGGCGGAAATACTAGAAAAACGCGAGCGAATCAAAGAAGAGAAAAGAGACTCGGCTGACAATATGGAGAAGAGGATCTCACGGTTCTGTCACGCCTACCGTATGTCCATCCCAGAAACCAACTCACATTCTACAATCAAGAAAGATGCACCTTGGTTGACGTCGCGAGCTGATGGTACCGAGCACAGCCACGTCATCAACGCTACCATCCCCAAAGTGGAGAACGGCATCAACCAGAACGACAATGACACCATCCCCCTAGACCTCAAGCAGTGCCACATCTTCTACAGCGACACGGGCATTGCGTCATGGCGTTTGGCCATGAGCAAAGATGGCGAGATCGCCAGGGTGAACCCCGTCAAGAGGAACTCGTCGTTCCGCGAGTACACGTGGCGGTTGTCGTATCTCGTTTGCCAGGGGAAGCGGCAGATGAGGCTGATGGCGAGAAGTAAACAAGAACGATGTGGTCCTTTGCCTCTGTTCAGTCAACACTCGCTGGTCCGGCAGCTGGAGTTCGATATGCCGGAAGGAAACGAATGTTACAAACAGGAAGGGATCCCCATCTCTCGGGCCGTCAGAATACTGTTCCAGACAGCCGATATGAAAGCGTTTGAGAAAAGGATGTTCAACAAGAAGAAGGGCGTGGTCCCAAAGAAGAAGGACAAACTGGAAGTGGAGGCACATCCCGTGGGGTTGAAGCTGTCAACGGGTTGTCTGTGTCTTCCAATGCAACACGATCAAGAGGTAATGTATGAGTGTGTTGTTTAACGCCCGGTTCGCCAACACCACCTTATAAGGTGATACTGAATGAGCGAATTGCTTGACGTCACACTGTGATAGATGGAGATAACCTAGTGGTTGACAGTATGAGTACAGCTTCCTGTCGGCGATGACGCACAACCAGCCACGTCACTGACTGACCACTCATTCGCCATCATATCCGGCTGGGTACTGGTGAGTCGCTATATGGCTGAAATTATGCTGATGCAACGTTAAGTTTTTACTCACTATTTCGCCCGCTTGTAGTTTGTACTGTGAGTCGCTTGCGCTTGGAACAGCAGTTGTCATATCACGGCGTTAGCCTGATACAGACGGAAAGCCCAAATAGACGAAGACTACAACCATCTTGGAGAAAGAAACACGAGTGTGTGGCCGCGGATCTTGGTCAGGGTGATCTTGTATTCGAACCCCCGACCAGCTGTTCCTGGCACAGTGACGTGGACCAGTGGGCCAACCGCACCGTCAGTTTGTGTTGTCCTCTGAGTCGGTGTGTTCCAGAGAGAGAGTGATAGACGAGGACACGTCCTTTTATAGTGAGCGTGTGTACTGTGTGAGTTTGTTAAATAGTGACTGTGTGAGTGATGGTGTTAAATAGTGACTGTGTGAGTTTGTTAAATAGTGACTGAGTGAGTGATGGTGTTAAATAGTGACTGTGTGAGTTTGTTAAACAGTGACTGTGTGAGTGTGTTAAACAGTGACTGTGTGAGTTTGTTAAATAGTGATTGAGTGAGTTTGTTAAATAGTGACTGTGTTAGTTTGTTAATAGTGACTGAGTGAGTTTGTCAAATAGTGACTGAGTGAGTTTGTTAAACAGTGACTGTTGAGTTTGTTAAATAGTGACAGAGTGAGTTTGTTAAACAGTGACTGTGTGAGTTTGTTAAATAGTGACTGAGTGAGTTTGGTAAAAAGTGACTGTGTGAGAGAGTCTGTTAAATAGTGACTGTGTGAGTTTGTTAAACAGTGACTGTGTGAGTTTGTTAAAAAGTGACTGTGTGAGTGAGTTTGTTAAACAGTGACTGCGTGAGTTTGTTAAATAGTGACTGAGTTTGTTAAATAGTGACTGTGTGAGTTTGTTAAATAGTGACTGAGTGAGTTTGTTAAATAGTGACTGTGTGAGAGAGTCTGTTAAATAGTGACTGTATGAGTTTGTTAAGCAGTGACTGTGTGAATTTGTTAAATAATGACTGTGTGAGAGTCTGTTAAAAAGTGACTGTGTGAGTGTCTGTTACAAAGTGACTAAGTGAGTTTGTTAAACAGTGACTGTGTGAGTTTGTAAAATAGTGACTAAGTGAGTTTGTTAAACAGTGACTGTGTGAGTTTGTTAAATAGTGACTGTGTGAGAGTATGTTAAATAGTTACTGTGTGAGAGTCTGTTAAATAATGGCTGTGTGAGAGTCTGTTAAATAGTGACTGTGTGAGTTTGTTAAATAGTGACTGTGTGAGTTTGTTAAATAGTGACTGTGTGAGAGTCTGTTAAATAGTGACTGTGTGAGAGTCTGTTAAATAGTGACTGTGTGAGTTTATTAAACAGTGACTGTGTGACTGAGTTTGTTAAATAGTGACTGTTGCCGTAAAAGGCGACTATGCTTGTCGTAAGAGGGCACCAACGGGATCGGGTGGTCAGGTTCGCTTACTTGGTTGATGTATGTCATCGTATTCCAAATGTGTAGATCGATGCTCATGATGTCAATCTCTAAAGTGTCTGGTCAAGACGCGATTATTTACAGACCGCCGTCATTGAGCTGGAATATTCTTGAATGCGGCGTTAAACAACAAACAAACAATAAATAGTGCCTGCTTGCTGGTCTAGTATCTGTTAGTGACTTTGTGTGGATGTAGTGTTGATAGTATGTTGTGGGAGTTGTGAGTCTGAGTAAGTGACTCTCTGAGGTACAACATATGACAACGTCATCTTCCTCTCCCCACAGGAAGACGACGACTACTCCCTTGAGTGGAGCGACGACAGCGCCAACAACGGCAGGATCAAGAGTGCAGAACCAACTCAGAGCCAACTTCTCGAGGATCTAAACCGTGAAGCCGAGATGCAAATGCAGACCCCCGATCCTGTGAACCTACCCACCCCCACCCCTACTCCCTCCCCAGAGGGCAAAGCAAAGAAATGCTGTAAGGGATGCTGTGCGTTTTTGTGATGTATTACTACATATGCACGTTGACCTCGTTAGCAGAAATGTATTGTCCACTTTTGACGTTTTTAGAAGTTTAAGATTGTTTAGCGTTAAGTTCAAGGTTGTATAGTTTATTTGAATAGTGTTAATTGATTTATGCATAAGGCTTGCTTGTTTCTATTTATTTTGTTTGTAAATTAATTAATGTTTGCATTTATAGTTTACAATATTGGTTAACGCACAGGGAACGTATCATAAGCAAACGCCAGTGCGTGGTTCGACCGCCGCCACGCCTCCATCCATCATTAAAGACGACAGCCAGAGCGCCACGTTCCACAAAGCGATCGTAGCGCTAGGATGAATATAACTCCAATACTTTGCCATGGACTTACGACAGTCATATAGCGCTACCACCGCTTTGATGAACGGGGCCCAGTCCGAAGGCGATGTAACCTGTACCGCTAGTATGTCTAGACGTCATGTTGTTGTTGTCAGTGTTCTGAACGGGGCCTACGACCATTCATTGCTTTTCGACATCAGCCAGTGTGTTTATGAATTGTCTTTAGTGAGTCTCAAACTTGGTCGCTTTTTGTGCATGCGGTATTTTACGTCTTCACTGCAGTGGCCACATATGTTATCATGATTTTCTTTATTATTGTTATAGTAATCACAATTAATATTATATAACTTATCTGATGTGTATGGCCCGTTTCATGGGACTAACAACACCCGGTCGAGATGGTGTTGACTTTTCCCGCCTGTCCATCCGCCATGAGAGTTATCTCCCTTGGCGATGGTATTGAATATGTTATCAACCAAAGGTGTCTCCGAGCTTGTAGTTAATGGCGTATGTCATCTGATATACGAGCTGTTATAATTGTTTTATTTGCAAATGTTTTAAGTTGTGTTTTATCACAGATTATGCCTTATATTGAGTTTAGTTTGTTCGAATGTACACTTTCCGTCTTATAGCTGTTTTTTGTTCTAGTTCTTTTTGACACCTATACAATAAATAAAATAACACTAACAGATGTTTGATTCGTCTTACTTACGGAAGTTATCGAGCTGGGTCTGACGCCGCTGTGCTGTATCAGAGTAACTTCACGTCTTGTTGGTTTCACGCGGCCAATGAGGTGCAGGTCTCAGAGACGTATCCCTATGTCCGTGAAACCAACGCGCGAGTATAGCAATGAGTCAAAGGATTCGAACTCACAACCAACACATACCTGATGATTGGTCCATATTACTAGGAACGATGACACGTTGTCTTGAATCACTCATTAAGTACCCTTACAATGAAGTCTTGTAGTATTCACGGGTGATGGCACGGGAGTACAAACCTCAAGTCATTACGTTGAATTGGGTCCAGGGTTTCACACTCCTATATTTCAGCTCCAACCTTTCCCGTAAGTACATCAGGTCTCTCTGTGCCAGTGTCCCTGATAGTCTCGACACAAGACACTTAATTCTGGTTGTCACAGAACGTTGTCTGAGCAGGAGACATGGTTGGTTGGTTGGTTTGTTGTTCAACGCCGCACTCAGCAATATTCCAGCTATATGACGGCGGTCTGTAAATAATCGAATCTGGGCCAGACAATCCAGTGATTGATATCATGAGCATCGATCCACGCAATTGGGATCGATGACATGCATCAACCAAGTCAACGAGCCTGACCACCCGATCCCGTTAGTCGCCTTTTACTCCAGCTATATGACGGCGATCTGTAAATAATTAGACAATCCAGTGATTAACATCATGAGCATCGATTCACGCAATTGGGATACGATGACATGCATCAATCAAGTCAGCGAGCCTGACCACCCGATCACGTTAGTCGCCTCTTACGACAAGCATAGTCGCCTTTTACGGCAAGCGTGGGTTGCCTAGGACCTATTCTAACCCGGGTCAGGAGGAGAAATTGAGATTACTACACGAGTGTCTGTCAGATGTCATTTATCTTACATGTATGTATGTGTATGTGCGCGTGCGCGTGCGTGCGTGAGTGAGCGTGCGAATGAGTATGTGCGCATGCGTGTGTAAGTGCGCGTGTGCACGTACGTGTGCGCGCGCATGTTTGTGGGTATAAGTGTGTGTGCATGCATGTGTGTATGCTAGTGTGCGCGTGTGTGTGGGTGCGGGTGTGGATGTGCAGGCGGGTGCCCGTTTGAGTGTGTGGGTGTGTACACGTTTACTGTGTATGCGTGTGTGTATGTTTGTGTGCGCGTGTGTGGATGTGCAGGCGGGTGCCTGTGTGATTGTGTGGGTGTGTACACGTTTACTGTGTATGTGTATGTGTATGTTAGTGTGCGTGTGTGTGGGTGCGGGTGTGGATGTGCAGGCGGGTGCCTGTGTGATTGTGTGGGTGTGTACACGTTTACTGTGTATGTGTGTGTGTATGTTAGTGTGCGCGTGTGTGGGTGCGGGTGTGGATGTGCAGGCGGGTGCCTGCGTGAGTGTGTGTGTGTGTACACGTTTACTGCGTGTGCACGTGTGAGTGCAAGGTTAGCTGTGCGTGTACGAGTGTATAAAGAGAGACAGCAAATCTAAAATAGTTTATTTGCCCAATGATTTCGAATTTCAAAATAAATACAATCATAAAGTAACAACATCATTATTGATAAATTGGTGAATTGTAAAGTGTTGATAGCCATTGGTGGTCCTCATAAACATCTCAAATAAACAAATACCCACTTCACTACTACCATTCCGACAAACATGAGAATATAGGTCTAAAATATAAATATTTAAAAGACTGCTTCTAAAAGTAGTGCTAACTGGTACTGGCAAACAATGTGTAAATGTTATTAGCAGAATTCTGTCACACCTGTAATGGGCTGGATACTACATATATTATAGTTTGTAAACTATTTAAATAATAAAGACTTGATATACGATAATTTCCATATATTGGATTATTACGACAAATATCACACGCAACACGAAGTACCCAGGCCCCAACCCACAAAGCGATCCTACCGCTAAGGTGATTGTAACACCCATACTTTAACATACACTTTCAATCTTTGTAGCACGAAGAACGCTTTGGGGAGCGGTGCCCTGACTGTGGAACGGGGACTTCGCTTGCATCAAGCAGTTTCTACCCAAACTCATTAACATTACAAAGATCAAAGGGAACCCCATTGCAGGGCACGTCAGGACGACTTTTAGCGACCTTTGACCGATCAATGAAATGACTAACAGGAAGCCGACAGCAGACTTCTCGAGCTTTACAGAATTTGTTTCAAATTAGCGACTTCCATTCCAGACTATGCTTTCAAAAACATTTTGTCAACGTTGTCCATTCAAAATATGAAACTGAGCAAAAGTACATTCAGGAATGTCTTACTGACGGCCTAGATTGTACCAGTGCCTGCCACGGGCAATGTCTTACTGACGGCCTAGATTGTACCAGTGCCTGCCACGGCCTAGATTGTACCAGTGCCTGCCACGGGCAATGTCTTACTGACGGCCTAGATTGTACCAGTGCCTGCCACGGGCAATGTCTTACTGACGGCCTAGATTGTACCAGTGCCTGCCACGGCCTAGATTGTACCAGTGCCTGCCACGGGCAATGTCTTACTGACGGCCTAGATTGTACCAGTGCCTGCCACGGCCTAGATTGTACCAGTGCCTGCCACGGCCTAGATTGTACCAGTGCCTGCCACGGCCTAGATTGTACCAGTGCCTGCCACGGGCAATGTCTTACTGACGGCCTAGATTGTATGCAGTGCCTGCCACGGCCTAGATTGTACCAGTGCCTGCCACGGCCTAGATTGTACCAGTGCCTGCCACGGGCAATGTCTTACTGACGGCCTAGATTGTATGCAGTGCCTGCCACGGCCTAGATTGTACCAGTGCCTGCCACGGCCTAGATTGTACCAGTGCCTGCCACGGGCAATGTCATACTGACGGCCTAGATTGTACCAGTGCCTGCCACGGGCAATGTCTTACTGACGGCCTAGATTATATGCAGTGCCTGCCACGGCCTAGATTGTACCAGTGCCTGCCACGGGCAATGTCTTACTGACGGCCTAGATTGTACCAGTGCCTGCCACGGCCTAGATTGTACCAGTGCCTGCCACGGCCTAGATTGTACCAGTGCCTGCCACAGCCTAGATTGTACCAGTGCCTGCCACGGGCAATGTCTTACTGACGGCCTAGATTGTATGCAGTGCCTGCCACGGCCTAGATTGTACCAGTGCCTGCCACGGGCAATGTCATACTGACGGCCTAGATTGTACCAGTGCCTGCCACGGGCAATGTCTTACTGACGGCCTAGATTGTATGCAGTGCCTGCCACGGCCTAGATTGTACCAGTGCCTGCCACGGGCAATGTCTTACTGACGGCCTAGATTGTACCAGTGCCTGCCACGGGCAATGTCTTACCGACGGCCTAGATTGTACCAGTGCCTGCCACGGCCTAGATTGTACCAGTGCCTGCCACGGGCAATGTCTTACTGACGGCCTAGATTGTACCAGTGCCTGCCACGGGCAATGTCATACTGACGGCCTAGATTGTACCAGTGCCTGCCACGGCCTAGATTGTACCAGTGCCTGCCACGGGCAATGTCATACTGACGGCCTAGATTGTACCAGTGCCTGCCACGGCCTAGATTGTACCAGTGCCTGCCACGGGCAATGTCTTACTGACGGCCTAGATTGTACCAGTGCCTGCCACGGGCAATGTCTTACCGACGGCCTAGATTGTACCAGTGCCTGCCACGGCCTAGATTGTACCAGTGCCTGCCACGGCCTAGATTGTACCAGTGCCTGCCACGGGCAATGTCATACTGACGGCCTAGATTGTACCAGTGCCTGCCACGGGCAATGTCTTACTGACGGCCTAGATTGTATGCAGTGCCTGCCACGGCCTAGATTGTACCAGTGCCTGCCACGGGCAATGTCTTACTGACGGCCTAGATTGTACCAGTGCCTGCCACGGGCAATGTCTTACTGACGGCCTAGATTGTACCAGTGCCTGCCACGGGCAATGTCATACTGACGGCCTAGATTGTACCAGTGCCTGCCACGGGCAATGTCTTACCGACGGCCTAGATTGTACCAGTGCCTGCCACGGGCAATGTCATACTGACGGCCTAGATTGTACCAGTGCCTGCCACGGGCAATGTCTTACCGACGGCCTAGATTGTACCAGTGCCTGCCACGGGCAATGTCTTACCGACGGCCTAGATTGTACCAGTGCTTGCCACGGGCAATGTCTTACCGACGGCCTAGATTGTACCAGTGCCTGCCACGGGCAATGTCTTACTGACGGCCTAGATTGTATGCAGTGCCTGCCACGGGCAATGTCATACTGTCGGCCTAGATTGTACCAGTGCCTGCCACGGGCAATGTCTTACTGACGGCCTAGATTGTACCAGTGCCTGCCACGGGCAATGTCTTACTGACGGCCTAGATTGTATGCAGTGCCTGCCACGGGCAATGTCTTACTGACGGCCTAGATTGTACCAGTGCCTGCCACAGGCAATGTCTTATTGACGGCCTAGATTGTATGCAGTGCCTGCCACGGGCAATGTCATACTGACAACCTAGATTGTACCAGTGCCTGCCACGGGCAATGTCTTACTGACGGCCTAGATTGTACCAGTGCCTGCCACGGGCAATGTCTTACTGACGGCCTAGATTGTATGCAGTGCCTGCCACGGGCAATGTCTTACTGACGGCCTAGATTGTACCAGTGCCTGCCACGGGCAATGTCTTACTGACGGCCTAGATTGTATGCAGTGCCTGCCACGGGCAATGTCATACTGACGGCCTAGATTGTACCAGTGCCTGCCACGGGCAATGTCTTACTGACGGCCTAGATTGTATGCAGTGCCTGCCACGGGCAATGTCATACTGACGGCCTAGATTGTACCAGTGCCTGCCACGGGCAATGTCTTACTGACGGCCTAGATTGTACCAGTGCCTGCCACGGGCAATGTCTTACTGACGGCCTAGATTGTATGCAGTGCCTGCCACGGGCAATGTCTTACTGACGGCCTAGATTGTATGCAGTGCCTGCCACGGGCAATGTCATACTGACGGCCTAGGTTGTATGCAGTGCCTGCCACGGGCAATGTCATACTGACGGCCTAGATTGTATGGCAGTGCCTGCCACGGGCAATGTCTTACTGACAGCCTAGATTGTATGCAGTGCCTGCCACGGGCAATGTCATACTGACGGCCTAGGTTGTATGCAGTGCCTGCCACGGGCAATGTCATACTGACGGCCTAGATTGTATGGCAGTGCCTGCCACGGGCAATCTCATACTGACGGCCTAGATTGTATGCAGTGCCTGCCACGGCCTAGATTGTATGCAGTGCCTGCCACGGGCAATGTCTTACTGACGGCCTAGGTTGTATGCAGTGCCTGCCACAGGCAATGGGAAGACTCTTCCATTTGAAATGTTTATGCTATTGAAGCGAGATTTAGGCGATGATTTTGCCGTCCGGAATACCCCATGTTAACCTTTTCAAGGTTGCAAGATCAGAAAACACATTTAGACTACCAGTTTCTCGATCTGGTATGCGACGCTCTGATTGGACGGATGAAAGGTTGTTCTCACGTGGCCAGTAATGGGATGTGATCTATGTGTAGCGGTAACTACAGACTTTGATTGTTTTCCACTTAATCCACGTACCATAATCATCGTAATGAAAACCATTGAGGGGTTAGGTCAAAAGTTTGATGTTGGATAAAAAATTGTATTCCTTTAGTTATGAGACATACCCCAGAACGTTTATTGAATTAAGTTTATTTGCTGGCTCTTGACAATCATTTTTATAGGTCACATCTGTCATTATACATTGCCCACAGCACGAGATGGACATAAACTGTGTAAGTGATAATGTAAACTAACCCTGGACACAACAGTAAAATAGGCTACCCTGAACTCATGTGATGAACCTTATCATCGTTTGTTTGTTTGTTTGTTGTTTTCAGCCACACTCAGCAACATTCCAGCTACATGACATCGGTCTGTAATCATCTGAGCCTGGACCAGACAAACCAGTGATTGACATCATGAGCATAGTTCTACGCAAGATGGATCCAATGACAGGTAGCCCGGTCAGCGAGCCTGACCCCCCAATCCTATGCACACACAATGTCATTTAGAAAGTGGTCAAATGTAACAAGTGTAAAATTTGAGATAACACTTTCTTTGTAAAGTTAAGATTCTAGTCTCGTCGGTCAAGACCATATCACTGTAAAGATCCAACAACTATCACACTATGACACAGAGGGTGCTGGGTCAGTGTTGGCAAGGATTCTCTAGTTGTCTTGTGAATGTACAATATCTTCTTAAACAATACCACACATAGATCAGATTGTAACATGTCTATCGGAAAAAATATATTTTTATAACATTGAAAAATATATTTATACATACTGAAAACGTAACAGTACAAATACAATTGAAAAAATCTCAGGTTTTCTGATCTGTAAAGCTACATGGTACCTGTGTTTCCCTTGAGCATCTTGCATCCACAAAGTTTGTTTGTTTGTTGTTTAACGCCACACTCACCAATATTCCAGTTACATGACAACGGTCTGTAACAGCGATCTACGCTGACTGGATTTCATAGTTGAGACAGTTACATCACGTACAATGTGTTCACCATCAAGTCACGCTAATACCTGCACACTGCCTCTCCAGTCTGATTGGTCAGTTAAAGCAATAGGATGTCCTACAACAAAACCGAAGTATGACGACCCTTTAACTCGCTGATCAGCTTTCTGACAGTGAAAAGTCATTAAATGGAACATATTTTTGGAAATAACCCACAATAATTTTTCAACTGAAAATATCTTATTGCATTTGTGGGGTGTCTCGTATCTGTTAATAATGTTACAATGTTCAACAAACTTCTGCATCTTTCCTCAACCAAACAATTTTGAACCCCTGATCTCCAATCTGTCATCAACAGCAGTGACCATATGTAAACAGGTTAAAGCTTAGATATTGCAATTCACCAAAACTTGTCAACTCGTTGTACATCTATGAGCAAAATAAATATTTTACAATATTGATGTCATGGTCTTTCAATGTAAATTTTCATGACTGTTTCACTGGGTAATGAGTGGACTTGACACGACAAAACCTTTGAGGAAAAAGCCTCATAAATGGTAAACACCCCCCTCATTTTTGTTTCTTGTCAACTGTATACGTGACCCAGCCGGAGCAAAGGGACCTTATGGTTGCCAGGATACAATTGTACTCAGATGTCATAAAGACGTTTGACGTCAACTTACGTCAGTGAAGATCGCTATGTGTGATGCCATGTATCTCTGTAATAAATATGAATTGAAGCTTGTGAATTGTAATTTTCTGTACCGGAGATGCTGTAGTTTTAAAATATAATAAAAAGTCTATATGTGATTTTTCACCCATGAGGTCCCTCGTGGTTTGTCACACATGTGAATGTTAGAGTGAGATCAACACGGCTCAGACAAGGCTGTCCTGACCAGTGACATGTAGGCGTGTCCCTCCGCCTCGTAGCAGTGGTGTTGGGCCACCTGGGCCCTCGCCCTTGCAACAATCTGCTCCCTCTGTTCAGGAGTGGACATGATGGAGCGAGCCTGTAGCACAAATTCCTGCAAAAAGAATTCTGAAAACATTAGCAGCTGAAAATATACACGTAGCTGCACTCTACAAGCTGCATCTACACAGGATTACAAAACAATATTATCGGCCTCGCTGCACCCCGAGTATAAACTCTTGTGTATGTGACCTCAGCCAGACCTCAGCCGGACCTCAGCCAGACCTCAGCCAGACCTCAGCCAGACCTCAGCCAGCCCTCAGCCGGACCTCAGCCGGACCTCAGCCGGACCTCAGCCAGACCTCAGCCAGACCTCAGCCGGACCTCAGCCAGACCTCAGCCAGACCTCAGCCGGACCTCAGCCGGCCCTCAGCCGGACCTCAGCCAGACCTCAGCCGGACCTCAGCCGGACCTCAGCCAGACCTCAGCCGGACCTCAGCCAGACAGCCGGACCTCAGCCAGACCTCAGCCAGACCTCAGCCAGACCTCAGCCAGACCTCAGCCAGACATCAGCCGGACCTCAGCCAGACCTCAGCCGGACCTCAGCCAGACCTCAGCCGGACCTCAGCCAGACATCAGCCGGACCTCAGCCGGACCTCAGCCAGACCTCAGCCAGACATCAGCCGGACCTCAGCCGGACCTCAGCCGGACCTCAGCCAGACAGCCGGACCTCAGCCAGACATCAGCCAGACCTCAGCAGGACCTCAGCCGGACCTCAGCCGGACCTCAGCCAGACCTCAGCCGGACCTCAGCCAGACCTCAGCCGGCCCTCAGCCAGCCCTCAGCCATACATCAGCCGGACCTCAGCCGGCCCTCAGCTGGACCTCAGCCGGACCTCAGCCAGCCCTCAGCCGGACCTCAGCCGGACCTCAGCCGGACCTCAGCCGGACCTCAGCCGGACCTCAGCCAGAACAGAGCCGGACCTCAGCCGGCCCTCAGCTGGACCTCAGCCAGCCCTCAGCTGGACCTCAGCCGGCCCTCAGCTGGAATCCCTACAGGTTTGTCTGTTTAATTAATTTCCTTGCTACCACCAAGGAGGGGCAGGGGGCTAGACAAGTAGGTCAAGTGTTCACTCGTTTCGCCAAAGACCTGGGTTTGATTCCCCACATGGGTGCAAGGTGAGACGCCCATTTCTTGTGTCCCCTGTTGTGATATTGAGGAAACGTAAAGACACATTCACTCTCACGTCCATGGAAATGCCTGAATATTGAAACCTTGTCTGGGAACAATCCAGGAGGCGCCACCTACCTGGGGCGTGTCATACAGCAGGCCGGTCTTCCGGTCCTGGACAAGATCCTGGTTCCCGGTCACTCTGCGGGCCAGCACCGGGATTCCCATATCCATCGCCTGTCAAGGAACAGGATCACAGTGGTGAGTGAGTGAGTGGATGGGTGGGTGCGTGCGTGCGTGCTAATATATCAGAGAAGTAACTTTGCAAATATGCAAAAACGTCCAAAAGAAATCAACCCACTTCATGCCGCTGGTGAACATTTACGCATGGAATACTTTGTGGACATAAGTGTTATAACAGGAACAGTTGCTTTCCTTCTTTGTCAGTTGACATGATTGACAATACACTTTATTTCATCACAATTGATTATGAAAGATATAATGGATGACACAATCTTCATATTGATCATCATTAATATTTCTTCCCATTAAGTATAATTCTGATTATCAATCTTTTTAGCAAGCCCTATAGTTGATAGAAAGAAAGCAGGAGAAAGTCACTGGGACTTGTAATGGGAGACTCGGGACCCTGTCAGACAACAATGACGTGATCAGGTGAGCGGTGGATTTAAAGGCACGTGAACACAACATAATAATTCTTCCGTAAACCAAATGAAAATAAAGAAAGACCTGCCATACCTCAAGAACAGCCAATGACATTCCTTCACTCTTAGAAGAATTGACCAATGAGAAGCAGTCTCTCATAGCTGCATGGGTGTCTTCTTTTGAAAGCCCGGGGATGTAGATGACACCTGAGGACCTGAACATCAAATACATAATCTGTGCCTGATTCCAGCCTCTCACTGTCACTGTCGGGGAGTCGGCAATAATGTACAAATTGGAGAAGCAGTTTTCAAAATTATCTAAAGAATTCAAGTTTTGAACTTAATGAGGTTTGACCACCTTCAAGACCATTTGCAAGATTTCAGTACAACAGTCGTGAGATGCATCTGTAGTTCATCCTGCTCAATGATAGTCCAGAGTTCCAGATGGCCATTGGTCACCAGTCTGTTGACGCCGAGTTTAGCGGCACAAATGCTTTGCAAATCCTGCATGCGACCGAAATCTGCAAGGCAGTTTACTAACCGGTTGTTGATTGTGTTACGTGATTTTGATTGGACCATGCAAAGACTTGTTAGTCCAGACAAGATATAATTCCAGCCAAGTTCGCCAAGGGTGGAAACTGGACTTTTATAGTCAGTTAACTCCCTTGCCTTGGGATTGAGTGAGTGAGTATGGTTTAACGCCGCTTTTAGCAATATTCCAGCCATATCAAGGCGGGGGACACCAGAAATGGGCTTCACACATTGTACCCATGTCGGGAATCGAACCCGGGTCTTCGGCATGACGAGCGAAGCTTAAACCACTAGGCTACCTGACCGCCCCTCCTTGCCTCGGGAAGGTGAGGCTCTATAAACAATGCATTCATTTCCAAGCAACAGCCTTGAGTTTTGATTATGTTTTCACAGTTGATGACAAGTAGGATTGTTTGTAGTTAAATGCTGAGTCAGCAGTACTCCAGCCACATCACGGCTGACTGTAAACAAGGTGAGGTGAAATGGGGATTAACGTCGCATCCAAGATTAATGCACTTATATAGCAACGTGCATGTACGTGTCTGTGTGTGTATGGCTGCTTGGACTAGTCCGGACTGCTGCCGATTCATAGTGCTAGCCCACTGAGATACCATGCTGCAGTTTAACATGAACACCCCACTCAGACACAGTATACAGACTCCGAGCCGACCAGTCCTTGTTTTAGCCCCTTAATGCCAAGCGCCAGACAGGGTAACAACAAGTACCATCTTTTAATGTCTTTTGGTACGACACTGCCGGGGATCGAACCCCGGACCTTCCGCTCTCTGCGCAGACACTCTACAAGACCACGGAGGCAGTCAACTGTAAATAATGTAGTCTGGTCTTCAGTGATTCAGTTACCAATGATGTCCAACATTGTCGGAGTACGATGGCATGCAATCAAGCAAGCCTGACCACCCTCTCCAAGCCAAGTCCTATGACAATCACTCGTCCCATGTCAACCTGGTCCCCAATGGATGACTACAGATAAGATGGCTGATCACACTCACTCATGTGTCCTGTAAATTACCAAACTTTACACACTGTCAATACATAAGACGATCATCACTACTTTAACTTACTGTTTCACAGCTGGCCAGAACGTTTCTTCAAAGTATTCAGCATCAATCTAAAAAACAGACACACAAACATGAGGAACAGTTGCCGGATCTCGCAGGCAGCAAGTACAGCCAATCAAACATCACAGAAATCTGGGTGAATACTGCGTTTTGGGACAGTAGGCATTCCTACACAGATATACACTGTGCCTGCACTCTGTGACACACTCCACCTCTGAGTCTCTGTTATTCGAGTGAGTGACTATAGTTTTACGCTCTATATTCCAGCAATATCACGGTGGGGACACCAGAAATAGGCTTCACATATTGTAACCATGTGAGGAATCGAACCTGCGTCTTCGGCGTGACAAGCGAACGCTTTAACCACATGGCTACCCTACAGCCCATACTTTGAACACCACACAACTGCAGTTGCAGATGCTATGGTGCGTGAAAATTCTGGTACTTCCTGTCAGACTCACCTTGGGACCAATGATCACATAATACACTGAGCTGTCCTCTCTGTGCCACTCTGGAAGCAAAACAGTTCACGATGTACCTCTATATTTACTTGATGTTGTTTCTCAGAAAATGTCATACATATTAAAGTGAGTTTTGCACTGCTTTAACCAATATTCCAGCAATAAAATGGCAGGGGACACCAGAAATGGGCTTCATTGTACCAAAGTTTGGAACTGATCCCGGGTCCTCAGTGTGATGAGCGAACACTTAAACCACTGGGCTACCCCACTGTCCCTAGATGCATATCAAAGAGCCCGTTAGTCCAGACTCGTTGTCCACAGGTAGACACACAGACACATTTTCGCCTAGACAGGTAGACACACAGACACATTCATCACCTAGACAGGTAGACACACCAACACATTCATCACCTAGACAGGTAGACACACCAACACATTCATCACCTAGACAGGTAGACACACAAGACACATTCATCACCTTGAAAGGTAGAAACACAGACACATTCATCACCTAGACAGGTAGACACACAGACACATTCATCACCTAGACAGGTAAACACACCAACACATTCATCACCTAGACAGGTAGACACACAAGACACATTCATCACCTAGACAGGTAGACACACAGACACATTCATCACCTTGACAGGTAGACACACAGACACATTCATCACCTAGACAGGTAGACACACAGACACATTCATCACCTAGACAGGTAGACATACAAACATACACATTCATCACCTAGACAGGTAGACACACAAGACACATTCATCACCTAGATAGGTAGAAACACAGGCTCCTTCATCACCTAGACAGGTAGACACACAGACACATTCATCACCTTGACAGGTAGACACACAGACACATTCATCACCTAGACAGGTAGACACACAGACACATTCATCACCTTGACAGGTAGACACACAGACACATTCATCACCTAAACAGGTAGACACACAGACACATTCATCACCTAGACAGGTAGACATACAAACAGACACATTCATCACCTAGACAGGTAGACACACAAGACATATTCATCACCTTGAAAGGTAGAAACACAGACACATTCATCACCTAGACAGGTAGACACACAGACACATTCATCACCTAGACAGGTAGACACACAGACACATTCATCACCTAGATAGGTAGACACACAGGCACATTCATCACCTAGACAGGTAGACACACAGACACATTCATCACCTTGACAGGTAGAAACACAGACACATTCATCACCTAGACAGATGACACATTCATCACCTAGACAGGTAGACACACAGACACATTCATCACCTAGACAGATGACACATTCATCACCTAGACAGGTAGACACACAGACACATGCATCACCTAGACAGGTAGACACACAGACACATTCATTACCTAGACAGGTAGACACACACAGACATATTCATCACCTAGACAGGTAGACACACACAGGCTCATTCATCACCTAGACAGGTAGAAACACAAGACATATTCATCACCTTGAAAGGTAGAAACACAGACACATTCATCACCTAGACAGGTAGACACACCAACACATTCATCACCTAGACAGGTAGACACACAAGACACATTCATCACCTAGACAGGTTGACACACAGACACATTCATCACCTAGACAGGTAGACACACATCACCTAGACAGGTAGACATACAAACAGACACATTCATCACCTAGACAGGTAGACACACAGACACATTCATCACCTTGACAGGTAGACATACAAACAGACACATTCATCACCTAGACAGGTAGACATACAAACAGACACATTCATCACCTAGATAGGTAGACACACAGACACATTCATCACCTAGACAGGTAGACACACAGACACATTCATCACCTAGACAGGTAGACATACAAACAGACACATTCATCACCTAGACAGGTAGACACACAAGACATATTCTTCACCTTGAAAGGTAGAAACACAGACACATTCATCACCTAGACAGGTAGACACACCAACACATTCATCACCTAGACAGGTAGACACACAAGACACATTCATCACCTAGACAGGTTGACACACAGACACATTCATCACCTAGACAGGTAGACACACAGACACATTCATCACCTAGACAGGTAGATACACAGACACATTCATCACCTAGACAGGTAGAAATAGGCTCATTCATCACCTTGACGGGTAGACACACAGACACATTCATCACCTAGACAGGTAGACACACAGACACATTCATCACCTAGACAGGTAGACACACAGGCTCATTCATCACCTTGACGGGTAGACTCACAGACACATTCATCACCTAGACAGGTAGACACACAGACACATTCATCACCTAGACAGGTAGACACACAGACACATTCATCACCTAGACAGATGACACATTCATCACCTAGACAGGTAGACACACAGACACATTCATCACCTAGACAGGTAGAAACACAGACACATTCATCACCTAGACAGGTAGACACACAGACACATTCATCACCTAGACAGGTAGACACACAGACACATTCATCACCTAGACAGGTAGACACACAGACACATTCATCACCTTGACAGGTAGAAACACAGACACATTCATCACCTAGACAGATGACACATTCATCACCTAGACAGGTAGACACACAGACACATTCATCACCTTGACAGGTGACACATTCATCACCTAGACAGGTAGACACACAGACACATTCATCACCTAGACAGGTAGACACACAGACACATTCATCACCTTGACAGGTAGAAACACAGACACATTCATTACCTAGACAGGTAGACACACAGACACATTCATTACCTAGACAGGTAGACACACACAGACATATTCATCACCTAGACAGGTAGGCACACAGACACATTCATCACCTTGACAGGTAGACACACAGACACATTCATCACCTAGACAGGTAGACACACAGACACATTCATCACCTTGACAGGTAGAAACACAGACACATTCATCACCTAGACAGATGACACATTCATCACCTAGACAGGTAGACACACAGACACATTCATCACCTAGACAGATGACACATTCATCACCTAGACAGGTAGACACACAGACACATGCATCACCTAGACAGGTAGACACACAGACACATTCATTACCTAGACAGGTAGACACACAGACATATTCATCACCTAGACATGTAGACACACAGACACATTCATTACCTAGACAGGTAGACACACACAGACATATTCATCACCTAGACAGGTAGACACACACAGGCTCATTCATCACCTTGACAGGTAGAAACACAGACACATTCATTACCTAGACAGGTAGACACACAGACACATTCATCACCTTGACAGGTAGACACACACAGACACATTCATCACCTAGACAGATAGACACATTCATCACCTAGACAGGGAGACACACAGACACATTCATCACCTAGACCGGTAGATGCACACAGACACATTCATCGCCTAGACAGGTAGACACACAGACACATTCATCACCTAGATTGGGTGGACATGTTTTGATGGTTCTCAATCTTACGTGTATCCTACCTGAAAACTTGTCAATAAGAAACACTGGGTCTTTGACGGGCCTGATGCCACCAACGAGGAGAAACACAGTGATGTTACGGAGTGATGCAGTTGCGGCAGGGATGTGGTTGTTGGACTTCAGGTACTGCAGCAGGCAGAAGGAGGAGGAAGGGTCGGTTATCACAGCTGCAACAGAGGGGGGCTCAGTTATCACAGCTGTAACAGAGGGGGGTCGGTTATCACAGCTTTAACAGAAGAAGGCTCGGTTATCACAGCTGCAACAGAGGGGGGCTCGGTTATCACAGCTGCAACAGAGGGGGGCTCAGTTATCACAGCTGCAACAGAGGGGGGCTCAGTTATCACAGCTGTAACAGAGGGGGCTTGGTTATCACAGCTGCAACATGGAGGACACAAGACTTCAGGATGACAATCAAACACTAGAACCTCTAGGTTACCTGACCCTGATAAGTGCAAGAAGTATGGAGATACAAACCTTGTTTGATTTCTTTGACTTTATTACTTGGGATCTCTGGCTGTGAACAACAATAATAATAAACACAATTAAAACACCTTCACACCCACAGCTCATCCGTGTCATCATAGTTACAATCTCAACAAAGAAAGTCTAACATTTGAGTGAGTTCAGTTTGATGCAGCTTTGTACAGTATATCAGTTACATCACAGCGTGGCGGCATGATGAGGGAGGAACGGCCAGAGTGATGCCAGTCTCAAGACGTTTACCACTCAGGTGAAAACCACGAGCACAGGTATGGTGCTGATATATATTCAGGGCAAACCAGGATTCGAACCCACGATCCTAGGTTTCTCGCATTCATAATGGCAGCACCTCCCCTATGTCCCCCTTTCCATCAGAAAGATACTGCTACCAGCAATGATATATTGATTATACAACAAGGAAGAGACGATTGTGCTGACTTGATACAGATCAGACGTTTGTTGTTTTAATCACAATAAAAGTTTCTTCAAGAATAAATACATGAAGCGTTTAGAGCATTAGTTCAACCGTCGAGTCATGAATTGATATCAGCATTTAAATGTTGTTACCATGGTAACAGAAGGATTAGTTGAGATATGTGTGTTAGATTTTCCAGGAAGCATGAGATGAGGAGAGTTAGATGTGTAATTATGTTAACAGCGTCCCTTCTCACCCATAAAGACGATGCTCTGGACCACATTGACTGACCGAACACCACAACATATCTGCAAACCAGAGAGTGAGTCAGTGATGTGATATATATATTTATATACTGGCAGTAATACAACACTCTCACAGCAACAGTACACCTCTCTCACAGCAACAGTACACCTCTCTCACAGCAACAGTACACCTCTCTCACAGCAACACCTCTCTCACAGCAACACTACACATCTCTCACAGCAACAATACACCTCTCTCACTGCAACAGTACACCTCTCTCACAGCAACAGTACACCTCTCTCACAGCAACAATACACCTCTCTCACTGCAACATGACATCAAGATTTAATATACAGTAAAGAAATATTTATCTTGAGTTGTTGCAAGCACTTTCAAAAACAGAAGCAGCTCTGTCACCCCATTTCCTGAAGGTGCCGAAAGCCGTCAAATACCACCTTTTCACTTTCAGTCCAAAAATATTACTTCCAGACCTTGACCTTTATCAAGAAACTTTCTTAGGATTTACCAAGCAAGCCTTGGGACTTAACAAGCGACAACGGAACAATAACTGGAAAATCACATACAACATTTCACGATAACCACAAAGACGACCTTGACCTTTAGCAGACATGGCACCAACAGTACTTGTGGTAGGATTTGTGAAGATGAATGAAAATATAAAATGTTATGCCTGGTGAGATGACCATGCCCCAAACATTGACAATGATATTCCATATTTTACAAAAACATGATTGCTGACCTTGATCTTTGACTAATCTTGACAAAAACTTTTCGAAAGAGAGCGCCATACAAAAGGGGGTTTGTACAAGTTAAAAGTTAATGCACTGAGGGCTTTGAGAAAATGTAATCACAAACATTATTGTGATTTTTCTATCAGGGCTCCAGTCAAAACAAATTAGCGATTCAGTACTAATAAATATTTTTACTCCCTCTGGTCAGTCAGACGGGTATGTTGACACTGGTAAGTAGACATTGTTTTAATAATTCTGCTTAAATGCTGTTTTAGGTGACGTCTTATTTGTGTCTGTTCATCTGCTCGTATGCAGCAGGGTGCGGAGTCATCCCACAGATGACGTCCTTACCTTGTCAGCTTGCTGAAAGGGTTAACCTTTTTGGTCATGTGGACAAGGCGTCCGACCTCGGATCAGAAGGTACGTGGTATGAATCCCATCATGGGACTTGGAAATTTTATGGCCGCTACAAGCATGTAACAAGTCGCATAAACTCACAGCATGGATATGCATGGCTAATTAACAACCAACGCCTTCTGTTATTCTCAGTGGTAGACTAGAGACCAAGAATGTCTGTTGCCTCTATTCAAGCATAAATATCATCAGTGGTCAACTAGTAATAATGGACTTTCAATGGTCAGTGGTCAACTAGTAATACTGGACTTTCAATGGTCAGTGGTCAACTAGTAATAATGGACTTTCAATGGTCAGTGGTCAACTAAAAATTTCAACAACAGTCTTTCACCTGTCAGTGGTCAACTAGTATTTCAACAACAGTCTTTCAACTGTCAGTGGTCAACTAGTATTTCAACAACAGTCTTTCAACTGTCAGTGGTCAACTAGTAATTTCAAAAACAGTCTTTCAACTGTCAGTGGTCAACTAGTAATACTGCACTGTCAATGGTCAGTGGTCAGCTAGTAATACTGGACTTTCAATGGTCAGTGGTCAACTAGTAATACTAAACTTTCAATGGTCAGTGGTCAACTAGTAATACTGGACTTTCAATGCTCAGTGGTCAACTAGTAATAATGGACTTTCAATGGTCAGTGGTCAACTCGAAATTTCAACAACAGTCTTTCAACTGTCAGTGGTCAACTAGTAATTTCAACAACAGTCTTTCACCTGTCAGTGGTCAACTAGTATTTCAACAACAGACTTTCAACTGTCAGTGGTCAACTAGTAATACTGCACTGTCAATGGTCAGTGGTCAGCTAGTAATACTGGACTTTCAATGGTCAGTGGTCAACTAGTAATACTAAACTTTCAATGGTCAGTGGTCAACTAGTAATACTGGACTCTCAATGGTCAATGGTCAACTAGTAATACTGCACTGTCAATGGTCAGTGGTCAGCTAGTAATACTGGACTTTCAATGGTCAGTGGTCAACTAGTAATACTTAACTTTCAATGGTCAGTGGTCAACTAGTAATACTGGACTCTCAATGGTCAATGGTCAACTAGTAATACTGGACTTTCAATGGTCAGTGGTCAACTAGTAATAATGGACTTTCAATGGTCAGTGGTCAACTAGTATTTCAACAACAGTCTTTCAACTGTCAGTGGTCAACTAGTAATTTCAACAACAGTCTTTCAACTGTCGGTGGTCAACTAGTATTTCAACAACAGACTTTCAACTGTCAGTGGTCAACTAGTAATACTGCACTGTCAATGGTCAGTGGTCAGCTAGTAATACTGGACTTTCAATGGTCAGTGGTCAACTAGTAATACTAAACTTTCAATGGTCAGTGGTCAACTAGTAATACTGGACTTTCAATGATCAGTGGTCAACTAGTAATATTGGACTTTCAATGGTCAGTGGTCAAATAGTAATACTGGACTTTCAATGGTCAGTGGTCAACTAGTAATACTAAACTTTCAATGGTCAGTGGTCAACTAGTAATACTGCACTGTCAATGGTCAGTGGTCAGCTAGTAATACTGGACTTTCAATGGTCAGTGGTCAACTAGTAATACTGGACTTTCAATGGTCAGTGGTCAAACTAGTAATACTGGACTTTCAATGGTCGGTGGTCAACAAGTAATACTGGACTTTCAATGGTCGGTGGTCAACTAGTAATACTGGACTTTCAATGGTTGGTGGTCAACTAGTAATACTGGACTTTCAATGGTCAGTGGTCAACTAGTAATACTGGACTTTCAATGGTCAGTGGTCAACTAGTTATACTGGATTTTCAATGGTTGGTGGTCAACTAGTAATACTGGACTTTCAATGGTCAGTGGTCAACTAGTAATACTGGACTCTCAATGGTCAGTGGTCAACTAGTAATACTGGACTTTCAATGGTCAGTGGTCAACTAGTTATACTGGACTTTCAATGGTTGGTGGTCAACTAGTAATACTGGACTTTCAATGGTCAGTGGTCAACTAGTAATACTGGACTTTCAATGGTCAGTGGTCAACTAGTAATACTGGACTTTCAATGGTTGGTGGTCAACTAGTAATACTGGACTTTCAATGGTCGGTGGTCAACTAGTAATACTGGACTTTCAATGGTCGGTGGTCAACTAGTAATACTGGACTTTCAATGGTCGGTGGTCAACTAGTAGTACTGGACTTTCAATGGTCGGTGGTCAACTAGGACTTTCAATGGTCGGTGGTCAACTAGTAATACTGGACTTTCAATGGTCTGTTGTCAACTAGTAATACTGGACTTTCAATGGTCAGTGGTCAACTAGTAATACTGGACTTTCAATGGTCAGTTGTCAACTAGTAATACTGGACTTTCAATGGTTGGTGGTCAACTAGTAATACTGGACTTGCAATGGTCAGTGGTCAACTATCACTGGTCAGTGGTCAACTAGTAATACTGGACTTTCAATGGTCGGTGGTCAACTATCACTGGTCAGTGGTCAACTAGTAATACTGGACTTTCAATGGTCTGTTGTCAACTAGTAATACTGGACTTTCAATGGTCAGTGGCCAACTAGTAATACTGGACTTTCAATGGTCAGTTGTCAACTAGTAATACTGGACTTTCAATGGTTGGTGGTCAACTAGTAATACTGGACTTTCAATGGTCAGTGGTCAACTAGTAATACTGGACTTTCAATGGTCAGTGGTCAACTAGTTATACTGGATTTTCAATGGTTGGTGGTCAACTAGTAATACTGGACTTTCAATGGTCAGTGGTCAACTAGTAATACTGGACTCTCAATGGTCAGTGGTCAACTAGTAATACTGGACTTTCAATGGTCAGTGGTCAACTAGTTATACTGGACTTTTAATGGTTGGTGGTCAACTAGTAATACTGGACTTTCAATGGTCAGTGGTCAACTAGTAATACTGGACTTTCAATGGTCGGTGGTCAACTAGTAATACTGGATTTTCAATGGTCAGTGGTCAACTAGTAATACTGGACTCTCAATGGTTGGTGGTCAACTAGTAATACTGGACTCTCAATGGTCGGTGGTCACAGACTGCGGGGGAGTCACCTGGCATGGTGGACGGCCTCGGTCATGACGGAGAGTTTGTTGATGTCCTTGTAGAACTCGTTGATGTCTGTGCCCCCGAGGATGAGGATAGAGGGGACGGTGCTGGCTGGAAGAGAAACACAGAAGGTAACAGCTGCCTGACCACAATAATTGAACCATATCAGGTCTGGACCAGACAAACCAGTGACTGATAGTGCTGGTTACAAAACATGCTGACTAACACCTCCTACACAATGCATAGGTTGATGGAAATCAATTCTAACCCGGATTCCCTCCTGGGATTTGCATGGTGTGACAATGGAAAGATGTTAATCTGTGTAACCATGGTGACTGGGTGCTGTGTTGCCCAACAACCTGCAAGTGACAAGTCAAAGTTGGCCATTCACCTAACATGTTATTTATCTTTATGTTATACACTGTCTCTGTAGCCATTTCTGGTCAACATTTCCTATTTGATATTTCTTACATCCCTCCCTGAACCTGTTCTGCTCATCACAGAGAACAAAGTGAAGTTGTATACCTCTGATAAGACAGCCAGATCTGTAGGCGTGGATCCCAATGACAAGGTCGACATTCTTGTGGTGCAGGAATGCCTGGAACTCTGACACAGTTTGGAACATCTTGGGGTCCTCCATGAGGCACCGGTGGCCATGGCTGGTCAGGTACGAACTGGGGATAGGCAACGACACAGTGAGTTAGTGGGTGTGGTCCGTGGGAGTGGGGAGAGAGACAGAGAGGGGTGTCCATGAGGCACCGGTGGTCATGACTGGTCAGGTACGAACTGGGGATAGGCAACGACACAGTGAGTTAGTGGGTGTGGTCGGTGGGAGTGGGGAGAGAGACAGAGAGGGGTCGTCCATGATGCACCGGTGGTCATGACTGGTCAGGTACGAACTGGGGATAGGCAACGACACAGTGAGTTAGTGGGTGTGGTCAGTGGGAGAGAGAGAGAGAGGGGTGTCCATGAGGCACCGGTGGTCATGACTGGTCAGGTACGAACTGGGGATAGGCAACGACACAGTGAGTTAGTGGGTGTGGTCAAGGGGGGAGAGAGACAGAGAGGGGTGTCCATGAGGCACCGGTGGCTGGTCATGTTAGACCTGGGGAGAGAGGGAGATACGAATGCTGGAGATAGTGACAGATTATTGATTCTGGTAGCGTACCTGAATCTGGAGATGGTGAAAGCTCACCTGATTCTGGAGATGGTGAAAGCTCACCTGATTCTGTAGATGGTGAAAATTCACCTCATTCTGAAGATTGCAGCTCACCTGGGTTTTTTTAATGGCAGCTCACCTGATTCTGGAGATGGTGAAAGCTCACCTGACTCTGGAGATGGTGAAAGCTCACCTGATTCTGGAGATGGTGGAGAAGTTGCCGCCCTGACGCTGCAGCGGGGAAAGGAGGATGAGGGTGAGGCGCATCCTCCGTCAACTCTCATTCTCAGTCCGCTGAATTCTCATTCTTGAAGCAAACATTGCACCTGTTTAAATCAATATCAACTATAAGACGTAAGACATGAATAACATGTTCAGAATTATGAGTGATTGAGTCAAAATCTTGTCATATTGGCAATATTTTCCAACCATAAAACAAGAACAAATAAATGGTTTAAAATACTGTATAAGTGTAACCATGGTCAACATAGCCAATAAGGAATATATCACAAAAATAAACTAAAAGATACTAAATCAAAGAGCAAAACATTCAAACAAACAAAATATTGAACCACAAAAGCCATAAAAATAATCAGCTCCTGAAGTCAAAGGGACAAAGTCCTCAGTCGTACGTTAGAAGTGGAAACAAGAAACTGGTGACTTTTACACCATAGCAGAAAGCCTAAGGATCCAAGGATTCTCCTGTGTTTCTCAGCTGGTTACTTCTGGAACAAGTTGCTGTAATGTTGCTGCAGATGTTGCTGTAATGTTGCTGCTGATGTTGCTACAAGTGTTGCTGGAGTAGTGAGACACCAGCTAATGATCACGCTCCACTCACACCCGGGGAGGCTAGAGCAACGTTTAGAAGTAGACCAAAGCTCGCTATTCAGTTTTGCACGTCAGCACAGTTTGACCCCATGTGACCTACTCGTGCCAGCTTTCAAAGCAATCCTATCTCATGTTATCTGACGCCTGTAGACTAGGTCATAGTCAAGATCAACATAGCATGTTCTCAATATAAGGAGGGTTTCTGTGTGTTTATCATTAACACTCAGCAATAGTGTGCTCACCTATAGGATGCTGCTCTGTAAATAACAAACCTGGACCAGACAATCCAGTGCGTGAGTGAGTGAGTGAGTGAGTGAGTGAGTGAGTGAGTGAGTGAGTGAGTGTGTGAGTGAGTGATGATGAGTATGCGAGTTGATGAGTGAGTGGTGGAGTGAGTGGGTGGTTGAGTGAGTGAGTGAGTGGTTGAATGGTTGAGTGAGTGGGTGGTTGAGTGGTAGAGGCCAATATTTTGTGAGTAAATTGTCAATTAGAATTATTGAAATACCAATAATCACTTATAGAAACACTGGGCAACATTATTATCAGCAAAAAATACACATAATCTATTTGATCTAATGTAAGTCACGTCAAGAGACTCTCTTTCTCACATTTACAAAAGTGGTCACTACATAACACAGTCAGTAAAGACACATAACATTTATAACTAGTTTACAAGTCATTACAACGATTATGGACAACATTCTCCAACCATCAAGCTTCAGCTAGCAACTCGCACATACTGGTTCGCTCTCTGACACACTTGTCACGGGCCTCAAAGGTGGGCCTGTGTGTCCAGGACACTATAAATGTTGTTGATCCTCAGTAGGAATGGAAAATGACTATCACCGTAATATAAATGTGTGAACAATTAGGCCATTAACATACCATGTTATAAATGAAGAGCTAGGTTACCTGTAGATTTAACCGCGCTAAATTGAATTTCGAACAGAACGCTCAGTGTGAGGTTTCAAATGTTAAATTTAGCTCACTTAACTCTACAGGTGACCCAGCTCCACAATGAAAACACAGTATGTTTATCTCCATCCTGACATGACTAAATAAAACGCGAACTCTTTGGTGTTAGCAAATATACTGAGTGAAGCAGGACGGGCTGAGTCCAGTGTTTTGAGTGGGATGTCAGTCTGAATTACAGAATGACCGACAACAGCTTTGAAACAAAATATGGCGCTGTATATAATCAAGCAGTTTGTTTACACCATAAAACTTCACTCAAACATGTGACAGGCATTGAAAGCATATAACTTGGTGAGCTAACATGAGGTGGGCACCCCCTAACAGAAAACTAGCAAACTTTGCTAAGCTTTCGTTCTACACCGCACATCATCATTTTGACGTCATATCTCACATTGTAATGCAAAAGATATAGCATCACTGTCATATATAGAAAAGTGCAAAAAATTCCAAGCTAAAATGCTCACCTGGTTCTGTCTCTGTCCCCAAAACTTAAAATACATTCTCTTTGCAGATTTTTATCGTGTTTTCTGCATGAAAAGTATTGCCACACATATTTTTGAAATTGCAGTAACCACAACTGTGCATTTTGTCACTAAAATTGTAGATATACATATACATGACTGGAATAACTATTATTGAAATAAATTATCAGATTCTGGAGATCATAGTTCTCCTGATTCTGGAGAAGTTCGAAGCAAATTTACAGGAATCAAAATATTAACATAAGCACAAATTTCACATTCTTTATGTCTTTCCCTGAGAGCAGGCAATTCTCTCTTCCTTCTTCAGTTACAGATATCGTGACCACATTTTGAGCCAGACGTCTTACAGAAGAAAACAATTTTTGGTAAGATTTTGAACAAATTAACAAAAACCAATACGATTGATGTACGTCAAGGTAGAGGTACAACAAACCACACGGCCCTGCTAGACATCTGTTCAACACAGATACTGTAATATACTGGGCTACTCACAGACCTCGATGGCATCGACTCATCCACGACAGGCTGCCAATATCATCTACACCAGCCTTCTCAACTATACCAGAACTTTGCATGAGATGTCTATAGAGACAAATCAAGTTCTACACAATCGTTAGTCAGCTGGAAAGGTTCAATACTTCCTCTGTGGTAACCATATTGTAATTGCTCTTTAAATATCAATAAAATTGATCATTTCAGAACAGTTTTTTCACAGAATTCACATATATTATATTAACATGACACTCATTGACACACACTGATGCTACAAGCAGTTCCAACTACTGACTTACCCATCCACCTGCCCATCCTTCCAGCCAACCAACCCTAACACCCAACAAACCCTTACACCCAACCAACCAACCCTAACACCCAACCAACCCTTACACCCAACCAACCAACCCTTACACCCAACCAACCCTAACACCCAACCAACCCTTACACCTAACCAACCTACCCTAACACCCAACCAACCCTTATACCCAACCAACCAACCCTAACACCCAACAAACCCTTACACCCAACCAACCAACCCTTACACCCAACCAACCAACCCTAACACCCAACAAACCCTTACACCCAACCAACCAACCCTAACACCAAACCAACCAACCCTAACACCAAACCAACCAACCCTTACACCCAACCATCCAACCCTAACACCCAAACCGACCAACCCTTACACCCAACCAACCAACCCTTACACCCAACAATCCAACCCTAACACCCAACCAACCAACCAACCCTAACACCCAAAAAACCAACCAACCTTTACACCCAACCAACCAATCTTTATGCCCAGCCAACCAACGTACCCTTATACCCAAACAACCAACAAAGCCTCACACCCAACAACCAACCAACACTTACACAAAACCAAACAACCAACCCTTACACCCAACAACCAACCAACCCTCACACCCAACAACCAACCAGACCCATGAAGATTTCGGGGTAGAATAGATCTTCAGCAACCCATGCTTGCCATAAAAGGTGACTATGCTTGTCGTAAAAGGCGACTAACGTGATCGGATGGTCAGGTTCACTGACTTGGTTGACGCATGTCATCGATCCCAATTGCGTGGATCGATGCTCATGATGTCATTCACTGTATTGTCTGGTCCAGACTCGATTTTTTACAGACCGCCTTCATATAGCTGGAATATTGTTGAGTGTGGCGTTAAACAACAAACCAACCAACCCTTACACCCAACCAAGCAACCAACCCTTACACCCAACCAAACAACCAACCAACCCTTACATCCAACAACCAACCAACCCTCACACCCAACAACCAACCCTTCCACCCAACCAACCATCCAATCCTTACCTTAAACCAACCAACCCTTACACCCAACCAAGCAACCAACCCTTACACCCAACCAAGCAACCAACCCTTACACCCAACCAACCATCCACTCTCTAAGCCACTGGCCTCACTCGCTCACCACTCACCACTTTCACTCACTCCATTGTCACTCACTCATTCATCAACTCCACTATTTTCTCTCACTCACTCATCCACTCACTCACTGAGTCACTCACTCACTCCGTGCTTTCTGCAGTTTCACCCACCCACATGCTGTGCATGTTTGTGTCACTTAAGCAATTCAGAAACTGTTGACTGTGGGTTCGAACCATTGTTTGTTTGACAGCATCATACCTGAGTTCACGGTATACTCAACAACAAAAGTTCCTGTGACACCAATATTTTAGTGTATTTTTCAAACAAGTAAAGTTTGGTTTTCAATATTGTAGTACATGTATGGAACCGTACGTCATCGCCTCAGATGTGCAGGGATTGTCGCCAGAAGACCCGCCAGACGTCCCATTTTGACAGGAAACCACCGTCAAGCATGTCTACAGTGGTGCAGACAGTGTCTACGCTGGACAGCCATGCAGTGGGGACAAGTTCTATTCACTGACGAGTCTTGTTTTCACCACGGAAGGATTCGAGTGTACCGACGTCAAGGTGAACGTTACGTCAATCATTGTGTCATGGAAAAAGATCGGTTCGGGGGTGGCAGTGTTATGGTATGGGGTGGGATTACAGCAAGACAGAGACCCGTTTAATAGTGGTAGAGGGAAATCTCAATGGACAGAGCTACCGCGACGAGATCATTGGCCCTGTTGTTCTACCGTTTTTGCCATGTCAGGGCCCAGGCATTACCTTTCAACATGACAACGCCCGGCCTCATATTGTTCAGGATTCTCTTCAACAAAACAACGTGAATGTCATCCCCTGGCCAGCTCACTCCCCTGATCTCTCACCAATCGAGCACATGTGGGATGAGATGGATCGGCGCCTTCGACGTCAACCACGTGTTCCACAGACACTCCAGGAACTTCGAAACATGCTCCAGCAGATATGGACAGATATCCCACAGGACTTTGTGCGACGCCTGGTCCATTCCATGAGACGAATATGTGTTCCTTGCATCACAACCAGAGGTGGACACACACGCTATTGATTTGTAAATTGACATTTGGGCAAGTCAGTATGGCAAATTAAACCATTTGAACACTTACAGGAGTCTTTTATCTGTTGCAGACCGAAATTGTTTCAGATTTGGTAAAAAAGATAACTTTGCAGTAAATCTTATTCAATGTCACAGGAACTTTTGTTGTTCAGTATATTTACCAAAGTCAATATGAATGACATGAATTTATTTAACTAAAATATTGTTCAAAGTGGCAGTAAACCAAGTGGAAAACTGAGGAATATTGATTTTCATAGCAAGTAAAGATTAATGAAAAAGGACGTTGTGTCATTACGCTGCTATTATGGTTGGAATAAGTAAGGTACATGTTAAAAGTTGCAACACAATTACTGTCATTTACTGCCTACATAAAGAACACCGTACCTGTTTAGTGATTGCCTGGCACCAGATGGCGCTACACTGTAACACGGTGTAACACATGTCTGTAAAACCAACATCTGTCACAATGGCTTCCAGCAGTAGAAACTATCATTTTCAGTATACTAGTCCTTATAATGATAACATATAGCAAAGCCCTTAAAAAATGTAAATTTCTACTAGTCCTTATGATCCCTTAACTAGTGGGCAGTTTGGCAAGGACTACAGGACGAGTGCCAATTTCTAACCCTGGAGCCTCCCTCAAGCAACTGGACTCACTCAGAGCTCCAGATAAGCTGCGTATCTGCGTGAAATACGCATCAGAAATGCAGAAATACGCAGTAAAATATAATCCAAGCGTATCAAATACGCAATGAACATTACAGATACGCTACAAAAATAAAACTTGTGCGTATCATCAAAATATTGTGAAGTAACCCTGCGTATTCGATTAGCAAATGAGCAACTTATTTTGAAATTATAAGTTGGCATTCCGTCAACCTTGCCAAACTCCACGATGACAGTCAGATCATGATCATTTGCCATCACACTTTCTTGTGGAAGTATCGTGGTATTTTTGAGTCCTATAAAGCTCTCGAACCCACACGACACCAGTTTGCAGGGACTAGATGAATAGTGTTTTAAATATTCAACTTAAATACCCACATGTGTAAAAACTAGTGGGTAACAGAAATTTGAATACGCAGATAGAATTACTGATACCCAATGATTTTAAAATGCATGGGTAAAATACCCACAACACCAAAAGCTTATCTGGAGCTCTGTCACTCTGATTCAAAATTCAGAATCTTGTTTTTATTTCTGATTGTTACTTTCAACATAAGGCGTTGTTTCTCACGATTTAGAGATCATCATAGAACCATGTCCTGCCGAAGGCCCAGATTCGATGTCCCACATGGGTACAATGTGTGAGGCCCATTTCTGGTGTCCCCCGCCATGATATTGCTGAAATTTTGCTAAAAACAGCGTAAAACCATACTCAGTCACTCATTCTTTATAGAACCGAATCAAATGTAACCACGGTAACCGTACAAGGATCTGATCGTCTGATGTTATTCAGCATCTGAGCTGATATGATGATTTATTCATGTAATCAGAATCCAGGTATCAAATTTCTGTCGTGCCTTCCTGGATACAAATATTCCATCCCATGTCAATATGAACTTGGAATGGATGTAACTAGCATCCACTGCAAGCGCCATTGGACCCAGAAGCGCATGGGTGTTGACAAAAGCTATACCGGCACACTTTGAAAACACATGGTGGATTTTGACTCTTGATAAATAACAAGTGACTGGAACCCAGGTATAACAACGTGAAGGAGGATTCAAACTCAGACAACATTATTGCAATGCTGCCTAGCTTCAGGCCTCACTGACATGTTTCATAGGTTGGAGCCCCACACTCCCCCGACGTCACCTCGGCATAGGATGTGAGACCAAGGTAACTCACTGTAAACATGTTCCGCGTATTGAAATAAAAAAGTTCTCTTTCATTCATTCATAGCATATCACAATCTCACAAACTGACAATTGAAGTATTGTCTGTAGCTGTACCTCAGCATTCGAAATTGTGTTTTTCACACCCAAATACCCAAGGGTTAACATACAGGCACTTTTTGGACAGAATTGCATAAGTGGTAGATTGCATGTGTTTTCATTAACTAGTTATAATAGATGAAGATTTAGTTTTTTGAAGAATTCATCTGTTCAATCTGAACATTCTGTGTAGCCTGAAAAAATGTTGGTTTGAATTTAACACACATGAACAAAGCAACATATAAGTTTTGCTAAACATATAAGAATGATTAATTTTATTGTAAACCAATAAAGATGATACTTTTAAAGTGACATTATTGTTATCGATACAAAAAATCCAATCAATATGTAAACCCCTATCTCATGTTTCTTGTGACATTTGTTTTCAAAATCGAAAATAAATAATGACTGCATAATTTTGACATTGTACAATACATCAGAAAATATCATGAAACTAGAAAATGAATTACTACGATTCAAATGAAGACATTATCGACACACGAAAAAAAATTAAAAAAATTAATACATTAATCAAAATTCGTTTTAGAAAATCGATTAAAATATGTACTCTGTATTTATTTCGTCTTTTTAAATCAATAAACAGGGTAAGGGTCTGGTATAATCAATTCAGATCACACTTGCCACGCCCTTCACCTGTGTGTAATGACCGTCCCGATATTAGCTGAGATAATAATATAAGATTATCTATCTGTCACTATCAGCTGTCTGACAGTCGGTGGGAGGAAGTCGGGGCGGGGAGCCATCAGTCACGCCTCATTCGTCACGCATCACAGAGAAATATTGAAGTTTATAAAGTACCTACTACATGAAAATCCTATTTGAATGAGAGGCTGTGGAGATCTACCACCACCTGTGTTACCTGCAGTCTCCGCGCTGTTGCCCGTGCTGTTGTTAATGATCACCAGAATCAATGCACCGGCCTGTCACGTCGGGGATATAAGGGACGTCACTCTTGGATTCGTCTATCCCTCGTATTTCGCTTCCGTACTATACTTTCAGGCTCGAATCCCTATCTTACTTTTCTTAATTTTTTATCTTAAGATTTTGGTAAAATGTTTAGTGTTTAAGTTGATACCTTTCGAAACTAATGAGACACACCTGGAGATAACTTACTATATGAAATACTACGGTAATAATTCCTGACAGGGACTTTCCTCATATATCAAGCTGATACTCTGTGCTATTACTGACTTACTATTCAAAACGGTTTTACCCCAAATAACTCATCCCTTCAATGAGTTGGTCCTAGTTTTAGGACAACGATGCAGGACTCGTGACCTATTAATGCTTTATCAGTTTACAGTCCTTGTCTGGAAACCTCAATTCAAGACAACTCGTGTACTGCATACCACCCATGAAGATAGACTTGCCGAATTCTGCCTTTAATACCATCTCCTGCAATACTGCATATCTGAGTCCCCTCATCCACCCAGCTCACAGCCTTGGACGCACCACCCTCAAATGTCAGACCGCAAAGGAGGGAGATTTTATGTCGCTTCGTGAGGTTTGGTGACGACGAGTCGGTTTCTGAGATATTATTTATATAAAAATTGCCAGAGCCTGAGACTGTTTCACGGGCAGTACAATTACTGTAACAAAGCTTGAGGTAGATTGCTGTAGGTCGGTGTATTCTTGAAGTGTATATTTTATCAAAGTTTAAGAGTCTGTATAAAAGTAACAATATTTTTCGATTTGTGTAATGTGATGTTCATTCGGTATCTGTCATGCGTATGTTACACGCGCTACCAGTTATGTACACAAAGCGAGCCATTCGTGACCAACTCGTCCCTTTCCGGGACAAGCTGAATGTGTTGGTTACGGAATCATGCGAGTGGTGACGAATGAAAGAGAGCAACACGCACGTTGCCCTGCAACGGCCATCGTGCAGTCCGTTATGACGTAAAGTATATTGTGAAGTCACAAAACTGTCGTCGCTATTTACATCGACACCAACCATATTCGAATTTCATTTCTTTTTCAAACAATACTTTTTATAGTGGTGTTTCATCGGTACTGTCCGACATTATTCTATTTCGTGAGGATGAGTCTTGGGCAAGTCTATACTGTTGGTGTATCTGCTGGGTTATCAGTCAACAGCTGCAGTACACTAACACCTGATGACGAGTTCGTTTTTGCCTGGCCTGCTATTTATATATTCACCGATTGTATCGGATATAAAGTGTTGCCAAGCGACAGTGTTTACTGTTATATGGGAGTTTGAACTGCTCATAGCGGTGAATGACATGACGTCACGGGCGGAACGTTGTGTATAGAAACCCGTGAAGTGAGTGAGTGATTTAGTAAGTGAGTAGTGTTTAGGGCCTCTGCTACACTTATATCACGGTGGGTCAGTTTAATGTGGGAGGGAAGCCCGAACGTGTACAGGTTGTATTGATGTTTATCACTGCAGTGAAACCCACGAGCACGGGGTGGATTCTGTCAGATCAAGGATTATCAGCAGGGTGAATCAGGGATTCGAGCCCAGGACCAGCGAATCCTGGTTCCACCAAGGGACGATACTCAACACAAGATGACAGACAATTTGTACATACAATGTATTGACATGGCATTGAAAACAAGACTGATTGAAGCACTCACAAAATCCTCACTCTTAGTCAACTGTTTAACACAACAACAACTCCAAGCTTACAAAGTGTTTTTTTTTATTTTAGCAAATTGTATTTTCTATACATCTGCATTTAAACAGACACATCATACTCATTTTTGTATTTAGGTTAGTTAGTGTAACGAACATTCTGTTAAGTTTAGGAAGCGAAAGTAGAGGTAGATCAGGATTATCTCCCCTGATACATATCACGACCAACTTCCCTTACGCATGGAGGGATTGTCTCCCCTGAAAAAGCTTCAGGATTGTCTCCCCTCACAAAGCCAACCCGGTACGACGTACAAGTATAAACATGGCTATCAAGATCACAATGGGAGTACAATATCTCACCCAACAAGTTTACAAATCAGTTTGAATTACTTTACAGCTTTGATTTATCGCGATGGTAGATTTGTAAGAGCAAATGTGACTCTCCTCCCGTTTCCTACCTTTAATAATGTCAACACTTTAGAATCACAGAACTCCATTCGTTTTCTTCGAACAATCAACACATAGTCAGTTAGTCTGAAGGTAAACAACAGTTTCTTGAATACAAATAAATTTGTGCCTTGCAATTTTTGTTGACATGTATGATATTAGCTTTCGTTTCCATTTGAGCATAAAACAGCTTGAAAAAAGGCAATTTAAAGACCAAGCCGAAGATTGATAATTCAGTAAATCCATATCGACGATATCCTCATATTATTATCGTCATCAATAATATCTTAAATAAAAAAATAATTGACGGGCCTTCATATCCACGAATGTTCTAATACCACGATAACAAATGTTTCATTACCTCGAAATCCTGTGTGCCGTGAGTGGCCTTGTCCTTACACATTCAGTACCTATGACCCTATGCCGAGAATGCCTTTGTTTCAATACCTTGTATACCCACGTGACTATTCCATAAATACCTCTGTTCCGGTGTCTCGAATATCTGTCATACATATATTTTTGTTTCAATGTCTCGAATATTGTTTGTGTCCAAAGTCAAGAATAACTATTTTCCCATGCCGTAAGTACCTATGTTCTAATAACAGGAATACCCCTCAAAACTCTCTAGGAAGCATGCACTGTGTATACAGATATATTTACAAAAGCCTGCGATACACATTTATGAGGCTGTGACGATGCGACTAGAAATAATTGTCTTCGATCTTGAACAAACAAACTATAAAACAAAACTACAAAACTATGCGTTGAGAACGAATAACATCTCTTTCATATTCTACGTGCTTTCTAATTCTGTGTCAAACGTTTTTGAAATGAACTCTTTCAGGATTGAAAGGTCCTGGTTTGCACAGTAATGGCGGAATCGACACAGAAGAGGCTTCCCATCGCCGCCAGATGCAGATGTAGAGAAGGAAACTTGTGCGTGAGAACAATGTGATTACGTCACAAGGTCATTACGTCACTCCACCGATCAAGGTCAGAGGAATTCCTCCTTGCACCGAGCCCAAACCAAGTACACCATGAGCATCACGTGACCACGACACGCGACTACACGTGACCATGACACGTGTTCTGAACCGATCAGTTCTCCCGGAAGTAGGTGCCACGTCGGGTGTATGCTGACGGTACCGATGACGCTGCTGCAAGTCAGGAAGTGCAAGACGTTACCCTTCATCCCGCCATCGCGGCGTCCAAACAAGATTTGGATGGTGACGGTCGTGTGACTACGGGATCCGGGAACCATCCTCCAAAAACACGTGGAACGAGTACACCTTGCCTCCCCCCCACGCGTACAGAATGCCGTCCTTGAAGTTGTAATCCAGCATGGAGACGTGGACATCGGCGTCGTCCAGAGCCGGGAACACCAGACTTCCCCCCTTCAGAACAGTGTCCTTGGCTGTGGCAGTGTCGAAGATGTATTTGATGTAGTTGGGCGTTTCGTTGAAGGACTCCACGGTGTAGAGGACGCCGCAAATCATGAATGTGTTGCTTGCAAGGCTGCGGGGGTAGCTTGTCAGCCATGTCTGTTCAATCTCCATGCTGGCGTCGTTGATGCGACTAATCATGATCTTCCCGGCGGTCTCCGGCGTGTTGTAGATGGCCCACAACCCGTACTCGTCTACGGCGAGGTCGATGTCGTTGATGTCGCCGAACTCGAACGCGTATTGGTTCTCCATCCCGGTCTTGGTGACGTCAATCTCGCCCATGTTTTCCATCCTGTCCAACTTGTACTTGATTATCTTGCTTGTGCCTTCCCTCTGGCAGTAGAGGCAGCCCCGGTAGATCACATGACCAGTGCCTTGACATTTGAATGGCAGGTCAAAGGTTATGGAGGTGAATGAGTATTGAAGGTCAATCTCTGACTCGTACTCCACAAGCCTGTCCGAGCTCCCGCTGCCCGCCATGATGAAGATCGTCCCCGTGTCGTCCGCCACGTCTTTCATAAAGGCGCCACGTTTCCCCTTCACGTTGATGACGTCACCGGCGCCGATGGCCACGATCTGTTGAGGGCAAGTTCCTGGAATGTACAAAATAAACACGTAAATGTTTTGTTTGCAAAAGAAGCGTTGTAAAATTTCGTGTTGTGCCCTCTGCAAACTATGGCCCTCTTTAATTGGAAGATCAGGATTGTTTGGACTCGATTGTTTACAGACCATCGTCCTAGGATATAGCAGGAATATTGCTAAGTGCAGCGTAAAACAACAAACACTTTGCAGACTGTCGGTGGGGGAGGGAGATTAACGCCGCTTGGAATATGATTCAGTAATGATTCATGGTATGTCGGCTTGACGACGAGGAAAGCCCGAAGTGATGCAGGTCTTCCTGACATCCTTGAACACGGTGGTGATGCTGACAAACCCAGCAACACAATCAGGAAACGGACATTACCTTTTATGTGTTCACGATATGGCCATGGAACCTGGTACATCGCATTTATGATTGACAATTCTTCATTAGTATTCTGCGGGGTGAGTGAGTTAATATTTAACGTCACATAGGCAATATTTCAGCCATATCGAGACCCTGTATTTTGCAGGGTAGATATATCACGAGGATGACTTCTGTGGGGGATATATGCCCTAGCTATAATTATTAAGTTAGCTAAACTAGGCCATCAAACCATTCATAGTTTCTTTGTGATATCTGCACACGTAAAGTCAATACTACATACATGCATGCAGGTAAATGACGGGAAACGATTGGCTCTGCAGAATTGCGTCCCTTGGGCACGCCAGCAACCCATGATGGTGGGTTCGAACCCCGATTCGACCAGATGATGTTACTTGATTTCTCAGCACCATACCCGTGTTCGTAAGGCCTGCATCACTTTGGGCTTTCCTCCCAAATGAAGCTGACACGCCGTGATATTTATGGACTACTGTTAAAATCAGCATTAAACACAACTCACTCACACATTCACTCCGCTATAACACAAGGACTTGTCAGTATACTGTGTTTGAGTGGGGTATCTATCTGTAACTGCGGCATGGTATCTCAGGGCTCTATAACACTGGCATACGACAGGACTGGTACAAGTAGACACACAGACAGACGGTTAGACCCGTGAAGATTCGGGGTAGAATAGGTCTTCAGCAACACATGCTTGCCGTTAAAGGCGACTAACGGGATCGGGTGGTCAGGTTCGCTGACTTGGTTGAAGCATGTCATCGATCCCAATTGCGTGGATAGATGCTCATGATATCAATCACTGGATTGTCTTGTCCAGATTCGATTATTTACAGACCGCCGTCATATAGCTGGAATATTGTTTAGTGCGGCGTAAAACAACAAACCAAACCAAAAAAGACAGACGGAAAGACGGACAGACAGACACAAACACATACACACGTCGCTATGTAAGTGCAATACTCTTTAACATTATGAACGTTAACACAGCTTCACGTCACTTCTGGGGGAGGCTGTTCTCACGCTGAAGGAAGGTCAATGTGATGTTATTAAGTACACTAAAAATGTGTGCAAACACTGATAAGACATGTTTAGATGTAAACATGATCAGGAATGTGTTTCAACCATTAACGGAACACAATGGTGTGTTCTGTCTTACCGCATCTAGGTCTAAACACATGAAATACGATGTCGTCTCACAGCCTAAACACCACCTGAACGCATCCCCCAAATCTAAACGTTCAGAATTTAACCACGTTAAAACGTGTTTAGATTTTAAATATGTTTAAAGTTAAAACATGTTTCTAATTTAAACATGTTTAATGACGTGCATAAAAATCTGTGTTTCCCTAAATGTATTGCCGCTGTATAACTGATAGTATTTCTCTCACACAGGAGGCTGATCATACAAGTATATCTGATGACTACGATCGACCCACAACTATGATGTTATCAACACCCCCCCCCCCCCCCCAAAATGAATCCATATGTACTGCTAAATTCGCTTTTATCGCCACTTTTCACCATCCTCTCCATTTTTTCAAATATTTAAAACAATTAAATTGAACGTTATTTAGGGACTGTTTATTATGAGAGGGGGAGGGTGTGTGGGGGTTGGGTGTGTGGGTGGGGGGTGTTGAGAAAATGTTACGGGGACCATGAGATAATGTAACATTACATGGCAAAAATGATACAGTCCTAAGACCAATCTCCCCCTCACCCCACTCCACCCCCAACTCCACCCCCCTCCCCCAACTCCACCCCAACTCCACCCCCTTTAAGAAACCACCAGTCTATTTTTTCAATGTAGCAGAGGTTACCTGTATTAGAGCCGCGCTAAATTGAATTTGGAGCCGAACTCAAAGCAAACGCTCGCTGTAAAGTAATCAATCGGATGTTGACAGGAGTTTAAATGATGCATGGTGAACAGACGGGCGTGTGATTAGTTCTCTCGGTGATAGCAAGTAACAAGAACAATGTGTGACTTCTCAGACCACACACCATGACAGCTTCAGTTTTACCCATGTCAAACGGTGAGGTCGTTCTGACTTGTAGTCACTGAGAAAAAACAAACATTCCATGCAGCCTTGACGGATCGGGCTAGACTTTGATATCTAACACCAGACCGTGGACACAGATCGACACAGATATCAGACCATGGACACAGGTCGACACAGACACCAGGCCGTGGACACAGGTCGACACAGGCACCAGACCGTGGACACAGATCGACACAGACACCAGACCGTGGACACAGATCGACACAGACACCAGACCGTGGACACAGGTCGACACAGACACCAGACCGTGGACACAGACCGACACAGACACCAGACCGTGAACACAGGTCGACACAGGCACCAGACCGTGGACACAGACCGACACAGACACCAGACTGTGGACACAGGTCGACAGAGACACCAGACTGTGAACACAGACCGACACAGACATCAGACTGTGGACACAGGTCGACACAGGCACCAGACTGTGAACAAAGATCGACACAGACACCACACCGTGGACACAGACCGACACAGACACCAGACCGTGGACACAGATCGACACAGACATCAGACCATGGACACAGGTCGACACAGACACCAGACCGTGGACACAGGTCGACACAGACACCAGACTGTGAACACAGACCGAAACAGACACCAGACCGTGGACACAGATCGACACAGACACCAGACCATGGACACAGGTCGACACAGACACCAGACCGTGGACACAGGTCGACACAGACACCAGACCATGGACACAGGTCGACACAGACACCACACCGTGGACACAGATCGACACAGATATCAAACCATGGACACAGGTCGACACAGACACCAGACCGTGGACACAGACCGACACAGACACCAGACTGTGGACACAGACCGACACAGACACCAGACTGTGGACACAGGTCGACAGAGACACCAGACTGTGAACACAGACCGACACAGACATCAGACTGTGGACACAGGTCGACACAGATATCAGACCGTGGACACAGACCGACACAGACACCAGACCGTGGACACAGATCGACACAGATATCAGACCGTGGACACAGGTCGACACAGACACCACACCGTGGACACAGATCGACACAGATATCAAACCATGGACACAGGTCGACACAGACACCAGACCGTGGACACAGATCGACACAGATATCAGACCATGGACACAGGTCGACACAGACACCAGACCGTGGACACAGATCGACACAGATATGAGACCGTGGACACAGGTCGACACAGACACCAGACCATAGACACAGACAGATACAGACACCAGACTGTGAACACAGATCGACACAGACACCAGACCGTGGACACAGATCGACACAGATATCAGACCGTGGACACAGGTCGACACAGACACCACACCGTGGACACAGGTCGACACAGACACCACACCGTGGACACAGACCGACACAGACACCAGACTGTGGACACAGGTCGACACAGACACCAGACCGTGGACACAGGTCGACACAGACACCAGACTGTGGACACAGACCGACACAGGCACCAGACTGTGGACACAGATCGACACAGACACCAGACCATGGACACAGACCGACACAGACACCAGACTGTTGACACAGATCGACACAGACACCAGACTGTGGACACAGACCGACACAAGCACCAGACTGTGGACACAGATCGACACAGACACCAGACCGTGGACACAGACCGACACAGACACCAGAATGTGAACACATACCGACACAGACATCAGACCATGGACACAGACACCAGACTTTAGACATAGACACCAGACTTTAGACATAGACACCAGACTTTAGACATAGACACCAGACCGTGGACATAGACACCAGACCGTTGACATAGACACCAGACCGTTGACACAGACCGACACAGACACCAGACCGTTGACAAAGATCGACACAGACACCAGACTTTGGACACAGTCATCGGACACAGACAGACATAGACCCCAGACCGTGGACACCAGACCGTGGACACAGTCATCGGACACAGACAGACATAGACACCAGACCGTGGACATAGACACCAGACCGTGGACATAGACACCAGACTTTAGAAATAGACACCAGACTTTAGACATAGACACCAGACTTTAGACATAGACACCAGACTTTAGACATAGACACCAGACTTTAGACATAGACACCAGACCGTGGACATAGACCAGACCGTTGACATAGACACCAGACCGTTGACACAGACCGACACAGACACCAGACCATTGACAAAGATCGACACAGACACCAGACTTTGGACACAGTCATCGGACACAGACAGACATAGACCCCAGACCGTGGACACCAGACCGTGGACACAGTCATCGGACACAGACAGACATAGACACCAGACCGTGGACATAGACACCAGACCGTGGACATAGACACCAGACTTTAGACATAGACACCAGAATTTAGACATAGACACCAGACTTTAGACATAGACACCAGACCGTGGACATAGACACCAGACCGTGGACATAGACACCAGACTTTAGACATAGACACCAGACTTTAGACATAGACACCAGACTTTAGACATAGACACCAGACCGTGGACATAGACACCAGACCGTTGACATAGACACCAGACCGTTGACACAGACCGACACAGACACCAGACCGTTGACAAAGATCGACACAGACACCAGACTTTGGACACAGTCATCGGACACAGACAGACATAGACCCCAGGCCGTGGACACCAGACCGTGGACACAGTCATCGGACACAGACAGACATAGACCCCAGGCCGTGGACACCAGACCGTGGACACAGTCATCGGACACAGACAGACATAGACCCCAGGCCGTGGACATAGACACCAGACTTTAGACATAGACACCAGACCGTGGACATAGACACCAGACTTTAGACATAGACACCAGACTTTAGACATAGACACCAGACCGTGGACATAGACACTAGACCGTGGACATAGACACCAGACCGCGGACAAAGATCGACACAGACACCAGACTTTGGACACAGACACTAAACTGTAAGCATAGGCACCAGACACAGGCCGACACAGACACCAGACCGTGGACATAGACACCAGACCGTGGACAAAGATCGACACAGACACCAGACCGTGGACACAGACCGACACAGACACCAGACCGTGGACCGTCGATATAGACACCAGACCGTGGATATAGACACCAGACCGTGGACATAGACACCAGACCGTGGACATAGACACCAGACCGTGGATATAGACACCAGACCGTGGATATAGACACCAGACCGTGGATATAGACACCAGACCGTGGATATAGACACCAGACCGTTGATATAGACACCAGACCGTGGATATAGATACCTACCTATGGGACAGCACACTAGCACAGGTACTTACCTAATTCTTCTTTGTTGATATTTGGCCGCCTTCTCTTCTTTTTGAGTTCTCGGGACAACATGCGTCTCATCGTCAACATGGTCTGATTCACGAATCCTAACTGTAAGTACAGATCGACCTCTGACCTTGCGGCGCTCTGGAGACTCTTAGAGGTCACGTCAATCATCAGTTGCAGTGAATCCATCATCTTTGACATCTCGGCGCTGTGTGAGAGGATGGCGGTTCTCATGAACGTGTACTGGTTCTGAATGGCCGCCAACATGGTGTCCTTGAGCGTCACCGACTGATACTGCATGCGTCGCATAGCGTCCAGGTCCGACTGTAACTTTTCGTCACCGGAAGCAAGATGGTGCGAGATGTTGGTCATGGAGGAGGACACCCGGGACAACTTCCGCTTGATCCTTTCCATCTTCTTCGTGGAGTTCCGTATGGTATCTGACATCGGACTAGCGTCACGGAAATAGTACATATGAGCCCTCGTGTGTTCCGAGTCTCGCTGTGGCCTCATCGGTCGTCTGTCCTTCTTCGAGGGTAACATCCCCGCTTCCTTCAACTCGGCGTTGGTAGCGTAGATGTTGACCTTGGCCCCCTTTCCCTGACACACCACCCGGATGTTGTTTTCAACAAGGTCCAAGTCATACTCACATTTGTCGTTTTTAATCGGCTTAGCCTGAGAACAATCCACAGCACATAGAGAAACGATCACCCACAGACACGCTGATAAATGGCCCATTTTGTCTGTGAAATTGCAAGACTGGAACAGCAAATGTACAGCGACACCGACTCTTCAAAGAATTGATCGCACGGCGAAACGTTTTAGCTTCAAAAGAATAATAACACAAGCGTCCAGGGAGTCTGCCAGCGAGACTGGGTGTAGTTAAGCCACTCTAACTAATCACCCAGAGTGCCAGAAAACATGGAGCTCTAGTAGAACGTTATCTAAGAATACGTCACAGTCGAGGACGTTGCAGAGGTTCCATTGTGTTGTAACGTCGTTGTCGTACCCGCTACTGCTTGACTTCTACACTGCGTCACTGTAAAGTGTGTTTGGTCCTCGGTTTAATTGGCCACAGGAAATGAAAGACGACTCGGCAGTGTAGTCGAGTATACACGATAACACTTCTCCTCAAACCGGGAAACTGAACTGTATAACTGAAGCAAACCAAATTATTAACCCTTTAATTCACTTCCAGTATAACATTTTGTTATAATAAACGACCTAGCTTACACAACTCTATTTCGTTGTTCTGTTAACGGATGGAAAACTGTTACATGATCTGGGATAAATCCTAAGGTAATATTCACTGCAATCCAGTTGATGGAATCCAAATTCAGGTCGTGATAAAAAGGGTTAAAGAAACAAGCGAAGCCAGCTTGAAGAGTAGCACCTGCATGCAATGCTATGTGTCGACAGTTGGGACTATAAAATATTAATTTGATTGGTCTGATTCTGTTTACAGCAGAGGCGCTGTGGTCGGTTTCTCTCGCCAGCCAAGTGAAAGCTTTTGGCTGATGACTGTGGCCTGCCTCATCACGAATGTTCATTATCTGTCATCGATTTGGCTTAAGTCCTAATACTCTTTCAAATCAATTTTACCGTTGAAATGCACGTTTTCATTAAAGGGGCTTCAATTGGACTTTGACAAAATCAATTCCATAGGAGTCCTGCACAGTGTTGGCAATGTGCCCTTGCATTAACTGTGTGAGGTCAACTGTTGGCAACGAAGCTTCACAATGGAGCAATGCCCCACCTCTGCTGTAGAGTAAACATACCCTTTCACAACCTATTTCATATTTGAATTGTAATTATTGTGTATGCAAACACTGACATAAGCTCCTCACACTCATCACCGCCGTGTATGTGGTGTGACAGAGGTGGGCCTCCGAAATACCTCACATTCTTACAAGTATCTACTACGGAGAATTATTGGGTCTCTATTTGCATTGTTGTTTCATTTGATGCTGTGCAGAGCAGGTCACTCACCCGTGGAGCATGGAAGGCCTAGTAGTTAAAGCGTTCGGGTGAGTGGGTGGGTGCTATGTTTGAAGCCCATTTCTTGTATACCCCTCCATGACGTTGATAGAATATTTCTAAAAGTGGCCTAAAACTCAACTCACTCGCTTACTTGCCGTTCACCTGTTTCACCAGGCAGACCGAGATATAGGAGTAGACAGTAGGGGTATACCTACCCGTCCATCATCTACTGGTCTGATGACGAATGACTGTGAATACACTGGGCATCTCGTTCATACTATTGACGTTAGTTGTGTCAGCACCACACTCCGCGGTATTCCAGCCCCGGCGGCCTGTAAATACTCGAGTTTGGGTCCGACAAATCAATGACATGATCCACATCAGCGGTTTACGATTATCGATGAAAGTCAATCTACTTAGTCACCGAGCCTGGCCACCTTCAGATACTCCACGGGATTGATATCAGATGTACAGATATCATTAATTCACGTGTCAAAATAACTTCCACAATCAGCGAGCCCTCATACCAAGAAATTAAAGCGTTGCACAGCGACACCCTGAGAAACGAGGCACAACGGTCAATTAGGATACAAACAACAGCAGTAAGGCTGGCTGACCGTTCTACACCAAACCTGTTAATCTGAACGGTATCCATCCCAGGGAACCTGGTTAATCTGAACGGTATCGATCCCAGGGAACCCTGTTAATCTGAACGGTATCGATCCCAGGGAACCCTGTTAATCTGAAGGGTATCGATCCCAGGGAACCCCGTTAATCTGAACGGTATCGATCTCAGGGAACCCTGTTAATCTGAACGGTATCGATCCCAGGGAACCTGGTTAATCTGAACGGTATCGATCCCAGGGAACCCTGTTAATCTGAACGGTATCGATCCCAGGCAACCCCGTTAATCTGAACAGTATCAATCTCACGGAACCCTGTTAATCTGAACGGTATCGATCCCAGGGAACCCTGTTAATCTGAACGGTATCGATCCCAGGAAACCCTGTTAATCTGAAGGGTATCCATCCGGGGAAACCCGATAAATATGAACGGAATCAATCCCCGGTAACCCTGGTAATCCGAACGTTATCGATCCCAGGAACACCTGTTAATCTGAACGGTATCCATCCGGGGAAACCCGATAAATATGAACGGAATCGATCCCCGGTAACCCTGGTAATCCGAACGGTATCGATCACAGGGAACCTCTTTGAACTGAACGGTAACGACCCCAGGGAAACTATGTTAATCTGAACGGTATCGATCCCAGGGAACCCCGTTAATCTGAACGGTATCGATCTCACGGAACCCTGTTAATCTGAAGGGTAACGATCCCAGGAAACCTGGTTAATCTGAACGGTATCCATCCGGGGAAACTATGTTAATCTGAACGGTATCGATCCCAGGGAACCCCGTTAATCTGAACGGTATCGATCTCACGGAACCCTGTTAATCTGAAGGGTAACGATCCCAGGAAACCTGGTTAATCTGAACGGTATCCATCCGGGGAAACTATGTTAATCTGAACGGTATCGATGCCAGGGAATCCCGTTTATCTGAACAGTATCGATCCCGGGGAACCCTGTTAATATAAACCGAATCGATCACAGTACATACAATGTTTCCGGACTATGGTTGTACCGCTGAGATTTCTCTATTCATGTTCGGAATGGATCTGCCGGAGATTGTTCCCTCGAGTGTTCTGTGACACAAGTGGGTTCGGGTATTTCCAACTTACGCATTTCAACTAAAAAATATGGCCTTGATATTGTAAGATGCAGGAGTGGTTGTAATTCTATACTGTTGTTTGTAACAATACTGTTGCCTGTAATACTGTACCGTTGTGTAATAATTTAAACTGGTGTTTGTAATACTATACTGTTGTTTGTTATACTACACTGCTGTTTGAACTGGTAATACTATGTTGTGTCTACTGTAGGGTGGATCATCTAGATTTGGGATGACGCATCTGTCGTACCACCGCTGACCGCGTGTCCGCGCACGAATATTTTACGACCGCTTCGTCTGTCATTGTTGCGTGGCCGACACATCGGCTGGTAAAGGTCTCGCTGTGTTAACATGCTCTTTCTCTTTATAACTGGAAATCAGTCTTTACATATTCTTACATTGCTAAGAAATGACTATTACAAGTTGATTATTAATTAGTCCAATACTGATTATTTGAACAGAGGAATTTCATTATCAGCTCGACAGAAGCACAACATGGCTGAACTGTGTTTTGTCATTGGTGTATCGCGTCGTAGTATGAACAACCTTCAAATATGTGTCCACTACAAACAGCACACCACAAGGCTGGAGTAGATCTTCTACTTTGAACAGTAAGCACTGTCTTTACGTTGCAGGGTAGATATCAAGACGTACTTGGTGACGTCGCACAGACACAGTTGAAGTGATGGTTCAACTTCTACATCCTAAAATCTGATGTTGGCGAAGACAGGGGCGGAGTGAGTGGTATTTATCAGGTTGCCATTTATATCCTGTACCTGCTTATTCATATTACTGCTGTCAAATCACTACAGTGACAGTGCTAGAGGGCATGTTGAAAACATCGGTCTTAACAGAACATGTGCATGTCGCAGAGAAAGGGCCAAATCACGTGATATGGTATCCCAGTCTTATCTCCCCACAACAAAACTCTGCCCTGCTTACACGGTGTAATATCCAGTGCCTGTCATGGCCATTAGGACCTGTGAAGATCCGGGGTAGAATAGGTCTTCAGCAACCCATGCTTGCCGTTCAAGGCGACTAACGGGACCGGGTGGTCAGGCTCAGCGACTTGGTTGATGTATATCATTGTATTCTAATTGCGTGGATCGATGCTCCAAATGTTAATCATTGGATTGTCTGGTCCAGGCTCGATTATTTACATTCCACTGTCATATGGCTGGAATGTTGTGGGTGCGGCGTTAAACAACAAACAAAAACCCAACACAGCCCATTAGAGTAGAGTAGGGGGAGTATTCTGACCACGTGATCACACCAGCTGGCCACAGCAGGTACACTCCATGTGACAATTGTGGGCAGCTCTCCAAGGTTGACAGTTAAAGTTCAAAATTAAGTAACCATAAATTAAACATAGATATACAAAACCACCCAAGCCGTTACATCATCAGAGACTCTGCTCTTCATGTTCAACTATTGATGATGAAAAACTCTACTATACCTACTTCACTGTACCAGATACAGTCAAGAAGCACTCCTTGCCTCGTAGCAAGCTGAGGGGTGAATAAGGTCGATGTTCAACGCAAGTTGGTTAGTATATCAAAATTATGAAATCATAGTTGAGATTATTGTATCAGGAAGGTCTATCATGATCAATATGATTTAGCTGAACGTGGACGTTGATGCTGCGGATTGCAAGACAACTCTTTATTGTTTAAATATAGGAGTGGACATGTATGGGGAATCAAGACGTTGACGGTGCTAAATCGTTTTAAACTGTGTTAAAAGTGCATGGCAAATGACCATAGATGTGGTGTAACCAATCTTACATTTGTCTAGATTTGAAACATAGATTGTGAAAACTAGATTATAACTGTGAGGATTATTTATCTATTGTTAAAATAAATATTTATAGAATTACACTGACAAACGTCAGATGTAATCCCAATTTGATGATTGAAAACGGTAGAAAATATGGAATTGTAAGAAACACACGAATTTAATTAATGTCATCCATTTTAGTGTATATGGGTTAGTGACTCTAAGGCAATGGTTATTAGTTTGAATCATAATTCCTTGATAATATAAATAATAAGAACAAATTGTCCCTATAAAACACCGGCGTACTGTCAGCGTATCTACACTTGCCTATTATAAGGATAGAATGACAATACATCTATGGACGTATCATTCAGTACAGACTTGGAGCAAGGCTAATCAGCACCTAGACTAACATCTAGTCTCTCAAATAAACATATCGTACAGAAAAAGAAACAGTTGTTCAGTTATCTTAATAAAAATATAATAAAAGGAAGCCCAGTAATCTAGACTTGCCAAACATTATAGAAATGCATGGGCTGTATTTGATATATATTTGTATCAGGATTTCCCGACATGGCTACAATGTGTGAAACCTATTTCTGGTGTCCCCCGACCATGGGCTTCCTGCTGCTAATGGACTGTTGACACTATTTCTAAACAAGATCCTTTTGGATAGCAGCATTCCAAATATACAAGAGTATAACCGCTTACACACTAAACTGTGGCAACACTTGACCTGTTGACCTGTTGACCTGTTGACCAATTGACTACGTGAGTCTAATTTTCCAAAGGATGTGATAGATTTCTTGACCACTTTGTCACCTAGCAACGTGCGCTGTTTGGTATGTGTCTTTCCTTGTATGGTGCATGCCGCATATCTTTACCACAGGCGGGTCCAGAGGAGGGGTGTGTGTGTGTGTGTGTGGGGGGGGGGGGGGGGGGGGGTTCCGGACCTCCATCCCTCGTCCCACGACCCCACCCAGCCCCTCCTCCCCTCCCATCCCCCTCACCGACTGATTCCGCCACTGGTGTGTGTACGTATCCATGTACAGCGCAATGGAATGGAAGTTCCTGAACTCACAGGAACTCGATGATATGTTTATAGAGGGGTGTGATTTTTTTATTTACGAATATATTATGTTATACACGCTATCATCGAGTATATATATGTTTATAGAGGGTGTGATTTTTTTTATTTACGAATATATTATGTTATACACGCTATCATCGAGTTCCTGTGCCTGAACTGTGTCAGAGAAATGTTTAAGTGAACTCTTTCCATCCGTGTACATGTACCTAAACATTAAAAACATTTCTGCTTGACAAACACAATTCATGACACAACACCTGACAAAGAAGTGACTAAATATTTTAACACGCACCCAATGCATATTTTTTTTCTTCTCTTCCCGGCAATCCATATTTTTTGTATGGCCAAATGTCTTGTAAAGGCAAACACGTGTTGCCTAATCACTATAACACATTTCGTTAGCGATTTATCGCAAATCCCAAACACTTTTCAGGAAGTGAACATCAAAAAGCTGGGAAACCCCCACAGCTGGACGTAATCGACCTTGACCCTGGTTTGAGGGTCGAAGGTTACAGAGTCCCGCGATCTGAAAGAAGGAGATTGTTCGGTGTTTGTGCACTGTTGTTGAGTGTTGGGTCGCATTGATACTATTTACGTGCGTCAATATCTTCAAGCTGCTGACATGGCGACAGAGGAGGCGAGAAACGTGGTCATAGCCGTAGATGACAGCGAATTCTCGGAATATGCATTCGACTGTGAGTAGAACACCCAACCCTTTGCACGTCCAAATAACACCCATTGTTATTGACACGCTTAGCGTTAGAATCTGACAGGAAGCTCCGCGAAATATCAAGTCACAGCTTTAGCGGTGGGGAGCGAAGTGTTCTAGACAACATTTTTGATAGGCTGACATGATAACATTTCAAATGTCAGATTATTGAACATGCTGAAATCATCGAATTACATTTTATTGTATTACCAGATTGAGTAGAATGTCACTGATCAATACAGATTCTGAGTTACACTGATATCTTTATTTTGACCACATGTTTATTTGATTTGCAAAATTTGTTCGATTTATGATCATAAACAATAAAACTACATATGATATTGCTGAAAACACCTCATTTCTCACAGCATTTGTACCCCAGAAATGTTGAAATACGACCAGATAAACTTGTGATTACGTGAAGCTTGGTCTTATTCTGGTCTTCATTATGTGGGGTCAGTTATCCCGATGATAATTAGGTATGTCCAAAAATAAACCATGCCAAAATCCTCTGTCTTGTGCGTCTCTTGGCATCAAGGGGCGTACAGGAGACCTGTCGACTGAGGCGTCACAATGTACTTGGCGGAGGAATAGCATGGAAACCAATGACAGGTGAGGAATTCCAGGTTCCTTGCTGTGATGAAATGTCTTGGGTAATCAGCACTGTGCAGGTGCTCGTGGTAAGAACACGTCGGAGTCCTGCATCACTTACCTAAATGAAGGTCCGGATTAGTATTTATCTTTCAGCACCCAATGCTTGTTGTAAGAGGTGACTAACGGGATCGGGTGGTCATGGTAGCTGACTTGGTTGATGCATGTCATCATATTCCAATTGCGTGACACTATACAGACACCAAGGGACTTACTTACAAGGCGTCCTAGATAATGAGTTAGTGTTTTATGTTTACCTTAATGGAGTTCATGATCAGGAGTTGTCCCCATTCCTCACATATTTCTACATGAGCACAATGGGTAAATTAGCAGATCCTGGTGTCAGGAAGGGGGGTAATGTTGTCAGTGCATGAGTAGATTTAACAACAAATTTGTATGTATTCAGCAGGACTTGCTCCTTTTCAAAGTTACTGGCCCTTCTCCAGACTAACTGGCCTAGAACTAAATGGTGGAGACCGCAAAGTGACCAAACCTGTGGTCGCATAGCCACCTATAGCGGGGCTCCTCACCCCTGAAACACCTTTTCCGGCACTCTGAGATTAAATCTTTGCTTCCATACACCTCATTTCATTGTGATTTATGAGCAAATAAAGACGTTGTACACAGCGTTACAAAATGTCAGCCGGTTGTGACATTTTACCAAGATAATAGACATATATCTTTCATTGAGTTAACCATTCACAAGACCTCATCCGCCCTAAATATTTTCTCATTAAACTTACATGATTCACAATAGGGCTGGGACGAGTCCAAATTTGCTACCCGGGTATCCACTCCCATATTACCCGACCCTACCTGGGTACCTGCTGTAGGTCCGAAGAGATAGGTACAAATGTCTGATTGGGAATAGTTTGACCAAAATGTGTTAAGATACTCGTATAAAATGATCTGGTCATGCATACACTGAAGTTGACAGAAGTTTTATCTTTATTCAAACATATAAAGTCTGAATTTATGAGTGCATAGTCAGAAAGAAATGCAAACATTAGTCACTTATTGTGTAACCATAGAGTTCCAGATGATTTTTTCCATTAAACAATATACCACGTGACTAACCACGGGTCCGGGTTGTCCTGTGGGTACCTGGGTCCTACTCAGTACCCACCCGACCCGTGTTCCCTAGGTGCCCCTCACAGCCCTAATTCACGAGTAGTGTCCACTTAGAAGAATTTAACAGACATGGCGAAGGGGTGAGATTTTGACTAACCAGACGGGCCATGTACTTTACATTTCAGCAAACCCTTTGTTATTTTAACTGGCCACGTGCCAACAGGCCAGCAGTTAAATCAGTGTTGAAAATTGGCACTAGTCCTGTAGTCCTTGCTTTGTAGAAATTTGCCAGTTTAAGGGTATTGCTATATATTATTATTGGAAGGATGAGTTGACTAAAAATGTCAGTTTCTGCTGGTGCAAATACACCCCTGCTGTGGTGTGAGGCAGGGAACAGACATTTTAGGGAGTAGGATAGGCTCATGGTTAAGGGAAACACTCGTCCCACTGGACCCCCGGGATAGATTCCCCCCAGGGTTACTGCCCTCCCCTGTTGGAATATAGCTGGGCTGTTGCTGAACAGAGATTATTAGCCAAGTGTGTTTCTGTATAGTAAATACTTTATGTGGTAGGAATAGCATGTCCCCTGTTGGAATATAGCTGGGCTGTTGCTGAACAGAGATTATTAGCCAAGTGTGTTTCTGTATAGTAAATACTTTATGTGGCAGGAATAGCATGTGTATGATGCCTTGCGATGATGTGTCGTGTATGAAGCCAGTGATGTAAGCAGGAAGAGTATTTATAGATGTCAACTTCTTTTTTATGAGGAACACAACATTTTGGAGTGTATGCCTACTCCTTCATCAGGTACTCCCTCATAATATAGAAGTTGACATCCATTTTTTTCTCTCTTTCTTATGTGTATCACTTCTAAATGCCTTTCAAAGACAGTGATGTAAAGAAAAATATTCTTCTTCTTTCTGAACATTAATAACTAGCTTCAGTGGCTGAGAGATTAGTGATGTCATTTTTATTGTGATGTCATGGTGAGTAAGTATGGTTTTACGCCACTTTTAGCAAAACTTTAGCCACAAGGATACCCCATCGCCCCTGTGACTGATGACATCACAATGGTCTGCGAAGCATTGTGATGCAGTTGTATTGTGGTGTAAACTCCAAGAGATATAGAGAGGATATTTCATGTGTTCAGGGGGAAAGGAGATGAGAGAAACATGATATTTCACTCGACACATGAAATATCCTATTTAAAATTTCTTTACAAATGTAAAACCTTGAAATGTAAATTCTCCCAACCTAACACACATGTACCTTTCACCACCCATTGTAAGTGCGACTTAAAAAGAAGTTCCGTGTTTGCAAAATCTTAAAAAATATAAACGAAAGTAACATAATCATGATAATGTAGTTGTTGTCTTTATTATACATTTGAATATGATTATACAAAAAATCAAATTAAATAAAAAAATATCTTGACATCTGAAACATTTTCAAGAGAATAACCAAACGGCAAGAAGTAATAAGGATTCCATTAATGACCATCTGTCATTATGTTGCCATGTCCGTGAGGAACTAACGTAAATAGGAAGTCAACATTTGTGAATGGGCTATTCACGTTTGATAAAGTGCGATAATTTGTTGGTAGGTCACTTTTGTAAGACAATAATGCTGTCAAAGTTGTATGTTCACTGCAGTGAAATATCAAGTGTTATGTTCACTGCAATGAAAATATGACTTTTCTCAACTCAGTCTTTCACAGTGAAATATGTAATAAAGTGGGATCTCACCAGTTGATGTCTCCTGTGGAAGCTAGTTTGGAATGATGAATACCGTTTTCAGTCCAAACTTATTTCTACAGAGATCATCAGAGATCATTAGGCAAGGCTAACAACAACAGCCTCCTGCCAGAATGCATGGGCTGACACCCCCCCCTGTTGGCAGGCAGTCAGGTGTGCCATGTACACAACCTGGGGTTGCGGAGTCAGGAATATACTTGCCATTCCTCTGCCAGAATGCATGGGCTGACACCCCCCTGTTGGCAGGCAGTCAGGTGTGCCATGTACACAACCTGGGGTTGCGGAGTCAGGAATATACTTGCCATTCCTCTGCCAGAATGCATGGGCTGACACCCCCCCCTGTTGGCAGGCAGTCAGGTGTGCCATGTACACAACCTGGGGTTGCGGAGTCAGGAATATACTTGCCATTCCTCTGCCAGAATGCATGGGCTGACACCCCCCCCCCTGTTGGCAGGCAGTCAGGTGTGCCATGTACACAACCTGGGGTTGCGGAGTCAGGAATATACTTGCCATTCCTCTGCCAGAATGCATGGGCTGACACCCCCCTGTTGGCAGGCAGTCAGGTGTGCCATGTACACAACCTGGGGTTGCGGAGTCAGGAATATACTTGCCATTCCTCTACCAGGTGTTCATCAACCGAACAGAGCTGATTCCTCCTGGAGACGTGCCATGCGACGTGTTCAAATCTCCTACACCGTCTCTGTAAACAAGTGCTAGAGCAATCAGAATGTAATACAGCTCATTATCTCCTGTGTATATTTCATGTTCCCAGAAGACCCTTGCTCATTTAGATACAGGTGCTCCGATAAATTGATCTATAGGGTTGAGTGTCTGTCCTGATTCACTTTACAAACAGGTGCTCTGATAAGTTGATCTGAAGGGTTGAGTGTTTGTCCTGATTCACTTTACAAACAGGTGCTCTGATAAGTTGATCTATAGGGTTGAGTGTCTGTTCTGATTCACTTTACAAACAGGTGCTCTGATAAGTTGATCTGAAGGGCTGAGTGTCTGTCCTGATTCACTTTACAAACAGGTGCTCTGATAAGTTGATCTATAGGGTTGAGTGTCTGTTCTGATTCACTTTACAAACAGGTGCTCTGATAAGTTGATCTATAGGGTTGAGTGTCTGTTCTGATTCACTTTACAAACAGGTGCTCTGATAAGTTGATCTATAGGGTTGAGTGTCTGTTCTGATTCACTTTACAAACAGGTGCTCCGATAAGTTGATCTGAAGGGCTGAGTGTCTGTCCTGATTCACTTTACAAACAGGTGCTCTGATAGGTTGATCCAAAGGGTTGAGTGTTTGTCCCTATTCACAGAGAACAAAAAAATCGATCACACCTCTGTTTCTCTTCTCCTTTCTCCTGCAGACCTTGCCTTTATACATATGATGCCTACAAATATATTTAAGTACCCAGGGCAGTGTATAATATTCACCAAGTTTCAGTCAGACACTCGGACTGGCAACATTGCAAAGTTACCAGACCAGATAAAATGTTACCATTCCAGAATTTTCTTGACCAGTGAAAAAAGGTAAACAGAAGAATAGTGCTGTTTCATGTTAGTTTTTAGAAAACAACAAAAAACTGGTGCATGGTCAACCTAATAACTAATAACTTTAACCCCTGACCATCAGGTTTGCAACCTTTTAAAACTGACCGTCCATCATCAAAATAGACCATTTCGGGCAGGTGGGTATTTTAAACACTGCCTAGAGAGAGTGAAAAGTATTTTTTATCATGTAAATTTGAGTGAAAAGATTACAAGATTCGCTTCAAATTACAGTCAGCCTCTAAAACATGCCAGGTCTAAATGTAAACTGAAGTTCGTGAGGTCTAAGCCTCTGATAACGGATTTTAACTCACCTGGATGTGGTTCTGTCTTTCAGTCTATGTGCAGAATGTGCATCACCCCGGCGACAACATCACGCTCGTCCATTGCTCGGAGTACGCATCGCTCATCCATGCACGTAAGTAGCAGTCACTGACCTGTGACTAACTGTGGCCACTTTGTTGCAGTCTACATCCAACATGCCCACCGCGGCTCCGACCACATCATACTGGTGCACGTACCAGAGTACTATCACTTGACTCAGGCCCGTGAGTACTAACAGTGTGTCTCCACCGCTTGTAGCGTCTACTGCCTCCCTTCCTGCATGACTAGCCTGGTTCTGTGAATCTTGGTGTATATCTGAGTTCAGTGAATTCTTGTGTATATCTGTGAATCTTGGTGTATATCTGTGAATCTTGGTGTATATCTGTGAATCTTGGTGTATATCTGTGAATCTTGGTGTATATCTGTGAATTCTTGTGTATATCTGTGAATCTTGGTGTATATCTGTGAATTCTTGTGTATATATGTGAATCTTGGTGTATATCTGTGAATTCTTGTGTATATCTGTGAATCTTGGTGTATATCTGTGAATTCTTGTGTATATCTGTGAATCTTGGTGTATATCTGTGAATCTTGGTGTATATCTGTGAATCTTGGTGTATATCTGTGAATTCTTGTGTATATCTGTGAATCTTGGTGTATATCTGTGAATTCTTGTGTATATCTGTGAATCTTGGTGTATATCTGTGAATATTGGTGTATATCTGTGAATCTTGGTGTATATCTGTGAATTCTTGTGTATATCTGTGAATCTTGGTGTATATCTGTGAATTCTTGTGTATATCTGTGAATCTTGGTGTATATCTGTGAATCTTGGTGTATATCTGTGAATTCTTGTGTATATCTGTGAATCTTGGTGTATATCTGTGAATCTTGGTGTATATCTGTGAATCTTGGTGTATATCTGAGAATTCTTGTGTATATCTGTGAATCTTCATGTATATCTGTGTATACTTGTGTATATCTGTGTTCAGTGAATTCTTGTGTATATCTGAGAATTCTTGTGTATATCTGTGAATCTTGGTATTTATCTGTGAATCTTGGTGTATATCTGTGAATTCTTGTGTATATCTGTGAACCTTCATGTATATCTGTGTATACTTGTGTATATCTGTGTTCAGTGAATTCTTGTGTATATCTGTGAATTCTTGTGCATATCTGAGAATTCTTGTGTATATCTGTGAATTTTTGTGTATATCTGTGAATCTTCGTGTATATCTGTGAATTCTTGTGTATATCTGTGAATTCTTGTGTATATCTGTGAATTCTTGTGTATATCTGTGTATTCTTGTGTATATCTGTGAATTCTTGTGTATATCTGTGAATTCTTGTGTATATCTGAGAATTCTTGTGTATATCTGTGAATTCTTGTGTATATCTGTGAATTCTTGTGTATATCTGTGAATTCTTGTGTATATCTGTGTATTCTTGTGTATATCTGTGAATTCTTGTGTATATCTGTGAATTCTTGTGTATATCTGTGTATTCTTGTGTATACCTGTGAATCTTGATGTATATCTGTGAATCTTGATGTCTATCTGTGAATCTTGTGTATATCTGTGAATTCTTGTGTATATCTGTGAATTCTTGTGTATATCTGTGAATTCTTGTGTATATCTGTGTATTCTTGTGTATATCTGTGAATTCTTGTGTATATCTGTGTATGCTTGTGTATATCTGTGAATCCTGATGTATATCTGTGAATCTTGATGTCTATCTGTGAATCTTGGTGTATATCTGTGAATCTTGGTGTATATCTGTGAATTCTTGTGTATATCTGTGAATCTTGGTGTATATCTGTGAATCTTGGTGTATATCTGTGAATCTTGGTGTATATCTGTGAATTCTTGTGTATATCTGTGAATCTTGGTGTATATCTGTGAATTCTTGTGTATATCTGTGAATCTTGGTGTATATCTGTGAATATTGGTGTATATCTGTGAATCTTGGTGTATATCTGTGAATTCTTGTGTATATCTGTGAATCTTGGTGTATATCTGTGAATTCTTGTGTATATCTGTGAATCTTGGTGTATATCTGTGAATCTTGGTGTATATCTGTGAATTCTTGTGTATATCTGTGAATCTTGGTGTATATCTGTGAATCTTGGTGTATATCTGTGAATCTTGGTGTATATCTGAGAATTCTTGTGTATATCTGTGAATCTTCATGTATATCTGTGTATACTTGTGTATATCTGTGTTCAGTGAATTCTTGTGTATATCTGAGAATTCTTGTGTATATCTGTGAATCTTGGTATTTATCTGTGAATCTTGGTGTATATCTGTGAATTCTTGTGTATATCTGTGAACCTTCATGTATATCTGTGTATACTTGTGTATATCTGTGTTCAGTGAATTCTTGTGTATATCTGTGAATTCTTGTGCATATCTGAGAATTCTTGTGTATATCTGTGAATTTTTGTGTATATCTGTGAATCTTCGTGTATATCTGTGAATTCTTGTGTATATCTGTGAATTCTTGTGTATATCTGTGAATTCTTGTGTATATCTGTGTATTCTTGTGTATATCTGTGAATTCTTGTGTATATCTGTGAATTCTTGTGTATATCTGAGAATTCTTGTGTATATCTGTGAATTCTTGTGTATATCTGTGAATTCTTGTGTATATCTGTGAATTCTTGTGTATATCTGTGTATTCTTGTGTATATCTGTGAATTCTTGTGTATATCTGTGAATTCTTGTGTATATCTGTGTATTCTTGTGTATACCTGTGAATCTTGATGTATATCTGTGAATCTTGATGTCTATCTGTGAATCTTGTGTATATCTGTGAATTCTTGTGTATATCTGTGAATTCTTGTGTATATCTGTGAATTCTTGTGTATATCTGTGTATTCTTGTGTATATCTGTGAATTCTTGTGTATATCTGTGTATGCTTGTGTATATCTGTGAATCCTGATGTATATCTGTGAATCTTGATGTCTATCTGTGAATCTTGGTGTATATCTGTGAATCTTGGTGTATATCTGTGAATCTTGGTGTATATCTGTGAATCTTGATGTATATCTGTGAATCTTGATGTATATCTGAGTTTATTGAATTCTGTTGCGAGTTTCATAAACATAATATTTACGTCTCATAGTCGAACCATAAGAAAAATGACTTTTAATGAATTAAAGTATGTCATTTATGATATATGTATCCATTGTCGGTCAACTCAAGTTTCTTTCAAGGCGTCAATAGTGGTAATCTGATTGTGGTTGCGGTAGATAATGATGATCTGGCCCGATCAGTTCACGGTTTCGCCGGAATGTAAACAATATTGAATGAAAATCTTAATAAAATGACTAAAATAGATTACAAATATAAGCCCAGATATACAATGACCACCTTTTATTACCAGAGACTGTAACAACACGATTATCCTGTGTAATTCAGTAAGGATGTGTTGATGTGCTATTTCCGATGATGTGTTGATGTCTGTTTGTAGAGAAAAATATGGAAATTAATGGGAATCATAGATTCCCCCAGTGTTTATGTTGTGTTGAATTTGTCACCAGTTGCAATTATCAGCGGCCCATACAGTCAATTGAATAGCCCAGACTTGTGAAAATGGCCCATGAAATTTGTAAACATGGCGCCAAGGGCACATGAAGACAACCTCTTTCCCCATCACAGCATCTACAATGAATGACTGTGACCATCGTGGTTTAAACATAGTTTTATTTCATCACATGTAGAATGAAATGGGGATTTGTAACAAGCAGCAAGGCTTATATTAAGACCCCTCCCAATAATTACATATATACATTGGCAGTTTTAATACATATGTGAAAACTTTATCAAAAAGACAAATATATCATGTAACAACATAATAGAAAGGATGTTTAATATGACCCCGTTAAAAGCAACTATGCCTGTCGTAGGAGGTGGCTAACGGGATCGGGTGGTCAGGCTCGCTGACTTGGTTGATACATGTCATCATATCCTAATTGTGTAGATCGATGCACAGGATGTCAATCACTGGATTGTCTGGTCAAGATTCGACTGCCGTCATATAGCTGGAATATTGCTGAGTGCGGCGTTAAACAACAAACAAACAAGAAACAAAAAAAAAAACCCAAAAAACCATCACCGACTAGCGTATGGCAGAAGTCAATGAAGGAAGTGTCCCACCAGAGTCACTAAGCACCGGTAGATACACTAAGCACACGTTCCTGTCTGAAATGTCTTGTTCTCGCTCATGAGCCGGGTAGCAGTGTTGCAGACCCTATAGGCCAGCTCTCTGTGGACATGTATATGTCAGTGTCTCCACTCACTCACTCACTCACTCACTCACTCACTCACTCACTCACTCTACCCCAATCATTCATTCACTCACTCACTCACTCACTCTACCCCAATCATTCATTCACTCACTCATTCACTCACTCATTCACTCACTCACTCACTCACTCTACCCCAATCACTCACTCACTCACTCTACCCCAATCATTCATTCACTCACTCACTCACTCACTCACTCTACCCCAATCATTCATTCACTCAATCCATGTCACTCACTCACTCACTCACTCTACCCCAATCATTCATTCACTCAATCCATGTCACTCACTCACTTACTCACTCACTCACTCACTCTACCCCAATCATTCATTCACTCAATCCATGTCACTCACTCATTCACTCACTCACTCACTCACTCACTCACTCTACCCCAATCATTCATTCACTCAATCCATGTCACTCACTCATTCACTCACTCACTCACTCACTCACTCACTCACTCACTCACTCACTCACTCTACCCCAATCATTCATTCACTCACTCACTCACTCACTCTACCCCAATCATTCATTCACTCAATCCATGTCACTCACTCACTCACTCACTCACTTACTTGGTCACTCACTCACTCACTCACTCTACCCCAATCATTCATTCACTCATTCACTCACTCTCACTCACTCACTCACTCACTCACTCACTCTACCCCAATCATTCATTCACTCACTCACTCTACCACAATCATTCATTCACTCTCACTCACTCACTCTACCCCAATCATTCATTCATTCACTCACTCACTCACTCACTCTACCCCAATCATTCATTCACTCACTCACTCACTCACTCACTCACTCTACCCCAATCACTCACTCTACCCCAATCATTCATTCACTCACTCACTCACTCACTCACTTACTCGGTCACTCACTCACTCACTCACTCACTCACTCACTCTACCCCAATCATTCATTCACTCACTCACTCACTCACTCTACCCCAATCATTCATTCACTCAATCCATGTCACTCACTCACTCACTCACTCACTTACTTGGTCACTCACTCACTCACTCACTCTACCCCAATCATTCATTCACTCACTCATTCACTCACTCTCACTCACTCACTCACTCACTCACTCTACCCCAATCATTCATTCATTCACTCACTCACTCACTCACTCTACCCCAATCATTCATTCACTCACTCACTCACTCACTCACTCACTCTACCCCAATCACTCACTCTACCCCAATCATTCATTCACTCACTCACTCACTCACTTACTCGGTCACTCACTCACTCACTCACTCACTCACTCACTCTACCCCAATCATTCATTCACTCACTCACTCATTCACTCACTCACTCACTCACCCTACCCCAATCATTCACTCACTCACTCACTCACTCACTCACTCACTCACTCACTCACTCACTCACTCACTCACTCACTCACTCTACCCCAATCATTCATTCACTCTCACTCACTCACTCACTCTACCCCAATCATTCATTCACTCACTCACTCACTCTACCCCAATCATTCATTCACTCGCTCACTCACTCACTCACTCTACCCCAATCACTCACTCTACCCCAATCATTCATTCACTCAATCCATGTCACTCACTCACTCACTCACTCACTCACTCTACCAGGACCATGTCTTTGTGACGTCAAACAGATGATCGACTGCTTATATACAGTGAATTCACTATGGTTCTCACTTGTAAATGAAATACAGAAAGGTACATATTGTATTCTTTATTGACATTGTTTATGACATCCCGGTGACACCTTGTGAGGAGGACTATTTACGTCACATGCCAGATTCAGTTCTCAAACCTAAACAAAAGAGCTCCGCACAGTGAAGCCAACAATGCAAGGGGTGCGCAGAGTAACCTGGCCTCAGTCTTGTGTGTGAAACCTTGTGCCAACTTATTGTGTTAACCTTGAGCCAACTTACATTTGTGGGTAAAACCTAGGACCAACTTATATTTGTTTGTAAAACCTTGGGCCAACTTATATTTGTTTGTAAAACCTTGGGCCAACTTATATTTGTTTGTAAAACCTTGGGCCAACTTATTTTTTCAGCACTTCAGAGTTTCAGACTGCTGTCGGTCACCAGTCATTGACTGACAAAATTTCAATTTCACAGATGGCTGTAAAGTAGTCAGACTTTTGTCCAATTGAAATGCAAAGCAAGGTGTTATACAAGGTGATATACAAGGGGTTACGCGTTTCATAATTTCATGTTTAAAAAGTAACTAGTAAGGATTAGTGTTAGCATCGATTTAATAAAATATAGCACAGCCATTAAAACATGATTGAAATTCTGAGCAGCACGTGTCTTTGCATCCTGCTTCCTGTATGAGGGAAACACTGTCAGCAGCTATAGCGACTTTTCTCACGGCGATGTTTGTTGGACAGATTGTATATATTCATTCAATCACAAACGGTATTGCATTGCAATCAACCGATATCTGCATGGCAGTTTACGAATTGTATGTTGATCTCGTTACGCGAATGTGATTGGACTATGCATGGACTTGTTAGTCTAGCCATTATATAACTCCATAATTCCAGCTGAGATAGGCAAGGGTGGAAACTGGACTTTTATAGTCAATTAACTCCCTTGCTTCAGGAAGATGTAGACTTATTACATTTCTTGGGTTCAAGTCATTTACCTATATACAGCTGTTTGTGTCAAAATCACAGCACAATCTGCTTCTATTTCAACAGCAGCCTTGCTGACCGATCCAGTAGTTGTGGCAGAGCTGATTAAAGAGGAAGAGGTCAAGGTCAAACACCTAGTGGAGAAATACAGTGAGAAGATGAAGAAAATACATGTATGTGCTACAACGGACTGTTTATATTCTGGTCACATGGCCCTACTCGTTGTAACATTGCTCTCTCACTCACTCACACAGTCGGCCACTGGCTTGCTGTAACTTTGTTTACTCACTCACACAGTCAGCCACTGGCTTGCTGTAACTTTGTTTACTCACTCACACAGTCAGCCACTGGCTTGCTGTAACTTTGTTTACTCACTCACACAGTCAGCCACTGGCTTGCTGTAATGTTGTTTACTCACTCACACAGTCAGCCACTGGCTTGCTGTATCCTACCCCACCGATGGCACCAGCCACAAACATGCAAAGGCAAGTCAATTATTCACCTGCAAACACATGGGAACAAGTAAAATAAGGGCATTGTATCGGACATTTTTGTCACTGAGGCATCAAATTGGGAAATGTCTGCCACAGATCTTCCTTAAGACTTTCTGAAAGCTTTACTTAGGCCTTGAATGTTGTAACCTTGATCAAACAACTTTTGAACAAGAGTCGAATGATGCTCTTTGAAATCTTGGGAGAAAAGAGCCTGATTGGTTGTACATAAACAATGTGAAATGTAAACACCATAGGCTGGAACTGCAGGGATATTGCTCGACATGAAGGGAAAGTTGGCTGTTGGAAAGGTGAAGTCCTCCCTCTTGTAACACAGCTTTGTGGAGAGTGTTTTGTCTCTCTGAATCTTTCAGCATGGATCTAAATAGGGAAACAGATTGTTTCGCAGTGGAAGACTAAACTAAACTAAACATGAACTTACCTTTCAATCAACTAAACGTGAAATCCCCTTGTAATCAACTAAACGTGAAATCCCCTTATAATCAACTAAACGTGAAATCCCCTTGTAATCAACTAAACAATGAAAATGTGATAAGATCAAATGAAATGGATTTGAAACTAAAAGTGAAGTTGCCGTATGGTAACAATGTAAATGGGTAACTCTCTCAACTATTTCTATTCTGTTCTATTCTATTTCTGTAATATTCTAATTCACTATTTGCTAACTTAGAGAGAGATATCCATTTACTCCTTGCCCATATGAATGCCAGAAGACAACTGAAATAAACTGTTTCTAGAGCATGCGCATTTTGCGCTCATCCAGCAAGAAGCACGTGCTGCATGCCAACTTTAACGCTTTCCGCGAAGCTGTTGTGTACCCATGCGTCAACCACTGTGTCCAGGAACATGAAACTTGTTCCCGGACAATTGTTCCCGGACAATTGTTCCCGGACGCTTCAGAACATGCCCCCTTCCATGATAGACCCCTGTCTATCATCTATTTGGAACAATACGCAGTTGACAAACTACAAAAAAAACCTAACTTATTTACAACAATGACTAGTCAATGAAAACAGCAGCACTATTTACAACCTTGAACAACTTGTTCTTGTTCAGTCTCGATATTCGAGAGGACAGATCTTTGTAACTGGTCGAGTCAATCTCGACCCTCCAACTTTAACATCTACAACTCTAACATGGCCATCTTTGCCTGGGTAAGATTTCAATATCCTTCCCATTGGCCAAGTTCCTCTTGGATTATCTTGTGATACGACAATCACCACATCATCAACTTGGAAGTCTCTTGATGACGTGACCCACTTTTTTCGGACATTCAACGTTGGAAGCCACTCTCTCATCCATCTCCTCCAGATATGCCTGATGAGTTCCTGGATCCTCCGCCAACGCTTCTGGGGAGAAAAGGAAGTGGAATCTATTTCTGGAGCGAAGTCTCCACCAAGCTGCCCATGTAGAAAGTGGTTTGGTGTGAGCGGAACATCATCCTGTGTGTGGGCACTCTGATATGTGAGTGGTCTTGAATTCAACAGAGCTTCGGCCCCAGTAAAAGCAGTCATCAGTTCTTCATCGGTGACATCACTTGAGCTGAGAACAGCATAAATAGCCCGTTTAGCTGACTTGACCATCGATTCGAATACTCCTCCGAAGTGACGAGCATTTGGAGGATTAAATCTCCATACAATGCCTCTGTTTGCCAATTTCGATTTTGTGATGTCAGAATCTAATGAAGTCACCAGCTCTTTAAGCTCTTTCACAGCTCCAACGAAATTCGTCCCGTTGTCCGATATGATCTCTTTGGGCATTCCCCTTCTGTGTGCCATGCGGAAGAGAGCATTCAAGAACGAATTTGTGTCTAGTCCAAAAGCGATTTCTAAATGTACAGCGCGTGTAGCTAGGCATGTGAACAGACACAGGTAACGCTTTTGACGGCTTTTACCTCGACCCTGTACAGTAAGAAATGGACCAGCGTAATCTACCCCCGCTTGAACAAATGCTCTCATTGAACAAACTACTCTCACCTTTGGAAGATTGCCCATGAGTTGTTGTGCTGGCTTTGCTTTTTGTTTTTTGCACCAAGAACATGCATTTTCCCATTCACGAATTTCCTCCCTTGAGGATATTATCCAGAACTTGGAAGACAATGAAGCTAATGTGGTATTTGTTCCCATGTGGTGACACATTTCATGATGATGTTTAACTATCAACTTTGTCACCGGGCTTTTTCTGGGAAGAATAATAGGAAACCTTGCTTCCCAGGACAGGACTTCTGCAAACCTTAGTCTGCCATTTAATCTCATCACCCCTGTTTCATCCAGAAAAGGCTGTAATCCTATGAGTTTACTGTTAGGTGGTATTCTGCTGTCATGGTACAGTGCCCAATACTCTTTAGGAAATGCTTCCTTTTGATCTTCTGAAATTAGTTTTCTTTCAGCTCCTTCAATCTCTTCCAGGTCCAGTTCTTCTTTCCTTCTCATATCCTTTTGTGTCCGAGAGTTACTGAGAAACCTGTAGACCCATGCAAAGACTCTGCACAGTCTTTTCCAGTCGGAAAACCTACATGGATCCAAACGCCATGTCTGATCAACATCTTGCACCATCATTGTCACTTTCATATTTGATCCAGTTTTCCTTTCAATCTCAACTTTCTGGAAAGCATGTATCTGTTTTGGCCATTGGCTTACATCAAGTTTTAAAAACTCAGGACCTTGTAGCCATGCTTTTGTACCAAGTGTTTCAGGTTTACAACCTTTTGTAAGTATGTCAGCTGTATTCAACTTAGTTGGCACATGCATCCATTGGCTGGGTTTTGTCACTTCTTGTATAAAACCAACCCGATTTGCCACAAATGGCTTAAAGCTTCTACTGTGGCTTTTTATCCACCACAACACGTTCATGCTATCGGACCAGATCCTAGCATCATAAGGTGACATTTCTAGGCCTTTTGCAATAGCAAGCAGAAGTTTCACCCCAAGAATCGCTGCCATCAACTCTAGTCGTGGGACACTGATAGCCTTCAGGGGAGCAACATGACTTTTTGCAGCTACAAGTTGACTCGCTGTCCTGTGTTCATTAACACTCACCAGATAAATGACTGCTCCAAAAGCATCTTGTGATGCATCTACAAACACGTGTAGGCTTGGATTGGCTATTTCTGTTCTAAATTCAATCCATCTTGGGAAATATAAAGACTTCAAATCTGCCAATTCCCTATACCATTGCAAGACCTTTTCCTCTAAATCAGGATGCAAACTGTCATCCCAACCTACACCAGACACCCAAATGTGTTGCAATATTATCTTTGCCCGAATGGTAAATGGAGCTAACAGTCCCAAAGGATCAAATATCTTCGCAATCTCCCTCAAGAAAGCTCTTTTTGACATTTGAAAGTGATCATTTTGGATGTTGTAGCAGAATTGAAACCTATCACTCTCTGCATTCCAGAGCAACCCAAGAGCTTTCACTGATGGCAGTTCAGTCATCTGAATATTAATTTCAGATAGTCTATCTGCAAATGGAATACATTCAAGGACCTTCAATGAATTGGAGACCCACTTCCTGGCGTGCATTCCAGCTGCAGTCCACAGTTCATTCACCTGATCATAAAGCTCTATAGCTTTTTCCTCGGTTTCTACCGAATCCATTGTGTCATCCATGTATGTTGATTTAGCAACTGTGTCTGCAGCCAAAGGAAGATGATTTTTGCATGCCTTAGCATGTTCCTGTGTAATATACTGTGCCAGAAATGGTGAACAATTCATTCCGAAGACTACCCGTGAAAATTCATATACATCAGGTTCTTCGTCCAGGTTCATTGATCTCCATAGAAATCTGAAGTACGGTTGATCAGCTTCAGTAATCTTGATTTGCAAGTACATTTCTGCAATGTCGCATATGATTGCGATTGGATGTTTTCTAAATCTTAGCAATATTTCAACAAGATCATTTTGCATTTTTGGACCTTGGTGAACAACATCATTTAAGGACACCCCATCACTTTTTGCTGATGCATCGAAAACCATCCTTACCTTCGTTGTATTTCGTTCAGGTCGGACCACTGGAAAATGAGGTAAGTACCAACATTTTTTGTTAACTTCTTTTTCAGGAACTTTTGTGATGTATCCTTTTTTCAGATACTGTGATATCACGTCCCCATATGCTGTCTGAGTTGTGACATCTTTGGATAACCTTTTCTCAATTTGTTTCAGACGTTTGAAAGCACTATCATAATTACTTTCAGGAAGCTTTGACTTGTCCTTCCATGGAACACCAACAGTGTACCTCTCTGAATCATAGGTAAGTGTTTCTTTTACAGCATCCACAGCCTGTTCCTCATCTCGTGTCATTAAGGGCGTGTACCCTGAAATGGTTTCAACCTCCCAGAACCTATTTACTAATGCCTCAAGCTCCATTTCGTTGCTTGTGTGTGAATCATGAGCAAAGAATGATCCAGTCACATGTGCAGTATGTATTTCTGATTCGTGTACTTTACCAACACACGTCCACCCCAATGGTGTTAGCCTTGCTATAGGATCACCAGGATGACCACAAACATCTTTGAGAGAACAATGGAGTTCCAAATAGTCCATTCCAATCAATATGTCCACAATTGGTCTAGAACTCAATTTTGGAAACTCAATGTTACGCAAGTGACTCCAATCATTTGCATGTTTGTTCCAGTCAATCACTTTCATCATCCCTGTGACCTTTGTTGTAGTCAATGCTGATATGTTCATGTTCACCGATCCATCAACACTTTCTAATCCCACTTCAACAGCCATGCTATTAAAGGTTTCCTGCTTGCTGTTGAGAACATTCACAGATACTGTCTGTCTTTGACCATGCACACCTAACTCTGATGCTACGTCTTCATTGATATAGGTTTGTGTGCTGGCGTCATCCAGAAGAGCATTGACCTGTATTTTGCGAGTTCCATTTTTCAGTATAACAGGAATTGTCCTGAGCGAAGAAAAGGAATATTCCTTTCTCGTAGTAGACATTGTTGTCTGTTTGTACTCATTCCGAGCTTCTTCAGATGTGTTGCTTGTATTCACAGTGTCTTTTGTCCGTGAGTTTACCCAATCACTATCATGAAGTAATCTATTGTGTGTTGACCGACATCCCTCAATACCACATGGCACATTTGTGGAACATAATTTCCCAACATGACGGATTCCTAAACACCGAAAGCAAAGCTTCAGTTCTTTTGCTTTGACCCATCGTTTCTGGATATCTAAAGCTTTGAAGATTTTACAGTTCACTATCTGATGACCCTTCTCTTTACAGAAGTGACAGAGCTGTACCTGTTTCCTGCCAAAGAAAGATCCTGACTTTTGATTGGACTTATGTTCCCTATCATTGGGCCTTTCAACGATACCCAGTTTCACCTCAGATGCTACGGTTTGAAATTCGGATTCTTTGAGAACCCATTCTCTTAATGTCTCAACCGATTCCTGACGTTGGAGTTCAAACAGCCATCTTTGGTAATTTGTTATCATTGACCAGGTCATTTTCCTCAACAATTGGGAGTACAGACACCCGTCACCCAATTCCTCATTTTTGTCAGCTTCTCTAAGACTGACAACAGTAATGTCTAAAAGTTCGGCATAATTCTCTAAGTCCTTGGCGTTGCCAGGACGAATGGGTCTGAAGTTATAAACTTCCTCCATTTTTAAAGCAATCTGCCTTCTTTTACCTCCATACTTTCTCTCCAGCCGTTCTAAAGCTACATCATAAGCTGCAGCAGTGTGACCTAGCCTTGATATGAGATTAAAAGCCTCTCCTGCAACATATTGCTTTAGTTGTAACAGCTTATACTCATTAGTGGCATTAGCTCTGTCCACGCATGCCATGAAAGCAGCTTTCCAACTTTCGTAGTCTTTAATGTTGCCATGAAACACAGGAATTGAAACCCGTTTCATCTTGTTCCACATATCAGCACCAATTTTATCACTATGCGATGTCTTATTTCTTTCAATGAAAGATTTCATTTTGTGGTCATAGTTGCTATCTATCCGGTCATATGGCAAATGTAATTTCCCCCTTTCTATTTCAGGAGAAGCAGGTGCTTCCATTTCTATTCTTATTCTACTCATATCTATTTCTGGTGCAACTGACTCACCATGACCAACATTCTGATGAACAGAAGGAACACATTGTTCTTCTTGAAGCTCTGCGACTTTAAGTTTCACAGGCATGTGTTTCTTTGTGTTAACTGGGCGAAATATCCTCGACATTACTGACCTTATACCAGAAGACGAGCTGTCATCTGACCTGCTGCTCAAATGCAATCTTGCATTGTGTATTGCATCATCGCTATATTCTAAGACTTCATCTATTTCCTTACATGTTTTCTTGGCATTCTCGTAATCTCCATGTTGGTCGTATGCCTTGGACAGGTCATACAATAAGTCAACAGCTTTAGCCTGAAGTGAACTCACCTTATCTATCTCATCCCTCACTGCTTTCCTTGTGGGGAGATCCTCCTGGTCTATCATACTCAGCATCTGATTCTGAGCCTTTGTCAATGCAGACTTTGCTGCCGTCTTTTGTTTCTTAAGCTGAGCTATTTTTAACTCCAGCTTATCTACATCACTAATACTTGTAGCCTTTTCAGGATTTATTATCCCACCTTCAGACTTTGCTATATCAGACATGCTTGTTGCTTTGCCAGCCATTGTGAACAACCAAGCATCAAACTACACGTGAAAATCTATCCTATTTTTGAATGACGTACGTTGACCCTAAGAACTATCAACACCAGTCACTATAACTAACTAACTAGCCCATATTCAGAGCAACCACGCTCTGCTACCAATGTTTCGCAGTGGAAGACTAAACTAAACTAAACATGAACTTACCTTTCAATCAACTAAACGTGAAATCCCCTTGTAATCAACTAAACGTGAAATCCCCTTATAATCAACTAAACGTGAAATCCCCTTGTAATCAACTAAACAATGAAAATGTGATAAGATCAAATGAAATGGATTTGAAACTAAAAGTGAAGTTGCCGTATGGTAACAATGTAAATGGGTAACTCTCTCAACTATTTCTATTCTGTTCTATTCTATTTCTGTAATATTCTAATTCACTATTTGCTAACTTAGAGAGAGATATCCATTTACTCCTTGCCCATATGAATGCCAGAAGACAACTGAAATAAACTGTTTCTAGAGCATGCGCATTTTGCGCTCATCCAGCAAGAAGCACGTGCTGCATGCCAACTTTAACGCTTTCCGCGAAGCTGTTGTGTACCCATGCGTCAACCACTGTGTCCAGGAACATGAAACTTGTTCCCGGACAATTGTTCCCGGACAATTGTTCCCGGACGCTTCAGAACACAGATGAAGCAGTCTCATTGGTCTCCTTTATTTCTAGTTCAGGTGGGTAAATCAGTGGAAGGGAATTGGCTATTTGATTGTTATTGATTTACATCAGACCATCCATATACCTGAAGCTTGAAACTTCTTGGTCAAAATATCGTGTTTTGAATTTGCTGATATGAGTAGAAATTCCGATTCATATGCTTAAAGAAACAGACCAGCAAGAAGGGGAGCACAATTGGTGCCCATGGGGATGCCTACTTCATGCCTAAATGTCTAACCCACAAATTTTACATGGACGTCATTAATGAGGAAGTCCAGCATTTCACATGTCCATGTCATTAATGAGGAAGTCCAGCATTTCACATGTCCATGTCATTAATGAGGAAGTCCAGCATTTCACATGTCCATGTCATTAATGAGGAAGTCCGGCATTTCACATATTGAAATGTAAACTTCAGATGGTATTTCCTTCATATATGACAAATGTTCCTGAACCTCAAACAACAGACGTGTAGCTGTATGTATGGGCACCATGTCACCTCACCTCACATTCTCAGTTTATAAATATATCACAAACCCGTGAAGGTCCGGGTTACAATAGGTCTTCAGCAACTCATGCTTGTCGTTAAAGGCGACTAACGGGATCGGGTGGTCAGGCCCGCTGACTTGGCTGCATGTCATCGTATCCCAATTGTGTGGATTGATGCTCATGTTGAAATAACTGGATTGTCTGGTCCAGATTCGATTGTTTTCAGACTGCCGTCATGTAGCTGGAATATTGCTGAGTGCGGCGGTAAACAACTGACAAACAAACAAACAATAGATCACGATGGCATACATGAATTGTGGACAACATTGTAGGTTGGTGAATCCTAACATGCCTCTTCCTCCTTCACAGGTGGGCGGCAAGGTCAAACAGATGACTGGCAAGGTCGGGGAGGCAATTGTCGAGGCTGCCAAGGGAGAGAATGCTGCAATGATCGTTGTCGGGACTCGGGGCATGGGGAAGATTAGAAGAACGTTTCTGGGCAGCGTCAGCGACTACTGTCTACATCACTCACCAGTGCCGGTACTTGTGTGCCGGCATAAACCAGTGTCCGAACACAAGAAATAGGTCATCAAGTCCTAATATGGGCATGTAATCAAGTACTCATGTTTCCCAATTAAAAAGCAGAATACACTACTATGAAGAGAGTCAATGCAAAAACTACTTAGAAAGTAAATAGGGCTGGGTGATGGTTTGAAACAAGTAATAGGACCACGCCCATATGTTGTGAGATTTAAATAAGTGTGCGTCCACCAAATGTCATATCTTGTGAAGTGATCAAAGTCTGTAGTCCCAAGGCACCTACTCCATTCACAGATGTGAGCCAGTCACACGAACAGGTTGTCTGTGATCTGGTGTGACACACACACACACAAGCTTGTCACACATTCATGTGGTCTGTGATCTGGTGTGAAAGAGACAAATTTGCCACACATCCAGGTGGTCTGTGATCTGGTGTGACAGACACAAGTTTGTCACACATCCAGGATGTCTGTGATCTGGTGTGACAGACACAAGTTTGCCACACATCCAGGATGTCTGTGATCTGGTTTGACAGACACAAGTTTGCCACACATCCAGGTGGTCTGTGATCTGGTGTGACAGACACAAGTTTGTCACACATCCAGGATGTCTGTGATCTGGTGTGACAGACACAAGTTTGCCACACATCCAGGATGTCTGTGATCTGGTGTGACAGACACAAGTTTGCCACACATCCAGGTGGTCTGTGATCTGGTGTGACAGACACAAGTTTGTCACACATCCAGGATGTCTGTGATCTGGTGTGACAGACACAAGTTTGCCACACATCCAGGATGTCTGTGATCTGGTGTGACAGACACAAGTTTGCCACACATCCAGGATGTCTGTGATCTGGTGTGACAGACACAAGTTTGCCACACATCCAGGATGTCTGTGATCTGGTGTGACAGACACAAGTTTGCCACACATCCAGGATGTCTGTGATCTGGTGTGACAGACACAAGTTTGTCACACATCCAGGATGTCTGTGATCTGGTGTGACAGACACAAGTTTGCCACACATCCAGGATGTCTGTGATCTGGTGTGACAGACACATGTTTGTCACACATGCAGGTGGTCTGTGATCTGGTGTGACAGACACAAGTTTGTCACACATCCAGGATGTCTGTGATCTGGTGTGACAGACACAAGTTTGCCACACATCCAGGTGGTCTGTGATCTGGTGTGACAGACACAAGTTTGTCACACATCCAGGATGTCTGTGATCTGGTGTGACAGACACAAGTTTGCCACACATCCAGGATGTCTATGATCTGGTGTGACAGACACAAGTTTGCCACACATCCAGGATGTCTGTGATCTGGTGTGACAGACACAAGTTTGCCACACATCCAGGATGTCTGTGATCTGGTGTGACAGACACAAGTTTGCCACACATCCAGGATGTCTGTGATCTGGTGTGACAGACACAAGCTTGTCACACATCCAGGATGTCTGTGATCTGGTGTGACAGACACAGGTTTGCCACACATCCAGGATGTCTGTGATCTGGTGTGACAGACACAGGTTTGCCACACATCCAAGTGGTCTGTGATCTGGTGTGACAGACACACGTTTGTCACACATGTAGGTGGTCTGTGATCTGGTGTGACAGACACAAGTTTGTCACACATCCAGGATGTCTGTGATCTGGTGTGACAGACACAAGTTTGCCACACATCCAGGTGATCTGTGATCTGGTGTGACAGACACAAGTTTGCCACACATCCAGGATGTCTGTGATCTGGTGTGACAGACACAAGTTTGTCACACATCCAGGATGTCTGTGATCTGGTGTGACAGACACAAGTTTGTCACACATCCAGGTGGTCTGTGATATGGCTTGGTATTCTCGCTCCAATCAGAGTTACTTGTTTGCTCCGTTTGACAATCAAGGCTAAACAAAGGAGGCAATGCCTGGTATATCCCCCTGCAAATGTCTAGCCATTCTGGGATTCATTGAGCAATGCTCCTTTGGAAGTTCAAATATAATCTGAGAGCCGAAGTATTTTCAAAATGAAGTGTGCAAAAAACACAGAAAAAAACACGAAATCCAATCAAGACGACAAGACAGTTATAATGTGAAGTTGATATTTTCATTCACGAGACACTCATGGACTGTTCTTTTGTTTCCTGCAGAGTTGTGCCCCTTTGACATGTCAGAATCCTATGATTGTGGGTTTGAGCCCAAGATTTGCCCTTTGTATGACCCCTGTTTGTCAGCACACCCGTGCTTCAAGGTGTATGCCGCCTCACTTGCCACATGCTCACTTTCCATTATCTGAAGACTGAAATATGTTTTGTGTATGTAGATTGCTCGGTTAGCCCTTCACTGTTTCTAGGATAAATATTCTTGTCTTGAGTACATCCAGTCAAAAGTAAGCTTGCTAGTTTTCTAGTTGTATGTTGTGTTCAGAGTTGGATTGAAATCAGTGTTGTCTGGCAGCATCCATCTTTTTCTTTCTGAATCTCGGGGCGGTCAGGTAGCCTAGTGTTTGAAGCATTCGCTCGTCACTCTGAAAACCCGGGTTTGATTCCCGACATGGGTACAATGCGTGAAGCCCATTTCTTGTGTCCCATGCTGTGATATTGCTGGAATATTGCTAAAAGCGGCATAAAACCATATTCACTCACTCACTCACTTTCTGAATCTCATTTTATACACAATTTAGAGAACTTCAGACAATATTTAGTTTGTCTATTGCTTGTCAAATCCAATGATGTCTTTCTGTCATGGCCAATGCAATCTCTGTTTAAATGTACTTAAGTGAACATTATTTTGCTCAGCTGAAAGCATTGCTGTGATTATGAAGGAATTGATTTATTGAATTTTTGCCCCAAATTATGATTGAATACAATATTGTATCATGATTTCAGTATTACTTAAACTGTTAAACTGCCAGCTTCATGGCACCCACGTCCTAAGGTGATGATGCTGGTCTGACTTACAAAGAGCAGCAGGATCACCGTGACGAATGTCTACAGACTATCACTGTTTTTGAGTTGGTCTTCTTGAATGACTCTGTCCCATTCCTTGAAGCTATGTAATGTCTACAGACTATCACTGTTACTGAGTTGGTCTTCTTGAATGACTCTGTCCCATTCCTTGAAGCTATGTAATGTCTTCAGATTATCACTGTTACTGAGTTGGTCTTGAATGACTCTGTCCCATTCCTTGAAGCTATGTAATGTCTTCAGTCTATCACTGTTTCTGAGTTGGTCTTCTTGAATGACTCTGTCCCATTCCTTGAAGCTATGTAATGTCTTCAGATAATCACTGTTTCTGAGTTGGTCTTCTTGAATGACTCTGTCCCATTCCTTGAAGCTATGTAATGTCTACAGATTATCACTGTTTCTGAGTTGGTCTTCTTGAATGACTCTGTCCCATTCCTTGAAGCTATGTAATGTCTTCAGATAATCACTGTTTCTGAGTTGGTCTTCTTGAATGACTCTGTCCCATTCCTTGAAGCTATGTAATGTCTTCAGATTATCACTGTTTCTGAGTTGGTCTTCTTGAATGACTCTGTCCCATTCCTTGAAGCTATGTAATGTCTACAGATTATCACTGTTTCTGAGTTGGTCTTCTTGAATGACTCTGTCCCATTCCTTGAAGCTATGTAATGTCTACAGATTATCACTGTTTCTGAGTAGGTCTTCTTGAATGACTCTGTCCCATTCCTTGAAGCTATGTAATAAGGAGCCATGCTGCTCGTTGTGAAAGGCGACTGGACTGGGTGAATGTAATCAGGTGGTGTGGCTCCGTTGATTGTGTGTCTTGTCTTACCTGAGGTGAGATGAGGTGAGGTGTTGATCTGACCTCACCCACTGGTCTTTGTACCTTGTACCATCTGTGTCTATATCTTGTCAGCAAATCTGTATCTGTACCTATGCTGCTGTAAGAAACAAGAGAAATAACTGGAGAGGAAATGAACAAGAAATTGAGTATCTCATGTACATAGTTATAGAACAAAAATGTTGGATTTGGATGTATTTCTCATTTCTTGCTTTGTTGATATTTACTTTATTATTATGTATTGTGCTTCACATCACCTGATTTATGCAACCAATATATTGAATCTATCTACATCCCTAAATAATCATCAGTCAGTAATATATTATGTTTCAAGTCCCATAGACCTCCCCCATCATCTCCCCCCCTGTCCTTCAACCCCCACTTTAAACACTGCATCTTCCTGAGGCAGGGCGTTAACTGACTATCAAAGTCCGACTTGATCGTCGTGCCACCAGCGGCTGTTACGTGTTATGTTACCTTCAATGTCCCTTCTATGTCCCTCCTATTGACCAATTAGATTCCATCTCTGATATCACTTGCATTTTCTTCAAACAAAATGGCGGCACCCAGTCAAGTCGATCTGATCGATAATCAAGATCTAAAATTGTAATAAAACGGGTCCTAGTAGGTCTTCCTTGATTGTAAACCATATGTGTTATCAAGGCTTTGACATTAGGACATGGACTTACAATGCCTCACATGGGTGGACATGGACTTACAATGCCTCACATGGGAGGACATGGACTTACAATGCCTCACATGGGAGGATTATGTTTAAAATAGACTCAAACATTGTGTATTTATCAGCTTTTCAGTACGGTTCAATAAATTGCCTCACCAAACATTGGTACTTGTGTTTTGTTTTTAACCAGTCTTTTTTGTCTGAGAGTGATGGAGAAACAACAGACTTATGTCTGAGAGTGATGGAGAAACAACAGACTTATGTCTGAGAGTGATGGAGAAACAACAGACTTATGTCTGACAGTGATGGAGAAACAACAGACTTATGTCTGAGAGTAGAGACACAACAGACTATAATGCTGTGTGACGATGAGAGTTTGGGGCCCAGTCAGAGAATGTGGCATGACATAGCTGTCCCAGCTGACTCCCAGGTTTTGACCCCCTGCACGCGTCCCACCAAATGTGATTAATAGTCCAAATTGATGGTTGAGTAACAATTCGTTTGCTTGCATACAAAAGTGGGAGGAGATCCAATCAAGTCATGCTGATGACCCTGGAAACAATTACCTGATGACAGTCGAAACAATTAGACCTACAACAAAGCACACATGTATTGAACTGCCCCCTCAGAGCGTGGACCTGTGTGTATATTACCGTCTCACTAATGACATAGAGTACATATGGACGGGAACATTGGACAGTTTCACTACAGTTGTGGGTCAACATGGATGTCCTAGTGGTTGTGTTCCTCCTCCTCCTCCTCCTCCTCCTCCTCCTCCTCCTCCTCCTCGTCTGTCTGCTCTACACTCAGGTTTCTAAACGTTCTCGGCTGCCCCCGGGGCCATATGCAATTCCGTTCATTGGCAATCTGATTCAGTTGATGCTAAATCGGGAGAACCTGCAGCCGCTGCTTGAGCGCCTACACCAGCAGCACGGAAACGTGGTCCGCCTCTACCTCGGCAATACGCTGATGGTGGTGCTCAACGGCTTCGACGCCAACCACGAGGCGCTGGTCAAGAGAGGACTTTTGATGACGGGGAAGCCGCAAATATTGCCGGAACAGAGCAACACAGGTGAGTCACAGACATCCATACACGTATATGAGTTCTGTCACACGTATCTCAGTGCTGTCCCACGTATGTCAGTGCTCTCGCATGTATGTCAGTGCTGTCACACGTATCTCAGTGCTGTCACACGTATGTCAGTGTTGTCACACGTATCTTAGTGTTGTCACACGTATCTCAGTGTTGTCACACGTATGTCAGTGTTGTCACACGTATGTAAGTGGGGTCACAAGTATGTCAGTGCTGTCGCACGTATATGAGTGCTGCCACACGTATGTCAGTGTAGTCACATGTATATCAGTGTTGTCACACGTATGTCAGTGTTGTCACACGTATGTAAGTGGGGTCACACGTATCGCAGTGCTGTCGCACGTATGTCAGTGCTGTCACACGTATGTCAGTGTTGTCACACGTATCTTAGTGTTGTCGCACGTATGTCAGTGTTGTCACACGTAATACTATGTCAGTGTTGTCACACGTATGTAAGTATGGTCACACGTATCGCAGTGATGTCACACGTATGTTAGTGCTGTCACACGTATCTCAGTGTTGTCACACGTATGTCAGTGCTGTCACACGTATGTAAATGTGGTCACACGTATCGCAGTGCTGTCACACGTATGTAAGTGCTGTCACACGTATCTCAGTGTTGTCACACGTATGTCAGTGCTGTCACACGTATGCAAGTGTGGTCACACGTATCGCAGTGCTGTCACACGTATGGCAGTGCCCTCACTAGCAGAGTGTAAGGTGATGATATGTTTACCCATGTGTTGAATCTCACCAGCAAAGTGCAAGGTGATGACATGTTTACCCGTATGTTCAATCTCACTAGCAGGGTGCAAGGTGATGACTTGTTTACCCGTGTGTTGAATCTCACCAGCAGTGTAAGGTGATGACATGTTTACCCATGTGTTGAATCTCACCAGCAGAGCGTAAGGTGATGACATGTTTACCCATGTGTTGAATCTCACTAGCAGGGTGCAAGGTGATGACTTGTTTACCCATGTGTTGAATCTCACCAGCAGGGTGTAAGGTGATGACATGTTTACCCATGTGTTGAATCTCACCAGCAGGGTGCAAGGTGATGACTTGTTTACCCGTGTGTTAAATCTCACTAGCAGTGTAAGGTGATGACAGGTTTACCCATGTGTTGAATCTCACCAGCATGGTGCAAGGTGATGACTTGTTTACCCATCTGTTGAATCTCACCAGCAGGGTGCAAGGTGATGACATGTTTACCCATGTGTTGAATCTCACCAGCATGGTGCAAGGTGATGACTTGTTTACCATGTGTTGAATCTCACCAGCATGGTGCAAGGTGATGACTTGTTTACCCATGTGTTGAATCTCACCAGCAGAGTGTAAGGTGATGACATGTTTACCCATGTGTTGAATCTCACCAGCAGAGTGTAAGGTGATGACATGTTTACCCATGTGTTGAATCTCACCAGCAGGGTGCAAGGTGATGACATGTTCACCCCTTTTTTTAATCTCACCAGCAGAGTGCAAGACGATGATATGTTTACACCTTGGTTGAATCTCACCAGTTGGAGACGGTTCTGACAAACAAATGATCAGAAACGGGTGAACCTAAAATTCCAACCTAGGTTCATTGGATCCTGACATGACAAAGGGACTTAACCCGGCACATAAAAGACTCCAACAGGTTATTAATTCTTACATTTTTATTGTAAGCAAGATTTTCTATAAAAGGTAATATAACTAAAAAGGATAGATATAGAAAAAAACATTGAAATGCTATAACGATTAATATATATTATGTATGATGTATGAAAATAGTTTGTATGAGGTTAGAAATGTTGACCGGTAACATAGAAAGGTAGTGAAGACGTCCCACCAGCTACAACAAAATGTCATGTAGAAAAGAAGCATATTTTTCTGAACATTTTTAAAGCAGGGTCAGGTGACATGGGGTTTAATGTCGCGAACGCTTTAACCACTAAGCTACCCCACCGGCCTTAACATGGAAGAGAGTGTAGTAATCTCCTTCTTGTCTCAGATAGGAGTTGAACCGAACAAAAGTCTTGGTTTCTATGGCGACTGAGAGAATGGTCACAGTTACAATTTTCGCCCGTCTGACCACAGTGACAGCTGTGACGATAGCATCTAGTTTCTTGTTTCTGTACAACCGTACACAATATGTTACTGGCTACTGAAAGACGGTATTAGTGCTTCCTGATGCAGTCGTGTATCATTATAACTGATAAAGAGCCAATACAACGGTACTATCTGGTGTTGAAATCTCTTGTTAATTCTGCACAATAAGCAAGTGCCCTGAAGAAGAACTTGAGGTTGTAAACTGGACGAGTTCTGGAGTGAGTTCCAGACATTGAAGTTCCGATATTATTGGTCAAACGTTGACTTGACGACCTTCTGGCTGCAAGATCACAACCATGTGTCAAAGTCCAATCATTGAAGTTCAAGGTCATTTGATGCCATTCATTCTGTATACTCAGAATAATGATAAAAACAACAACAATAATACAAATTAAAAATAATAATAATAGGCGATTGATATTGTGCCCTATTTGCACACCACACAGGCTCGTCCTCAAAGCGCTACACTATTATTACAGTTGCCCTACTGTTCAAGTAGCTTGTGTTGCTTCATGCCGCTCTTTGTAAATATTTAGCGAAGAATTAGTTTTCCAACTCTACATTTTTGTGATTTGTATTCCTGACCCCACAAACATCCGTCCAATGAAACATATTATCAGCTGCATCTGTGTGGGCTCAGAATGTGCAATAGTTCAGTCGTCACTAACATTGATAATATACTACCAAGAGGAACAAGTGAGTTTTGTTGTGTTTCCACTGGGCCGCCATTTGCTCACAAAATACCAAGTTCTTTAGAACACATTGTTCTTCCTTTACATATGCCGTCTTTTGTTTGCGACTTGTTCACTGGAATTGTTTTGTGTCTGAGTTCATGATTCGTATGTGAATATATTGTCCTTTATGTGCATCATTCATTCTTTATTCATTCATTCATTTGACTATCATAGCGTACTTTTGTCCTATACTTCGGGTAACTTTGTATGTTTCACCGAACGGCTGCCCATAGATTCCAGTGCAGGCAAAATCACGTGCCTCGACTGGTGGAAAAGACGAAAAGCGTGACCCTTGACCCAGGGTTGTGGCACTGTTGGTGCGGTAGTCTCTCTCTCAGTCATACCAACATCTACCACCGACAATACAAATGGCAGATCCAAAGTCCAAAATACAACCATGTCACCGAGCCTGGCCACCCGATCCATTTAGCTAGCCTTATACGACATGCAGACATTGCTGTGGATGTATTCTAACTGGAATCCCCACGGGGCTGTAATCTTGAGTGCTAGTCCCGCTTGGAGGGGGTCGCCTCGTCTTTGCTTCTCAGGAGTCCAGCCAGCAGGGGGACCATCTGGACGAAGCCGGCTAGATACAAAAACCAGTCAAACGGTGACAAGATGATCCTCTGGTTGATGACGCTAAAGGCAAAGCAGCCTCCCAGCATCAGCAGCAGCTGGATAAACAGGGAGAGAGTGAGTGAGTGAGTTAGTCATGGAGGAGTGAGTGAGTGAGTGAGTGACGTGGATTGAGTGAGTGTCATGGATTGAGTGAATGAATGATTGGGGTAGAGTGAGTGAGTTAGTCAGGGAGGCTGAGAGGGCGAGTGAGTGTGTGAATGAGTTATTGATTGCGGTACAGTGAGTTAAGGTGGAGTGAGTGAGTGAGTAACTTGACTCTGCTTCAGGAACAGCTTGATTTGTCAGCCAATGGCAGAGAAACATTATTAATCACAATTCAAACATTATATATGTTTTAGGGGACCCATTTTTTATCGTAGCCATTGTCGAAGAAAATGTAATGTGGGAACCATATGCCCCGGAATCCCTGCTGACGAAGACGTAAGGGGAACACACTTACTGTGAGGCGGCAGCAGATATAGCCCTTCGTGTCGGCGATGTTGCTGAAGCCGCGGGCGTAGACACCCATCAGAGCAGAGGTCAGGTGTCCAGCCGTGGCCACTTTCAGGATGTGAACATGGAGGAAGTCGGTAGGTGCAGACTGGACAGACATGGGAGCATGTG